TGGTTGCTTTTACGTCTGCTACACGTACACGTCCAGGACACGAGAAAACAAGAAATAGTGCGCGAGAGGCATGGAGGGCGCGCGCGCCGGCGTCCCCCGTCGAAGCGAGGGCGGGCGCGTGCGAATGCAAATGCAAAAAATCCAAAGACGAGGCCACAAAAGAAATAAGGTCCCTAAGCAAAATCGACCAAATGGTCCAGTCCCGTACAGGCGCCTGCTAGTATGATCACGTATGATGATATGATTTCCCGCCCTGTTTTACGCCGCTTGATTCTCCGACCCTGCGAAAGACATGCAGGGGTTTGTTTCTGAGTGTGCGCCGAAAATACACCAATGGAATATGTGCAAAATGTGCATGTAATGTGTCGCGCCGGTCGGGCCGAAAAGTATGTTCGCGGAAGAAGGTAAAGCTGTCGTATGGACAGGAGAGCGCCGGCTTGCCGGGGTGTGAAGTAGAATGAGGTTCGTCGCGGGCCTAAAGCAAATTGCGTACGTCGATCAGATCATCGAGGTCGGCCTTACTAGGTTGCAGGGACCTCGATATGGGAGCGTGCCAGAGCTGAGTTCAGGTCCTGCTGAGTGAAGGTCTGCTGGGTGTTGCCGCTGCCATCTGTCGTTGCCGTCTCGGGCCGGGTGCTAGTCGCTGGTTGCTGCGCTCTTTGATTGGCATTCAGACTGATTGGTCTGAATCTCGTCTCTTCTCGGGTACGTTGGGGGGAGAGGCCGACTACATGGCATGATCGTCAGCACTTGTTCTCAGTACAATGGACGCTCAGAGCAACTTGAGCTCCGCAGTTTGTTCTTTGAACGCACCATTCGCGGGGCTCGACTCTTCGTCAGGACCTTCGATGAACTGACCCCTCGCGACTTGCATGCTCTGCCGACTCTTCATGCTGTTCATGCGACTCGGCAACCTGCTCCCCATGGGAGAGTACTGGCTCATGTCGCTTCGTCGGCGCCAGGCCTTTGAGAACTGGAACGACTCCAGCTTCTCCTTATGCTCCTTCTGGACCGGCCGGCGGTATTTCATCGGCGGCATTTTTTCGCCGGGCTGGTAGACGTTGCTGTCGCGGGGAGTGGTGGAGGCGGTCGTCTTCTTGGAGAGAGACGAGTTGGACGAGTTGGACGATGAGCTGCGGCCCAGGACGCGCTTGACGCGCTCACGAAAGGCCATTTTGTTGTGGCTGCAGGGCCGTGGGAGGGTGGATCGGGACTCAGGTGAGAGGCGAGGGTTGTCGTCAGCTTGAGGTCAGGGCCGAGAGGGTCGAGTTGCGGATGCGCCCTGGCGGGACGATGGAGATTGTGCCGTGTCGCTAGGTGTGCATTGGGTGGTGTGACGGGGCCGCAGAGAGGTGCGGATGAAGCGAGGCGGGAAGCCTTGGGGTATGAGGGAACAGAGGCCAAAGATGGAGGCGCACGTTAGATGTCATGGGGGGACGGGTTCGCCGGGAGGCACGGCAGTCTGGGCCTGGAACTGGACCCGCGGGAGCCAAGCCTGCATGGTGGAGGCGCTCGCAGGATGCGAGATGGACTCATTAGCTTGCGGAGGTATGGAGTTCAGGAGCACCATGGCGAAGCTGATGGATTCTGGTGATGGCCCGATGTGGTCTCCATCGATGCGACGAAATCGGAGGGCTGCATGAGAGGCTCACGGCAGGGGCAGCACGGGTGATCAGGCAACTTTGGCGACGCATCACGTGGGCACAGGCAGCACCGGGGAGGAGGAAGAGGATCATAAATAAAAGGAGAGAAGAGGGTGAGGCAAGAGAGATTGGCTGTCTGGGAGGGAGCCGTGAGAGCTGTGGGAGCCTTGGTCGCTGGCGGGCGCGGCGGCTTTGAAGGAGTTTGCATTGGGAGAGTGGAGTGACGCGTGGCGGTGCGCTGGCCCCCAAGCCACAGTGTGGGACAGTGTGGGGGAAGAGACGTCGATCGAGGCCAATCGACAGCATGGGTGTGCGCCTCCCGCAGCGGAGAGCTGAACAAGTTACATCATTGCCCGCAAAGCAGGAAATTCCCATTTGCCTTGAGCAGCTTGATTTGGGGGAGCACCGCAGCGGCTCTTAGCCACCCATCATGACGCCGCTGCCGCCGCGCCGCCGCCAAATGAGGTCATCACCACCTTCCCCCAACATACAAAAGTACTTCCGTACATCCCCTGCACTCCTACTCCACATACCATTCTAAGATACCCCCCACCTCTTTACGACCGACCCACGACTCAACATGGACAAACTCAAGAACCTCATGTATGCCCTTGCCCCAATTAGCCTAACATGACCGGCTGACTGACGCTCCTGTTACAGCTCTCCTGGCCACCAGCAGGACGACGATGTCCTGTACCGCGGAGAACACTCCAACAACCCTTCTACCCACTCCACCAATACCACCAAAACCTCTGGCGAAGGCAGCCACTTCAAAGACGCCAGGGACTCTGGTCTGTCGAGCCATGCCGTGTACGTATCGACTTTATTCCTAAGTAAAACACTTACTGATGACCCCTTAGGAACCCCAGTGACAGCCATTACAGCCAATCGGGTTTTGGAACCGACGGTCCAGCTACCTCAACCTTGCCCGACCGTACCGCACAAAAAACGGGGTCAACGAACCAGACGCTGTGAGTCTTAACTGTCAATTACATTGTACCCTGCTGACACGTCCCCCAGCAACCCCATCGACAGGGAATACGGCGAGTCGCGCTACGGGACCACTGGTACCACCGAGCCCACACATACTCCTGCAGCAGGTGGTATAGATGCACCAGTGGGCGGTACTTCACAGAACTTTCATCTGGGTTCCACTACAAGGACTGAACGTGATGCAGGTATTATCTCCACACCATCAGCCGCCGATGACGACGACGCTAGTATCGCTAGCATCAGGTCGGGCGTCATCGGAGATGCACCCCAAACGAAGCAGCTGACTGATGCGGCCTCTCCAGCTGGAACTGGCACTGATCGTCACTTCCCTCTTTCGGGAGGATCTGTCGCGGGCCACGGCAGAACGGGTGATTACGGTGCTGGCGATACCACCGGGGCAACCGGTAGAGATTCTATCCTGAGCGGTGCCACCGGCTCCTATGACAATCAGCGTGCAGAGCCTGGAGCTTTTGGCTCTCATGGAGTTGGTTCCACTTCCAGTGGTCCTACTGGGGACTACGGCAACACGAGCATGACCGGAAGCCATGGAACTCGCGGAAGCCATGGTAATGAGGCTCTGGCTGGTGCGGCTGCGGCTGCTTCAATGGCCGGGCATGGTCATGGCCACGGAAACGAAGGCATTGACACTAGGAACACTGACACGGCTGAACCTCATTTTGCTTCTGGTCCGCACGTGACAGAAACTGCGAACAGACTCGACCCGCACGTCAGCGGCAGTACTGGACTGCCAAGTGCATCCCATATGGGATCGAGTGGCCCCGAGACTACTGCCGGTTATGGCTCCGGCATCGGAGCAACGTCTACCGCTCCCGGCTATGATACTTCCAGTGCTACTGCGGGCCCTACGTCTCACGATCAGGGACATCATTACGGCCGCGATGCTGCTATTGCTGGCGGCGTCGGAGCAGCAGGTGCTGGCCTCTACGAGGCTCGCTCGAAGGGATCAACCACGGAGGATCCAGCTTCCATGACCCATGGACCACACAAGAGCAACATCATGAATGTCGCAGATCCTAGAGTGCTCCCTGACACAGACAAGATGAAGGGTCACCACGCTGAGTCGACTGCCACTGACCCTGCACCTCACACTACCGGCCCGCACAAGAGTGACGTTCTAAATGTCCTGGACCCTCGAGTTCTCCCAGAGCCAGAGAAAATGAAGCAGCACACTACAGCCGGCCCTCACCAGTCAGACACCCTCAACCGCATGGACCCCAACGTTGACTCAAACCTGTCTAGCCAACAGGGCCAGCACCATCACGGTCGTGATGCCGCTCTTGCTGGTGGCGCTGGAGCTGGCGGATTTGGTGCTTATGAGGGGAACAAGCGTCTCCACAACGCAGCCGGCCCTCATCAATCCGACACTACGAACCGTGCCGACCCACGCGTGGATTCAGATCTTTCTCAACAGGGATTTGGTGCTTCTGAGGGAAACAAGCGTCTCTCCAACACTGCCGGTCCCCACCACTCAGACACTATGAATCGCGCTGATCCCCGTGTGGATTCAGATCGTTCCCAGCAGAGCCAGCATCATTATGGCCGTGACGCTGCTCTCGCTGGGGGTGCCGGTGCTGGCGGATTTGGTGCTTACGAGGCTGACAAGCACCACAAGAACACTGCTGGCCCGCATCAGTCCGACACCATGAACAAGTCTGATCCGCGCGTGGATTCGGATCTCTCTCAGCAGGGCCGGCATCACAAAACCACTGCTGGTCCGCATAAGTCGGACGCCATGAACAAGGCTGACCCTCGTGTTGACTCAGACCGGTCCCAAGAGAACCAGCACCACTACGGTCGCGACGCTGCTCTTGCTGGTGGGGCTGGAGTTGGTGCAGCCGGGGCCTACGAATCGGCTAAGCACCACAATGACCATAACAACCCCTACACTGCGTCTGCTATTGATCCTAGAGTTGATGGCAACCGCACTAGCGCTGCTCAGAGAGGACCAGCGACTGCCACATATGGTTCCACAGCTAGCCAGCCTCAAAGCCACCAATATCAACGCGATGCTGCCGGTGCCCCTGGTGTAGGCGCCGCTGGTGCGGGAGCGCCCTACGATTATTCCAAGCGGGAAGCAGAAAAGGCTGAAAAGGAGCGTATCAAGAAACTCGAGAAGGAGGCAAAGAAGAATGAGCCCGAAGAGAAGAAGCATCACGGCATTTTGGGTTTCTTGCACCGTGACAAGGACAAGAAGGACAAGCACGACGAGGAGCCTACGACTACTCACCATACTACGGCCCGTGATACTGCCACTACCAGTCACCCTGATACCACTGAAAAAGCGGCTCACCGCGCTGAGGCAGCCGCTCTCGGTACGGGTACTGTTGGCGCTGGTGCCGGAGCTTACGGGGCCGAACACGAGCGTAACCGTCTGCACAAGGATCCTCCTGCCGACCACCCCGCCTCCCAGGCCCTTCAGGGTGAGCAGTACGGCATGTCCGGTGCTCTCGGTCAGCCCGGAGCTGCGTCAGAGCTTGGGTGAGTTATGAGCAACGATATATTCGTATACTAAAAGCTAACTAAGTTTCAGAACCAATGACCCCAATGCCCTTCCCATGGGAGATGATGGCATTGTCATCGAGCCGCGCACTGGCTTGCCCATGAACGTCGGCAAGTACGGCACCGGTGTCGGTGGCACGGATTCCAACCCTACTATTCACGGCTACCACGGCGAGACTACCGGCGCTGCTGGGAATGAGTTTGGCGAGAATACCACTGGTACGACTGGCACTGCTGGCACAACTGGCACTACCAGCCATATGGCGGGCACTGGCTCTTCAGTTGGCCATGGCAACGCCTCTTAATAGTTGCATCTTGAGAGATACTGATCGGAAACGGCATTGATGAGTGTGGCAAAGAATGACACCGTCCTCTTGCTTGAAATTGACAAGAGCATGGTCTTCTACCAAGAAATATCCTCAGTTTTCTTTAATTTCATAGTCTTGTAATAGTAGCCAAGAGACAACGATTAGAAATTGCGATGACAGATACGTTAAGCTCCGGACAGTATTTTGCAGTGGTTTCCATTTCGTGATACATTGGCGTTGTCGACATCTTCATCCTCCTGGCCACGGCCGCCTTCGACAAGGATTGTAGGACAACGGACATGGCACAACGCTACCTCAAGACATCCACAAGGACCTGGCCTGCGATGACGAGGACGATTTGGGAGATTAATTTGGGAGATTAATCATCCAAGGCCCACAACGTTATCGTGCTACAGTGCCCGTCATCATGCTCTTTCGATGGTAACTATAAGCATATCAGTTAATGTTAAGTATCCTTTCGATGACGAAAATTAGAGCGGATGTAGCTAAGGTTTCGAAGACCTATAGTGCCAATAACTAATACCTACAGCTCTCCGTTAGTTGTCATGCTTTAGTGATAAAATGTGGAGCAGCAGATGCTTCTGGAAAGCATGTTGTAGGTGAGTATAATGTCCAATGAGATAGCTAGTTGTGGAGTAACCGAAGATTTTCAACTATTCGTATAAGGAATTGAAGTTTACTTGAGGGTTTTGATACTTTTGGAGATGTCCTATTACTAGCAAAATAACTGGAAGTCTTGCTTTAGTTTTGTTATCGGGGGTATTTTATTGTTCAGTCAATGACGAGAAGAGATTGAGCTTTCTTCTCGCATCTGGACTGGCTCAGAGCGTTGCTACTAAACTATTCCATTGTACCAATCGTGATCTACCCTTCACGGAAAAGACAGTGTCGCAAAGTTCTTGTCATTACGCTACAGAGGCGTATTTCACCGTATATCGTATATCGCAACAGGGCAGCTGAGTATAAATTCGTGTGAGTTTGAAACCTATCAGTGACATTGGAGAATATGGAATTTACAGTTTAAGTGAACAAATCAGGATCCATACGACGCAACGAGTCACTAAACAAAGCGAATTCCCGAAATGGTGAAAGCCACTAATGTCTTAAACAAAGGTACAATGATGAACGCGTAAACAATGTGTCACACCCTGTGAATATAACAACCAGGTCAACTTACTGATGATTTCTGTCTTCAGCATCCGCTAACGAATACGTTTCTGGCCAAAACATGGAGACTCCCATGTCGTCTACATCCACCACTGGACTTCTCGGTCCTCAAGAGCAGCACCATCATTACCGATCCTACCACAACCTCTCCCCATCGGACATACATGCGCTTACCCAAATCCTCTCCCATGCTCCTGGTGCTGACGTGGGTCCCAACTCCTCGATCTACAGCTCCTACGTCCGCATCACGAAGGAGCAGATCAAAGCCCTGCCAGCGCACCTGCGCAGCCCCAAGCCGCACTCTCTATCCCTATCACGCTTGCACAAGAGCAAGGACAACAACAAGCTTTGCCAGCTACATAGCGCCTTACCGCCGAAAATCCTGTGGGAGATTCTCAACTTCATAAAGACCGAAGTCGAGGAGAAGGTTCCGGCATACCTAAGGTCAGTGACTTCTGCAGGGCCAATGCGCGCGAATCTCAAGAGCGAGCTGGACAAGCTCGCGCCGATGTGGTTGCTGTGCCAGCGACTGCACGGTGCGGACCCCTGCACTGCTTGTATCCTCGCGCAAATCGGCAGCGGGAGAGATGCCCTGGTCGCGCTGCGCATAGCTCTGCTGGCGAGATGGAGGAGCGGTCGTGTCGCTGACGGGAACAGTACGCGCCTTGTTTTCTTAGAGGCCTGGATAGAGAATCTCTGCGAACATGCGAGGCAGACGAAGGAAATCTTGGACAAGAGTTCCGAGCTAGGAAGGGTGTTGAAGGAATTGGCGAAGTCTGCGAAGAGGTTGGGTGAGGCGAAGCATCCCCAAGCAGGTTCCGGAAGTTCTGCCGGCACGGAAGACGCTGGAGGCTCTTCGGTGGGGCAATGCCAGGATGGTCAAGACCATCCGGAATCCCGCTCGAGGTCATCCAGTGTCTCCAGTTTTGAAGGTGGGAGCCAGGTTACTAAGAAGGACGCGGAAGCGTGGGCCGAAGAATACCAGCGATTGCTGGATCCTATGAGACCACCCTCTTCGATATATGAGTAGATCGGTTCGTATATTGCGCTGTTTTCTTTTGTAGTGTTGTTGTCCATTGTTTCCATTGCGGGATCATTGTAAGTTAGTAGTCAATAAATCCTCTAACCCGAAAATCCAAAAGCTTTACATTGTAGTATGCCCAATGTCCAGCACATAGCATATCTACAATACAGCGTAAGTGATAAGCTCAGCACAGTTATCCACAAATGTCAGATGTACAATCCATACCAACAATACATATGTTATCGCAACTTTTTTGTGTACCACCCTGAATCCGATATTGCCGTTCGTACTTCTTCGTAAAACACTGATCCTTGGGTGCGTTGCTTTCAATTTTGCCAATGCCATATTTTTAAACAAGCTCCTTTGCCGCACTCCGATCTGCATCAGATTCCGCAGCCTCCGGGCTATCCATGTACCTGGCGACGTTGTCGGCCTGCCACTTTTTGAAAATGGAACCCAACCCTTCGTAACCATAACCATGGTCTTGATCGGTGATCTGGTCGTTGTGACACCTGACCTGAATGAAGTCTGAGTCAACAGTGTCGGGATCTAGGGACAGTGAGACAAGGCTAATGACCCTTGCTGTCTTAGAAGAACTTCCAAAGACCCAAGTCTGCAGTAGCATCAGCATACTCCAGCACCAGCATTATCGTTTGCGCCTGTGCACCAATCAAGGCAGATTCACCTGGTCAATCTTGAGCTGAATAAAGGCCCGCTCGTTTTTGATGACTTGGTATCCATTGTTCTTGCTTTCTTTGAACAATTTTGGCAGCGCAACCCACAGATCTGCCACTTTGTAGTGGTCGCGATCACTGATATGGATCTGATATCTTGTCAAACTCTTGTTTCATACTACAACATGTTTTGCATACATGCAGGGTCAACCTACAAAATGGTCATCGTACACGCAATCAAAATTGTACCGCTTGACCCGCTGCACTGTCGGCTGGCAGCTATACAGCGCAATAATGTCTTCAATCAAAGACTGGCGATTCGGCTCGAGCGGCACCGATTTTGCTAGGTCAGGAGTGTAACCCTCAGACGGCGACGTCTGAAGGTGCTCGGCGTGTTCTCCAGTTTTGGACGAACTGGCTGCAGTTTGATCCTGATGTTCTGGATTGTCGCTCGAACGCTGTTCGGCAGCGTTCAAGCGTGCAGTGAAAGCTCGCTGCGGGTGGAGAATGGAGGACGGCGCGAAGATTTTGGATGCGCCGGAAGACAAGAGATGCGAATGGGTTGGGTAACCCGTGGAATGGTCTTTGTGAGGATGCTTCCCTTTACTGATATCCATCTTCATCTGCTGTTCGTTCGCCGGGGGTCGAGACGCAGGGATGCAGCTTTTAGCGACGTACAGATGCAGATGTCGTAATCTCACGAATCTGCATGGACGCGCCCGTGGCACTCGTCATGCCCATCATCGCGGGGTTCCTTGCAGATCGCTGATGCTCGGCATTGCACTGTGGTTGATCAACGAATGAGAGGCAAAGAAGCGAAAGGCGGGGGAGAAGACTATCGATACGCCTTGTTCATTTGCAAGGGAGCATAGGAAGTTACAAAGTCAAGCATGAGGACAACAAAAACATCTATCGATGTTTTAAAGGCTCCGACAAATCAAGATCGGAGGCCCGTAGGCCTCATAAAGGGAGTCAATTACTGTCAGAGCTATCTACAAAACTGTCTCGAGACTGCCATCGAGAAAAAAAGGAAACGTCAAAGCAAGCGGTATCCGAAGATGCCGATGGACAACTCGTCCTGCACTGGACTCCTCCCGTCACTCCTCCGCATTACTGTCAAGGACCCATGGGCTGGTCTAGCCACCTTGGAAAGTTGAAAGCCTGGTGGAAGTCGCCGATTACCGCAAGAAAAATCCGCCTGACCTGCATTGTTTTGTTTGTGCTTTTGTTTGCTCCGCGTCGGAGTGAAATGCCAGCACCGTTCGTTGTCATTGCAACTCGGTCGCAAGGTCATGGTGTTGTACTTTATGGGTCAGTGGGAGATGTGAGCGGTGACACAAACCTGGAATCCCCCTGAAAGAACCAATCCGATCGTACGCCGTGGGCCATTCTACAAAGCAAACTCGGAAATGGTGTAGGGAAAAGTGGGAATACGCTTCCGGACTGAAGGCAATTTAGAGGCGACCTGCTAATCACAGTCTGATCAATCAGGCATTTGCCCATATCTGAAGGAGCTGAAAGGAGCAATATATGCTCAACTACACCTTAGTGTTGAGTTCAGCCCGTGGGCGTGGGCACCGCTGGCTGCTCTCCGTTGGTAGAGTGACGGCGCTTTGCGGGATTCTGTTGAGAACCGGACTCCTGTAGCGTGTAAGTAACAACGTCAGCAAGATACATTTTGCGCGCTCGTGCAACCTGGCGCGAGTGTCCGCATCTTCGGCATGAACAACGTTTCTTGTTCAATTGAACGCTTGAGCATCACGAGGAACATATCAAAAGGTACGGGCAAGCTGTCGAGACTGACCTCCATGCCGGCTTCGCCACGGGTGCGCTTCTTGACCTTGGTCTTTTTGGCCTTGACAGGCTTGGTCTCGCCGGTATCGAAACAATCATCGGGAAGATCGTAGCTACTGAATATTAGTAACAGGCAAAGCCACTATTCAGAATAAAAGTAGGGGGTAGGACGGAATTACCTCCTGGTGTGGACAATACGAACGGAGTGCAAATCCGGGTTGAATTGAGTCCAGTCGTGGCACTGACGCTTGAAGTCGGCCACGGGATAGGATATGTCGAGAGATTTGGCGCCTATAACAATTAGTAAAATTCCGCAGCTTTGATTAGATATACTCACCGGGCTTTAGTTCAATGCCAATGTAGAACGTCGTGGTGTAGATTGTCATTGTGGTTTCGCCATTGGATCCGTTGCCGTTGGTCGCCCCATCACCGGTTGTCTCGCCGTTGGTGCTTGCCATGTTGAGCTTGTCTGCGGCACCCTGAGCACCAACATCTTGGAGGAGACCATTTGACTCGTTCGTTGTCTCCGTAGCAACATCCTTGGCCAAAAAGTCCATGCTGCCCTGGAAGACCTTTTCTTTCTCCTCGTCATTCTTGACATGGTGCACACGCTTGAAGCCCTTGTTGAAAGGTTGCGCGAGGTCAATGTCATCTGCATCGTGATTCTCAATAAGTCCGACGAGCTTGCGGACCTTAGCCTCGACAGAACTACTCCAGTTGTCTTGGGCTTCCTTCGTAGGACTAGCCGCAATGATGCTCAGGTAGTATTTGTAATCCTGAGTGAAGAAGGTATGCTTCTGGAAGAGGTCCTTCCATTGACACTTGCTGTTCAAGATGTCGCTCGTGATTTTGCTCGCGCGTTCCAGTTCCCGCTTGATAACCTTCTGAGTGGAGTGGGTGATGTTGTGGGTGGCACACATGGACGGATAAGCAGGAGTGATGATTGGCATGATGTGGCGCTTGTCGCTAGGATAGATCTAGGCAAGGGTTAGTTATCACCACTTGTCTTACGTTGAAGACAACAAAATGTACAAAAGGACATACCTGAGGGTTCCAGACTCTGACCTGCAGAGGACCATCTTCGATCTCCTTTAGCATGATCGGCCGAGGCCATGGCCAAGTACTCATCAAATAGAAGAAGCGTCCGAGCACGACAGCGCCGCAGGCCAAGGGATACAGCTGGCAGATACGGGCTACCATCATAGCCCAAGCGATACCACCAGGGAAGCCCACAATGTTGGCGTAGATAGCTCTGCGTTGCGCCCAGAGCTTGACGGCCCTAGTAACCTGCCTGAATATCTTCGTTTGCGGAACGAGAGAAAGCACCTCGTCCGTGACACGCGTGCCATTGACACTTCTCAGGTCCGTCTCATCCAATCCACGTAGCAAAGTATTGTCCTTGAGGTCCAGGTCCTTGGGAACAGATGCGATGGCGAGACGGGCGAAGATCAGATCGATGTCGATGCCCATGTAGTCCATCTTGATAATTGGGGTGAAGGCATCGGGAACCGGAGAGAACTTTTCGATCGCACCAGGGCCGGATACCTTTTCGAGCACGTTGACGAAATGCTCAAAGAAGTCATCGCGAGTGACGTGCTTGGGCGCAACGACGAGCGTGTCAATGTCGGAGCCTATGACGATGACGAGCTTGTTAGCTTCTGGCCGTTTTTACCCTATCCGCATAACGAAGCTTACCGGGCCCATAGACTCCAAGCCTGTAACTGCCAAAGGTGAATATCTTTCCGCCAGCGTTTGCTATGACCGAAGGAGCCAAGCCCTTGATCTGTCCGACGTGGCGGACGAACTCCTCGACTGCCTTCTGCAGTGTCACTAAGGCGGCGCCCCTGCGCAAAGTCAGCCTTGGCCAAGGGCGCTCACAAAGGCAAGCTCACCTCTTCTCCGTCTCCTCAGGCGCCTCGAAAGTGTTTTGGCTTCTCAGCTCTTCGAGCAGAGCGGTGTCGAGCGCCAGTTCAGCCTCGGTGGGAGGTGCTCTCGAAATAGGGTCAGTCACGCCCCATCTCTTGGTGGCTTGACCTGCCATTGTAGTGTGCGTGCAATCTATGCGCGGGGTTGACGGTAGCGGGTGGAATTGACGAAGCAGGTTGCGAGCTCCCCAGTTCGTTTGGCGGCGCGGGGTGGAGGTGACGGGCGGACGGGAAGGATGGTCGGTCGCAGGCGTTAGATGGCAAGCTGCATGCCGGGTGTTAAGAGAAAAGTCAACAAAAGAAACCCAAGCCCAGTCACCCCGGGTTGTCGCAATGTCAAGAGGAAACAGGCGACGAGCTCCAATCTGCGCAAGCGCCCGCGCCAAGACCACGCGTGTCGGCCCATTTCATCACCGACGGCTCTCGGATCGCGCCCTACGCGTCCACCATCCCTTTTCAAGATACCGTCTTCATGCTTCACTGCCTCCATTCACGATGCCTGCAATTTCAATCGACCATCCTACGGCACGGCCCGAGGGCCGATAATGCAATTCAGGCCCTGCTCCACTCCGCCTAACTCAAACTTGTCTCAAAGAACGTATGAAGCCTCTCATCCAGCCATTTCATGTCCTCCTTGCTGTCTCCGGGACCTGATCAACAGGGGTCAGCCAGCAAACCCATCAGTCTACTTATGTTATCAGCCTACCTCCGGCCCAGTGGCCCCAGATGCTAGGGAAGACGTCCAACTTCCCTATGCCCGTATTCATACTGGCCACATCATTCACAGAGTCCTCCGGTCTGCAGGCTATGTCAGTACGCAACGGACCTAAGAGCACTGACACTTACGGAAAGTAGAGGTCTGTCTTGCATGGTAAGACCAAAGCCTTGGCCTTGATGCCTTTCATTGCTTTGGTGAAATTTCCGTTGTACGGTTCTTGGTTCGAGCAGTCTCCGGCTTGCCAGGTGTGCAGCATGACCAACAGGTTTTCCGGGTCTATAAGCGCGCGTCAGCTTCCAGATCGCTCTCAAGGAGGAGATACCCCAGGTTATTTTACCCTTTGAACATGCCCACGCTTCCCAGTAGTTTACCATGAAATCTTCCAGACTCTTGAACCCCAACACTTTCTCATACAGCCTCTCTCTGTAGAAGGCTTGACTGAATCCCCAGCCCGCATAGCCTCGCCCGAAGGCCTTCAATCCAACCTTCTTTTCTTCGTCAGACCAGCCGCGGTACTTGTCAGCAGCGGTGGTCTCTCCCTTTGCCGCACCGGCGGACGATGCCCCTTTAGCTGCAAGCAATGCCGTCTTTACACCTTCAAGGAAGACCTGATTATGCAAACTAGTCTTTGCTGTCCCGCAAAAAGGCACAATTAGATCCATGAAGTCTGGATATTGGGTCGCCCACTGGAAAGTCTGGCCGGCACCCATTGACCAGCCTAGAACAGCACGGGCGTGCTTCACCCCGAGATGTTCGGTGACTAGGATGTGCTGTGCCCTCACGTTATCATAGAACAATACTCCCGGAAAAGGTCTGAGGTTTGGCAAATTTGATGGGGACGAAGACTGGCCATTGCCAAAGAGCGCAGTAATGATTATGAAATAGTCTTTCGGATTGAGAGTTTTGTCCTCTCCGATGAGCCATTCGTTGCCGGCGATTACTATCCGTTTTAGAAGATCGCTCTTTGAAATGCAAGACGATACCTACATCCAGAGAACCAGGTAGGATATATAACAGCAGGTAGTTCCGGCCGTCCGAAGGTCTTGTACGCAATGGAGGCATTCGGAATCACTTCGCCGGACTTCAGCTTGAAGTCACCAAGCTTGTAGATGCTGTAATCTCCCATCTTCACTCGCTCTAGGTGCGGAAAACAAGGGTTAATCCTGTTCGGCCTGGTGAGCTGCAGCGATGTGCGTCGCCATATATACCCTCTCCAGCGTGCTTGATAACTAAGCACTCTACCCCTCATCCGGGGCCGCGATATCGATAGTAGTGGGGTATTCGACGACCCACATGCGCCGCCAGACCCTCTGATGGATAACAAAACAAATTCACTAGACCTTGACCTGAGCCAAACATCTTATGCCTATCACCGTCAAGAAATATTCACCGTCTAGTGGAACGCACAAGTATGCAAGCAGTCCCTATGGAATACTCCTAGTTTTAACTACAAGCCTAAGTCCTGGATATGAATGAAAAGGTCTTAGAACGTACACACTACAAATATCTTAACGGGTTTTATTTGCACGCCGTGCCAGCATCGCTATCTCGTTATGCGATGAATATCGCTTGACGGTGACAGACGTTAAATCTGTTGACCCAATGACGGTGTTTGGCCAGATAGAACTGGAGATCGACGTTTCACCGGTCTTCTGCCGACTCCCTTTGCCGGTGCGCCGTTGATATCCGTCCAGCTTCGGGATCAAGCCGCTCTCTGCCTTATAAATCCGGAAGTCATCACATTTCAAGTTTATTAGACCAACAACATCCGCACTGACGCGAACATAATAACACAGCAAACATGAGTGACAGCAGAATCCACTTTGGACCGGACTCCATGATGGACAACGAAAAGACTATCCAGCGTAACCCGCATCCCGACTTCAAGAAAGTCGAAGCGTCGAGACCGGACTGGAAGGAGACAAAGCTTGAGTTCACCAAGACAAAGAATCCTGACTGGAAGCTTGGTGATGGCCCGAATGACGGCGGGGAAAGCCTCAAGAAAGAGCATGTGGAAATTGATCCTTACGCCGAAGGGAGGCCAGCGGCTTTCAACTACAAGCTTTTGATCAGCGCAATCGTTCCGCGTCCCATTGGATTTCTGAGCACGAGATCCAAAGACGGTGGGATCCCCAAACATCTCAATAGCTCGAGTATTGAACAAGTTACTGACGGACCCAGGTTCGAGCACGAACCTCGCTCCTTTCAGTTACTTCAACGTCATCAACCATGACCCGCCTCTCTTCATACTGAGCTTCGCCGGCGGTTGGCAGCAAGCAAAGGACAGTCTAAAGAACCTCAAGGACACGGAGGAGTGCACTCTGAATATCATCTCAGAGCATTTTATCGAAGCCGCCAACGCAACAAGTATCAACTCGCCTTACGGCATCTCAGAATGGCCCTTGACCGGCCTGCACCCAGCGCCTTGCACGGAAGTGAAAGCCTCACGCGTGAAGGAGGCCATTTTCTCTGTTGAGGCAAAACTGGTCGAAACCCGGGAGTTTGAGAGCCGCGTTACGCCGGGCAAGAAGACGAATGTTCTGGCAATTGTGGAGGGCGTCAAGTTCTGGGCGAGAGAGGACGCAATCAACAACGACAAGAATTTGCTTGATCCGGCGGTATGTTCAAGGCCTTTGAATTTTCAGTCAACAGTGCAACGCTAACGAAATATAGGTCCTGCAACCCATGGCTAGGATGGGTGGCATCTCTTATGCACGAGTTACCGAAGCGATCGAATTGCCGCGTCCAGACTTTGAGACGATGATGGCTGAGCAGAACGCGGAGAAGCTCAAGCTTCCAAAGGCAGATGGACAGTGATAAATCAATAGCATCGGAGGGTCTACACAGAATTAGACCGTAGTGATAGGAAGCACTCAGGACCTTCATCAGCCTATACTGTTAGTAGCCATGCGGTTATACGTTTAAAGTGGTACTTCATGATTAGGTTTCTTCTGGTGAAACTATGTTGCGTCACAGCCAGTAAGTGGAAGGGGTGGTTTCGAGTAACAACGCCAAAAGTTGACAAAAATATCAAAAAATGCAGCTTCTGTGGATCGAACACAGTACCTCCAGATACCGCACAGGCTTGTAACCAAAGTTGGACTTCAGTCTGGCGCTCTCCCAAGTGAGCTAAAGCTGCTATTTGTTGAAATTGAATTTGACAAAATGTAATATATTCAAACATATTTTTGAAATTATCAGCATCGTCATTCCGTCGTCGCACTTTCGTTCGCTTCGAACTCCACCGTCGACGCATCGCTTTCGTCCACAAATCACGTCAGTCGCAACTGAGCATGCCATCTGCCCTAGTCTCGTGCCATGTTGGATAGACGCTACCAACATGGTGCTACAGGATTGCTGAGCCAACAGTAATACGCAGGGTGAAATGACGGGACTTGTCTATGCACGCACAAGCATCGCAGCCACTTCTTCCAACGCGATCTTCCGCTTCCGACAGACAAGAGACTGACATTTCGACGGCTGCCTCTTGTCCTATTATATTACGACTAGGCCTTGACTGACAAGTTGATGGAATTGTTTGGTTTCCCTGCTTCTACTCTACGTATAGGTGCAGCTCGATGTGCCTGGTGGCCAGACCCAAACGACCGGCTGTTCTAGTTACCTGACCTGGATGACTATTACTTGAGATCTAGCCCGCAAAGAACCATGGTAAAATCATCCTTCGGACCCAGGCAAGAAGTTCTCGTGGCATACAAATACAGCAGCCATCTCTCGGTCTAAGGCACAGTTGATGGCTGCGGTAAAGATCAGCGCAACCGAATTTCATTTTGTCTATTTTATTCAATAAGCGGGGAGGAAACCAGAAAGTAACCTCAAAATCAACTCTACGTGCTGGGAACTTGCGACATTCCCACGATGCCAGAGCAGAAGGCAATCCGAAAAGCCCCTAGGAGGGGAAGTTGTAGGTGGAACTATTGATCTTTGGATTGAGCTAATATGGCATTATCACAGACGTCGTGTTCAACCAGTCTATCGCTTTCCTTGACGGACCTGCGGAGCAAGTCGTTGTAGGGGAAAAGAGCATTCCGGCTTGGCCCAGCTCTTCGGAATGGCAGACGTCACCGAATGATGACAAGCAGTCCGGCGTTAAGTAACGATGACGAGGATTGCGACAACAGGAAACGACTCAAGCATGTAGAGTAGGTGTAAATAGCCAGCCAGTTTACAGCTCAACAAAGTCGGATACGGCTTCCGGTATGATTGAGTTGAAATACCAGACTTCCAAGCAAAGGCCAAATCTCCTGTATTTGGACGATTTGACTTCGGATGTGGTGCGGTTATAAAGGAACTCATATTGCCTGACACGGACCCGTAGGGCAACTAAAACAAAAAAAAGCCAGGACAACGTCAGATGTTCTGATTTTGGGAACGTAACAAAGACATCTTGCTTGTCCACTAGCCACAAACGGCGGTCAGTGTCGAAGTCAGGTTCGTTTTAAAGGGGTATCCAAGCCACTTTTATAGTCAAAAGACACGGAAGGCATTATTGCTACTGACCCGCGGTACAGGAGTCCGAAAATCTGTTTATGTGACTGGATATGCGAAAGCCTCACGCTGTGAAAACATTGATGAGTTCTCTAGACTCGGCTTAATAGTGGCGCAAGTTGAGACAGAGGTGTAAGACATGTTCATGTTTAAGCTGTTAGTGATGGAGGAATGCGGTATGATCTCGATCATGCCTTGATTACCAACCTCTCCACTCATAGTCTTTAGACTCCGGCATATTTCGTTCGGTGTTGTGTTAAACCCCACCCCCCTACAACGCTCGATACCTCTTCTTTTTCCATTTCCATCATAACCTCAGTCAGTTAACACTTGCATTACCGCTGGACCGTGTTCATGGTAATCCTAGCGAAAGTGCCTACTTTCCTGTTTGCTCGTTGTAACCTGAGTTGTCCGATCAAACGATGGTAACCAACGGGCCATCATCCAAAGAAAGGGAGACGTATAAGTACGTTCATAATCTGACAACCCCTGGACTCTGCTGAACATATGGATACAGATTCTATCAGGCGGCAATCCATGCACTTGATTTACGTCTCATCGAAGATTCTCCAGGATGTTGTACACCTCCGCAGGGTTTCTCCCCTCGTCTCTGCAAAGACACTGCCTTGACGGCTTTCGCACAACTTGGCCCCCTGCGCCTAAACGTCACACGGGGCTTGATATCTCTAATTGACGGGCGATATCAGTATGTCCTCTGGCGGGACACACAATGGACTTGATGGTACTGAATCCGATTTCATTCTAAAAGTCATGGACACTGGGAAAGGAATTTCTCCCGACTTCCTCCGGCGTGGAATTTATACTCCGTTCCAGCAAGAAGACTCGTTTTCCCCTGGGGCCGGCCTTGGCCTCAGCATCGTCAGACAAATTGTGGAAGGAATGAAGGGCGACATTGATGTGCAAAGCCAAACCAAAGTCGGCACTGACGTAACTGTAAGCTTGAGATTGCCAAACCGCAGGCCAGTATCTTCATTGGAAGGAAACGACACCACGACTATAGCTGTGGTTACTGCACTGATTCAGCAACGCAGCGTATGTCTCCTGAGCCCATGGCCAAATGGCTTACCAGACGGTGCTGGAGCTTTTTGCAAAGGAGTGTACCTGCTCTGCCAATCTCTGGCCAAGATCTTTCGAGAATGGTTCAAAGCAGACATAGACGTCACGGATGAACTGAAGTTATCATCCGCGGATGTGATCATCTGCGTCGGACCAAACTTAGAGCTGCTCGACTCAATACGCGAGAACTATCCAAGCCGAAAAGCACGGATTATCTTATTTGTCGTCCTTGACGCCAGCCAAGCAACTGAAATGAGGTCTGATCAAAGATTAGGCTTTGAAGAATTCGTTGTAGATGTTATTACACAACCGTCAGTAACACTCAGAGCGCCTCAACCCTTATCAAAATAACCATTGCTTACTAATAGTTGTAGGTGCGGACCTCACAAACTGGCCAAGTCGCTTGAACAGGCATTTGGCCGTTTGCAAAAAATTCAGTCACAAAGAGCCACTGAAACAGCTGAACACCCAAAAACGAACCTCCTGAAAACAGACCCTCCGCATATGCCAGAACGAGTTTCGTTCTACCACATCGGCAAAGCCAGAATCATCTAACGACTCAATTTGGAGGAAGCAATGAGACCGAGATGTAGTTTTTTTGCCACTTCTTCGCGAAAAAGTTGCTAACATGTACGTCAGGTTTACTATTCTACGGGGTACAACGAAAAAGCCTAAGGATGAACTGGAAGTGAACGCTGAGCCCAATGTTCATCCTTTGGGCGAATCTACCACTCTTCGAGTACTCGTGGTGGATGACAATGATATTAACCTTACGGTGCGTACAATCTAAAATATCGATAGAAATGGAAGCATATAACTAACAAAATATCAGTTGATGACTGCTTTCATGAAGAAACACAACTTCGCTTACCAAAAAGCGACTAACGGCCTTCAAGCAGTGGAAAGTTACGAAGCAGCCAACGGAGAATTCGACTATGTCCCGATGGGTAAATGCCAACAGGACTTTCCCGAAATCAGTTTCACTGAATACACAGATCTTACAATGCCAATCATGGATGGCACGACCGCAACAAGGCAGATCCGGCGTTACGAGCAGCGCGAAGGCAAAGAACCAACGACTGTGATTGCATTGACGGTGCTCGCCCTGGATAGCGCGCGCGATGAAGCCTTGAACAGCGGCGTCGATTACTTTCTCACCAAGCCCATCGACTTTCGCAATTTGTACCTGATGCTTCAAAAGGGACAACGTAAAAGCTGAATGCCACGCTTGGTTCGATTGTACAGATAGATGGTGTAACAGATATAGAAATATAGCTAATTCAAGGCTTTCTATGATAACTCTTTTTGGCTGATTTGTCTACCTACGGAACAATACACGTTACGGAGAGGACATCCAAGTATTACTGAAAGAGAGGCTTCACCTGATAAATGACATACAAATCATAACACAGCGAGAAAAAGACAAACTGGCTATCCCTACACTTCATCCTAAGATCCTTCATCGCGGTCTCTCGGATCCCCAGATATTCGTGAACGCGTAGGTGCCATTCTCATACCTAGTATATCTAAACAAGGTTAAATCAGCCTCTAATACCACGACAAAAACCTTCTTCAGGCCCTAAGCAGGCTCGAGTAGTATATACGTACCTCCCTAGGAATTATTATACGGGTTCGCATCAAGCTTGTTGAGAGATTGATAACGAGGGTCTTTGGTCAGCTGGGCCATAATATCGGGATGCGTACGCCAAAGAGCCTTAAGATCCAGATTGTCATCCAGAGGGATCGAGCGGCGCCCAATGTCCTCAAATTCATGCTTAAGAATATCCCAGGGGCTAGGGTACTTGAGGCCGTCATCGTCCCGCTTCTCGAGTGGCTCCTCGCCGTCCGCGAAGAAAGAACGTCGCTTAAGCATGGGATCGTCGTATTTATGCGAGAGGATATCGATCCAGCTAGGAGGCGGGCCGTCGTAGTTGTGCGAGAGGATATCGATCCAGCTAGGAGACTTGGCTTCGGCGTCCCGCTTCGCCGGTAGTTGATTGTCGCCCCTGCCGCCCAATAGAAGAGAGGTCAGCCAAGCTCTCAGACGGATCTCCTCGTCCGTAGACAAATTAGCGTCAGTAGGAGCAAGCTCCCGCTTTGCCGGCGGCTCGTCAAATAAAGAAGTGATGCCGTCTACGAAATAAGAGATGAGCCCAAGTTCATCCCCCATGTCCTTATCGTCAGTAGGAGCAGGCTCCCGCTTCGCCGGCGGCTGTTCGCCGTCCACGAACATAGAGATCGGTCCAAGCTCCTTAAGGTTCTTCTGGGCCTCAGACACATTAAAGTCGTCAGTAGGAATAATACTCCGCTTTGCCGGCAGGTTCCCGCCGGAGATCATGTCCCATAAAGAGCTGAGCCCGTCCAAGAACAAAGCGATCGGCCCAAGATCCTCCTCAAGGTTATTTTCGGACTCCCCAAGTTTCCTGTCGGCCTTATCATCGTCGTCAGTAGGAACAGGCTCCCGCTTCTCCGGGGGCTGCTCGCCATCCACGAAAGTAGAGTTCGGCAAAACCTCCTTACGGTCCTCCTCAACCTCAGGCATGTCAACAGGGTAAGGGACCAGCGGATCCATGAAGATCCAGCGAGGATCGTCGCCGAAGGCACCTAGGTCCGAGGTCGGGTCCGGCGGCGTCGTGGAGGGTACGACCAAGAGCGGGGCTGCGGAGGCGGTGGCAGCGAGGGCCGTCAAGATCGAGAGCATGGTGAGCTGCATGGTGGTGGTGGTAGCTGGGTAGACCTGTGGAGGCTGCGGAGGATTGCTGGCGGGAGAGTGGGCTGGACGAGCGCTGTGGTTTATATAGGTGCGGGGGTCGATGTGTCCTGTTCGAGAGCCATGGTTATGGGAAAAATGTCGTGGTCGAGTCCCCGCCGAGCCAGTCTACGTTGCTTATAGCCATCTAGGTATATGGCCTCTTTCCTTGGCAAGGGGTCGATTAATAGTCTCTTCCATGGGAAGATTTATCTTTTGTCTGTTCTTATACCGACGTCTTCATAATGGTTGAAGGGATTCTTCGGTAAGGTATACATAACTTGGATTTACGTAGCCTTTCGCACACCTTGCTGGTTATAAAGGTATAAATGCTACAGATAGCCAAGACTGAAAGCAGATCGCATCATGAATGTCTCTCCAAGGGTCGATAGCTACTGTGTAGCTTGAACGTTATAACCAGTTTTGACTGTAGCAGAGTCGATCCATAGGTATGAATACGGGACACACTTAAAACAATAAACAAAATTCAATGAATTTTACTGGGTGGAATCCAACGCAATGGTATCTTGTTTCCAACTGAAGAAGGTAGGAAGAAAAAAACAATACATGACAATCACTCACATGAATCGTCAATCTTGTCAACACCGCAAACTCCTAATACCGATAAACAACTCTCCTCTCCTCCACCGGGCTCACATCCATACCCGCGCCGCTATTGTACGTGGTACCCCTCTCGTGCTCCTCGGGCCCCAGCGCACTGACGCCGCTGAAATTCGTGCCGGTGCCCTCTTCAACTGGGCTAAAGGCACCGTGCATCGTGTGGTTGACGCCCGAACTCTCCTGGCGCGCCAAGTAGCTCGGCGTGCTGTTGTACCCCGGGTGTGGCGAAGCAACGCCGCCTTTCGTCTCCTCGCCCATGGCCGCGTACGCATTGCGTAGATCGGCCTGAGTCGTGACGTGGCTGCCGTAATTCTGCGGCTCGTTAGGATCGGCGAAAGGGTCGTCGCTGATGAAGTAGGAGTCTGAGGACTGGCGCCCTGAGTCATAGCCAGCATTTGCTGTGGTACTTGGTGGAGATTCCCGGTTCGCGAGGGAGGGTTGCCTGTGCACCGGGGGATCAGAGGACGGCGCGTAAGATGCCGGTGCTACCGGGGATGTCGATGACGATGAATTCGTGGCGTAATCCACTAATGGGCCGCTGGGAGCTGTTGGTGCGCTGTCGGTGGCCTCGTTGACGTTGTTGGAACTAGCAGTCCTGCGAGCACCAAGCATCGCTCGCTGATGCTTGCTCATGGCCAAACTGAGCTGCTCGTTCGTCTCAATGAGCGTGAGCATGGTATCGTCGTCCGGAGCAGGATTCTCTGCATTTATGTACCCCTGGATGCTGCGTTGAGCCTGCTGACACCTCTCTCCGAACTCTTGCACGAGCTCATTACTTGTAAGCTCCGACTGTTGCGTGCTCTGGATTAGTTGTATCAGGAGCTTCGCGCTTGTCTTCGCTTCCTCGATCCTTCCCGCAAGCTCTTCCGGTGACGGGAGGCTCCTGGAGCGGGATGGGTGCGCCGGCAGCGTCGGGGCTCCTTGCTGGTTAGGATTATTCGAGTTCCATGGCGGTGCGTTCAGCACGCGGGAGCTCGGGCTGCCACCCTCTCCTCTCTTTCGATATGACGTGAAGACCTGTTCATTACGCCACATATTAAACAGCGGGATTAGGTTGGTGTCGTACGCCTTGTCCCTCTCCATTGAGTACAGCGTCTCCCTGAGGATCTGCTGGACGCTCGGGTCTTTCCCCTGCCGCAGCAACTCCTTAACAACCGTAACGAACTTTTCGTTCATGTTGCGCGTGAATGTCGGGCCAGGGTTGTCGGCCAGGATACGGATGAGCATTATAGCATTGTACTGCAGGTACGGCTTCGAGTAGTTGTCCTTGGACAGAAACTTGCGGATCTGGTAGGCGCAAGCGGCAGCGGCAGGCGGCGAGGACTCAGCGGCGGTCACGATATCGGGGAGATATTGGATTTCCTCGGTCTGGGTGATTGTCAGCACGGGCAAGGAAGGAGTAAGGGGCAGCGCAGTCGTGGCAGCGTACCGAGTTGTTCGGGCCTCCAGACTCGCAGAAGAGCTTCACGCCCCTGGTCGCATTTGCTTCTGGCGTATCGGCGTCTGCGGCGGGCTCGTCATCTGCGCGCGTCGACGTCAGTAGGCAACTCTTCGCATGGCACGGGGACAGCATACCGGAGCGCCTGTTCAGCAGGCCGGTAAAGCGCTTGAGGACCATGATTGCAGAGGTAGGTAGGACTGTGCGCGCTTCCCCGTTTTATGGTGCGGATATGGCGCGGGGTGGTGTTGTCGGAGATTGCGGACGAAGAGGCAGCGGCGCTTTAAGGTGCAAGGCGGCAGCGCGAGTCGAGACGAACGGGCGACGAACGTAGGTAGGGACCGGCGCATGATAAACGTCGATACCACGGTACACTTCAGCACTCCACACAAGCACGGGGCCAGCACAGCCCCTTGATGAGGTGCAGCTGGGCGGTCCAGCCGTTGACGCAACACGGCTTGACGCGTGTGCGGGCGCGTCGATATGAGGCTTGGCTTCCTCGCAGAGAGGCCCTTTGGCCCGCCATGCGTCCACAGCGCCTCTCTGGGGTACAGCTGGCTACGCAAGCTCCAGCGCGCACGACCACGGTACGGCTATCTTTCATGCACGAGTATATTTATCGCTAAGTAGGTTAGTGCTAACCATCTCAGCCACAAGCCTGCCGCGTGTTTCGCCGTCCTCCTCCGCCAGGCTGCTTTCGACACAAGATCCTCCCTTAGTGTACGGGGTATACAGATAGCCATCCACCCGAACGCCGCGCTAAAACAAGTCCAAAGAAGAAGAAGAAGAAGAGCCAAGGATCTAGTGGCCTTCGCAAGAAAAGCGACAAAGGGAAAGATGACGCGACACAAAGAAAAGTAGGTAGTGACTGTTGGAGCAGACATGTTGCTGTGCCTGCAAGGGTGAAAAAGAAAAGAAATACAACCCACTCTCTGGCTTTTGATAAACGGACCAGACGCTGACCTATTATAGTAGTGCTCCTCCTAGATAGCCAAAGTCTGTCACCAGCTCAACCATGTCCTTGAGTTCTGGGTCGAGCGGCTCAGCTCCTTGGCCAACGCTGAGCCTCTCACTCCTCATGGGGCTCTCAGCTGCCACGATAGTGCATGTCGTCTGCCTTGTGCTGACCTTGGTGAGCGTAACCTCGGATGCCGTGTACTCGGATGACAGACTGTACCCCTGGAACCCGCCAAGGTGGGACTGCATCTGTGGGCTCTCCGGGCTTGCTACCGGCGGCGATTCGAGCTCGCAGGAGTCTGAGTCACTATGGGTTTGATATTTGGAAAAACCGTAGTCCGACATGTCATCGAAGCTGCTGTCAAGGGAGCTAAAGGCCTCATCCGCCCAGCTAGATACCGTATCAGCGCTGCTGCAGGTGGGAGAGTAGACGAGCGATGGCTCAGTCCGAGGCGGCAACAATTCACCAGCCGTTTTTGGGTCAGCAGGGGATAGGGCTGGTTCCAGGTTGTCGGGAGGGTAGAGGTCGTGGGTAAGTAAAGGCGGAAGTACGAAATCCCCTAAAATATTCCCCGTAGGTATGGCCTGTGACACATCCGAGGCGGACGAAAGGATTCTTGAAACAGTGGCATCTTCCCTAACACCTCCCTGCATCTCTAGCTCCGACAACTCATGAACCAAGTCCTCGGCGTCCTCTGCCGAATGTTCATAGTAACCCGAAATCCTGTGCTCCCAATCGGTTCCGTCCAGGTCGTCCATAGAGCTTGAATCCGGGTCCTGGTGGTCCTGGAATGACTGGTCTAGCTCTGCCAAATATTCGTTCATTGAATCAAAATAGTCAACATCAGCCGGAATGTCCTCAAATGGCAGACCCTCTGGATCCGGAACCTCCAAGACCCAGGTGTAGAGCCGGTGAGATGTGCAGTCCATAGGTTTCTCATTCGAACTCTTGTCGCTGATGAAAGGCCGACTCCGTGTCTTCCACGCACAACAAGAGTACCCCATCGTCGCACCCGCATCCGAAAACACCTCGTCATGCTCGTCCGTGCCATTCGGAGCAGTAAGACATGCTGTTTCCTCGAGCTTTGGCGAACTTGAAACCGGTGTCTCAGGCCGTACGCTTCCATCTCTGCTGAAAGAATTACGCAACGCGGTACTAGAATCACTGCGACCAAAAGTCGCATTCCGTCCATTTGTGCGCAAAGCGAATGACGATGCTCTTCTATGACGCAGTTGCGTGCGGCGGTTGATTTTCGCTTCAAGCTGGGTCCTGGAGCTACCTGCGGACTTGAGCTGTCTTCCAGAGCATTGCAGCCTTTCTTTCAAAAACGAACGGCTTGGGCTTCGTCCTCTGCTCGATGTCCTAGACGAACGCAAGCTATGTCTAGAAACAGGTGAAAGAGGCCTGAAGAGGGGACCACCCATGGAATCGTAAAGCGGGATAGGAGGTTTAATAGCGGGAGTCGGCGGAAGCGGCTTTCGTGCAAGGGCTTCGAATTTGTTTGGCCTAGGGGTCGTGAATCGCGCTCCAGGATCCATGGTGAAGGCCGCTGACAATGGCGGCAATGAAAAGTAAGGAATATCCAGTGAGTAGTCGGACTCGTCACAAGGCACCTCCAGGAAATTCAAAGGCTCGCCCGGCAGCAGCGGGCAGGCCGTCGTGGAGGGTTTGCTCGGGTCAGCCCACTCATAGTTGCCATCCAACATATACTAATAGTCATACCAGTCAGCTAAAGGCATTTTGGGGCTTGACGCCACTCTTGCTGACCAACAGTTGGGCGTCCAGTAGGGTTTTTAAAAACAACAAGAAAAGTTACTCACATGATACCAGTAAGTACCTCCCATTTTCAATCCACCATCCCTCTTATTGGAGAGAGACTGGTCCTCGCCATCGTAGACAATGTCTTTGAAGGAGAAGCAACCATACCATTGGCGGGAGCCGACTCTTTGGTCTCGCTCCATGCGGTAAGAATGTGTGAAATTGTCCCATGATCCCCGCAGTTCCACGGACCATACTTCGGGCGGGGCATCACTGGAGAGTGTGAGCTAAAATGAAATGGCCAAAAGTAAGAGCAGAGGAGTATTTCATACATTCGGAAGGTGAAGAGCGCTGTGGACATGGCGGTGAGACGGAAGAAGAAAAAAGGATGTACAGAAGAAGAAATGGGGGGGGGGTTCAGAGTAAGTTTCTGTTCAGCGTCGAACCATTGACAGAGCGCCCCTCGATTAGGATGTTACAGGTGGTGAGGAGCAGCAAGGTCAAAGCGGGCGTCGTAGTCCCAAAGCGGAATAGGTGGAGGTGGCGCGAGGTTCCAGAAGACAGGAAGACACGGGGTAAGGATTAACTTTGGGCCAGCCGCAGGTGCAGGAGGAAGTATCGTGGAGCGTACCGGCGCCGGCGTGTATATTTGAAGGTGGGCAAGCTCGGACGCAGGTATGGCATAAGCAGAGAAATTGGAAAGCCGGACTTGTACAGCCAGCCAGCAGACTTGTTTGGCCGACGGTGGGGCCGGCGATGTTGTCAGATGTGAGTGCCGATTGATCGCGCGGGAAGGATGGATCAGCCGGTGCAACCGCATCCGTTGCGTGAGCTGGTCGGGCGCAGCTGCTGGCGTGGACAGGAAGAGACCGGGTTCCCCCAAGTTGTATGAGTAGGTGAAGCCTGCTTGACAGGAGAAAGGAGAGTGGCTCGCTCGGTAGAGGAGGACCTGTCAAGTCGCTGAACCATGGTTGCGCGCCGGGAGCCGTGACCCCTATGATCACCATCGCTAGGCCCGGCTTGCCGTCGTTCGGGAGTTCGGGAGGTCGTCGGAGGAGGGTGTTGAGCATCTCCAAGTGGCTCACTTCATTTCCCCAAGCCCCACTTGGCTCCCGTTTCATCAGGCCTTCTGCTTCAGCTACCACAGCCTCACAAGCCTCCCGTTCGAAAGCAGAAGGCAACATCGAGCAGTAAGCATTCGCTTCCTGCCGATCCCAGCACGCGCATCCTGGCTCGAGCCTTAGCCCATGCCCAAAAAAGCCGTCCCAAGAGATCCCATCTCTCCTCTCGCCCCAGTGTGCTGGCAACCCACGCGCCCGGCCGACGTCACGTCCGCTCTTGGCTCCGCCTGTCTTGGCCGCCGCCTGATGAAACCGCGCGCCTGCAACAAATTGATCATCAATGACGTTTTGGCCTTGTTCGGCAGCGTCGGCAGACAAGGGCGCTGTGGAACTTCGCTCCGTGCCGTCACAGGGTACAGCTTACTCCAACGTCTGCCTAGTTTTTTTATTTTTTCCTTCCTTCCTCCCTAGACCGTCGCTCTTCACTCGCTGCCAGTTTTCGTCGCCCAGACCGCCAACTCGTTCCTCGCCAGCTGGCCATGCACCCGTGGCGCAGTCATGATCGGAGGGGTCACTGCAGCTCGGCTGGTTTGGCCATTAGCAAGTCCTGCGACAGTGCTGGCCATTGTCTAGCGCAAAGAGGGGCTCACCTCCTTCCGTCCACGCTCGCTGTAGGCTGTTTGCGGTGGCCCCTTGACTGCCCGACCGCTCACATGGCCTTGCCTCCACATCTCTCGCAGCCCATGCTGAGAATCTTATTCGACACACTATGATCGACCTTGCAGGCGCAGGGATGCCCGCCAGTATTGGATCTGCCCGACTGCGAGCGGGCTGAGCGAACGCTCGCGCTCCCCGTAGCTTCTTGCATAGATCCTGCAGCTTTACGCGCATGTGGCAGTTCTGGTTCATGTACTTCCGCGCCTCTGCATTGCCGCCTTTGCGTGGCCGTACTCCCTAGCAGGAATACCCCGGCGTGTCACGAAACGGCGGACCCATCAACGCCTTCCCGTGCTCTACTACATACCCTGCAAACGCTCTTGGAAAACATCACACGAGCGTGACGTCAAATTTGTTACCATGCGTCTAGGTACTGTCTAGACGGAACATGCGGAGCAAGGTCAGTACGTATTTCCTAGTGCACAAAAGGGCCTGTTTGGACAGCGAAGTCGAGTTCCACTTGCATCCAGACATCTATACACAGACCACGATCTGTACAAGGCCTATTTTTATCCCGGCGGTGAGTAGGCAGCTACCTATGCTGGGGAGCCAACTGTACCTACCTACGTAGTGCACTCTGTTCTGCCCCACTACCTATGTCTTCATCCAAATTTAATCCGGACGCACGGCGTCACGGCATATGAACACGGCCGTTGCAACTTGTGCCAGCAAGGCTGACAAGGGCACTTTGGCCGCCCAGGCGCAGCTGTGCTGCGGATAGAAATCCTTGGTGTGAGAACGTAGTGATTTCAAATACATATAATTGCTCCAGGCAATACGTGGCAATCAGCAAATTTTGATCCCACAACACTCGACACTTGCACCATGCACTTCCGCGCGCCGCCCAAAGTACATCTTAAGCACCTCCTTCACAAATGCCTTGTCCACCTCGCTCCAGCCATCCAATCCCATCCTCCTCACATCCTCACCGTGCACCTCCACTTTCCTCTTTTCCCGCTCATCGTCCATGTCGTCTTCCTCGTCATCCGCCGCATCCACTATGTCCGCTAGCGCATGGAACACCTCCCCCGTCAGCCGGTGGAAGTATGCGATAATGGCCGTATGCGGTGCGCTTGAGCCTGTCGTGTTATACCAGCTTTGCGCCATGGTATCGGCATCAAAGGAGTTCTGACGAATTCCGGGGCTCATGGCCACAAAGTCGGACAGGTCTCCCAAGAGTGCACGGTCGCGGTCACCCTCTTCGGACTGGCTGGTGTCTTGCTCGCCGGCGGATGCCCACCACATGAAGCCGGCATAGGCCAGTTCCGACCAGGTGTACGGCTCGACGATACTGTCAGCGTAGATTTCCTCCTCTCCAGCTGTGTTGTTTGATTGAGCTGGAGAGTTCAAGAGGGCTGCTTGATCACCGTCATCAGATTCATCCTCATCCTCGTTTCGCTGTATGTCAACGGAGCTACGTTGAGTCTTGCGCAACTCATGATGAAGAATACGGAAGCGACGAAGGTCACGCTGCGTGGCCTTGATCTCCTTGCCTCTGAAGTCCTTGATGCGCGGCCAGCATTTCTCTTGAGGTGAGCTCGAATCAGCCTGCACTGGGAGCTCGACCACGATGTCATAGAGGTTCGTCTTCATGGCCAGAACCTCGTCGGTAGAGCAAGCTGCCCAACCTGGCGACCAACCGTCTTCGTCGGAATAGTCGGTGGTATCTCTTGCACGATCATGCTTTACGGCTTCCTCTTCTAGCCTAGGGATGTCGTGTACGCCGACGGCAAAGAGACTCCGCAACCGCTGCAAGGGCTCCGAGCCTGGAGGGAGAGCATCCGTAACCGAGGATGGAATAGTAGAAAGAATACAAAGATCATACACTGCAAAACTAATCAGCTTTCGAACAGGAGCCAGCAGTGCGCTAAACCATACCAAATTCACAAGCCAACCGAACCGGCGGTGGTGTGATAAACAGAATGCGCTTTCTTAGCAGCGCTGCGCGAACCAGGGGGAAAACTAGAGGGCCAAAAGTATCTATATATTTCATTATAGATAGTGCAGGATGAGCCGCGCCAAGGGTTTCGTGTTTAGGGTGGAAGGCTGTAACGTTGGAAAGCCCGCGGCTTCTACCATAGCTCGAGCTCTTCCTCGTCGCTTTGGGAGGGGACCGGGAAGAAGATGGCGCTAGAGACTCAGCATCTTGCGACTCTTGCTTGTTTGCGGCATTGTTCGATGCCCAGTATTCCTCGAGAATGTCCGTCTGGGTGGTGTCGTTTACAAGAAGCCTGAACAATAATTAGCCTAAGTCGAGAAAATGGAGCAATTGATGCGTACCTGGCAAGCTCGTTGAGGTTTTGCGCGTGCAACCAACTCCTACCAAGCCTGCCCTGGCTTAGAGGCACCAGGATGCCCACCGCGACCAGATGCGCATTGCGCTCTTCTTCGGAAGCCGGACCGTTGATGAACGAGCTCAATCCAACGTATTGTTCATGAATAAAATAGCTTGCAGCCTAACATCAGTTCCAGTCTTGGGATGTCAGACGATTGACATACACAAGATCCTCCTTGACGCTGTGTAGGCCCGATGGGAGAGATTTGAATTCGACGGCGCCATCGAGGTCAACTATTGCGCCGTCAGTCGCTATTGTTGCAAGAGAGTTGCGGAGGAGTGCGCACCACCAGGGAGAGACCTCTTCCAGGAAACGGTATATCTGAGGTGTCTGTTAGCCGCGAGCGCTTCCCCGAGTGCCGCCTCGATGATGGTGACGGCGACGTACCCGATCTTGAGATCGAACTTGATCAAGAAAAGCGCAGCCAGAGGGGGAAGCCCTTCGCCGTTCGCGGCATTGCCATTTGACTGCACGACATCAGCCGACATGGTTTCGGCGCTTCATGGCAAGCGAGAGGCGAGGGATTGGTGAAGGAAGCTGTTGTACGAATAGCTCCTTGGGCTCCTCGGGCGTCCTGTCGCGTCATGCGTCAGCGTCGGCGAGCGGGCCATCGAAATGACCGAGGGCGCTGAACCTACCTAAAGCCGAGTCCTCCGCACCACCACAAACATCACGTTGTACGAATACGGAACACGGCCGTTTCACCCGCGCTCAGCAATAAAACCTCCCCCGAACCATCCGACCGGTCGAGAGCGTCGACACTGGACAACGGCAGATGCTATCATTGCCAAGACTCTCCGCGATGACGCTGCCCTAATCAAACGTAACGCAGATGCGCCGCTACTCATCACAGTAGGTAGGTGTAGTGTCGCATCCCTCTAAAGACCTCGTAACCGTGGCACACCGATTCACTATCCGATTGATTGTTATGATACCCTTCGTGCTCCCAGCACTCCGAGAAAGACCGGGCATATCGACCAAAAGAGGTGTCTGTAGGAGCACTGACTCCCCTTGTACGGTTACCATTGCAGCTTCCACGAATGCCCATGGCGGACTGTACTAGTCATGGTGTTCAGGTGAGCCCTCTATTTATCCTAAAAGACTATTCTGGACAACTGGAACACCAATGCGGAGTACACTGCGGTCCTATTCGTGCAAACGCATACAAGGATCTTAACGAAGTTCATTGGTCCAGCCTTCCAACGAACTACCACCAGGTATTTCAACCCTACCGGTACAAGTTGCCTAGAGGCGATCCTTCACATGGGATTGTCACGGCCCCATACCAGGTAGTAAGCTGACCGCGCGTTTGGGTGGCGAGAATGTATCGAGAGCTCACGCAGGACAGATGATCCTACGAAATTTTTCTAAATTCTAGGTTCGCAGGCGATGGTGGCGGCAGGGCTGTGAGTACCGACATATCACTACAGGACTGTCGATCAATGTCGGCTTCCGATAGATTCTGTGCCGCTCGGGTCATACAACAGTGCTGTAACCACAGAAGTAGTACAGAACTCCGGAATTTGCACCGGCCAATCTAGCGCGAACATGTCAAGGCATCTTCTGGAGACCGTTGGGCCTGAACACACCATCAGGTTTTACTGCGTGCGCGTGTTTGGATCAGAAATCGTAGTCGTCGTAGTTGGCACGCATCCACGCATCTTTTTTTTTTTTTTTTTTTTTTTTTTTATTTAATCTTTGCGTATAAACCAACTCCCTCCATTTATTCTCTTTACACGTTGAACAAAGCTATCTAGCATCGCCTATGTATAAAGCTGAAGCTAATAACAACTATCAAAAGTGCCTGGTAGGTATCATAAACCCAAGTAACCCTGCGATCAAGGAAAGCGCAAACTAGACAAAAGGGGTAGTAAGTAGGCAAATTACCCGAAGACAGCTCGTAACTCGATGCTATAGACAAGAAACCAAGAGTGGGTAGGGAAAACAAACATCCCTGACCATTAATTCGTCTAACAGAGTAATAGCTCTCCAGACGAAATTGGCCCTTTAATTGCTACAATAGAGACGTGAGTCGTTTCGTACTCTATTGGCAACTTCAGCCCCCACGCCCTGCTGCGAATACGAGGCCCGCCGCCTACGCGACCAGCTACCTCCCTAGGTAAGCAAATGACGTCCAAAGCCAAGGACAAGACCAGCGTAGGAATCTGAAAACCTGCGCGCCAGGATCACTTCCTGTACTGCGCAATGAGAAAAAAAGCCTTCCCCGCCCAATTTCCATCTTTCCGCGCCCGTCCGCAACGCTCGTGCTGATCCGTCGTAAGCTTCCACAGCTGTCGGATGGACTCTTCGCCGACGAGCGCTTGCGCGCTTCCCAAGCGCCAATATCAGAACTAATTACGCTGTAAACTGTTTCGCTGATGAACTTTTACACGAATGTAGTACCGGACGAGAAAACTCCCAAGCCTAAACACAAGGTACCTGGCCACGCAAAATGGTATACAACAATCAGCTCCCCCCTCCCTCCCTTCCAAGAAACTCCAAGAAACAAAAACGGCGTGCCCAACTCAACCAAGAATCCCAGATGCTATTATATGCGACTTGTGCCCAAAACTCCGCCCAAAGCAACCGGACCCCAAAAAATAACTCCCTGCTCATCGTAGATAATGCATTAGCGCGATACGCGCCCCATCTCAATCTCCTGCCGCCTTTCCTCTCTGCTCTTCGCCCTGATTTCGCCGCCCGCGCCGCGGACATCGGTCCTACCGCGGGACCCTTCGGCTGACACACCCGCACTGCTTCTGTTGCGCCCGTGTGTGGGCCAGAGAGACCTCCCCGGCTGTGCCGGCGGCTGTGGAACTTGCTGCTGAAGTGGCTGGTGGAGTGGATGGTGGAGAGGCTGGGACAGGCTGACGTGGTCTCGTCGGCTGGCCCTGCGTACGTTTGGAGTGCTTAGGTTCTCATTATCACTCTCATTATCGGGCAGCACGAGCTGGAACGTGCTCTGGTTGGCGTCCGGGCTGGGTCGGTTATCCGGTTGCCGAAGCAGCATGGCCAGATGACGGCGCATGCCCTCATCCTCAGTGACGGGGTAATTGTATGTGGTGGTGCTGCCGCCTTGATATTCTGTATGGCTGTTATCGATCGGCCCGGCGTAGCTATATTGATCGGGGTTTCGCATGGAAGGAAACATGTTGGCCAAGTAGTTGGTATACCATGGCTGTTCGTGTTGCCAAGTAGTGGACGTACGGCCTGTCAGCTGCGTCCGTAGCCGCGCAATCTGTCGGTTCGTGACTAGCAGCAGGAGCGCATATACGGCGGTCATGCAAGCCGATAGCACGGTCGCGGCAACGGCGGATCGGTTCCAGTGAAAGTAGCTGTAGGCGAGGAACGAGTAGAGGACGGTGAGAAGACCGAGGGCGGAAGAGGCCATGGAGGGGCTGAGATGCTGCGGTTAGTCATATGCTTTGGACGATAGATTTGACATTACGGAGGCAGCTGGAGCGCACGTACAGGAACACCGACTCGGCTTGGAAGACCAGAGACTTGCACGCGAAGCACAAGAGCCCGGTGAAGGCATAGCCAGCGACCAGCAGGGCGACGACAAAGATGGTGACGACGCTCTCGCTGGGTTTGAGTATATCCTTGGGATCCGAGTGGAAAAGCGGTGGTATTATGAGGTAGCTGGATTGCGCGCATGGTCAACGGGTCGGTTCGGACAGAGCGGCTTTGGTATTTACGTACCCTCCCAGTATCATCCAGGAAGCCATGAGAGCGATTAGTCGCCAGTACCACTAGAAAAGACGGTCAATCAAGGTCAAGGTGGCTTGGATGCGCCGGGGACGTACGGCTACATTGTCGCGCTCGGCGTTCAAGTCGTTGACCGCCATGTATGGAGCGTTGGCCGTCATTGGGATGGGAAGCACTGGCGTGCGCGGAGGTCGCCAGGTCACGGAGCCCTCATACAGTGACGGAAGGGTCGAGGCGGAGGGTAGAGGATGACGCTTATAGGCAGAGTCGGGCGGAGGAAGCCTAGTGAGGCTGAGCGGTGACAGGCGGGCGGGCTGGCTGTGCGGATGGATGGGCGGCGGCGGGGGGAAGATCTAGGAGGGCACCACGAACTTGGGTAGGCTGTGCGCCGCTTCACAAGGGTATGCGCGAAAACGAGGGACTGCAACGAAGGGAAAAAGGTCGAGGGCGGCGGGTGGGCGCGTAGGTAAGAGAAGGCAGCAGGCGGGCTGAGGCTGAACGAGGGCCAAGCGAACAATGCAATCTCGACTACCTACCGCTGCGCGGATCGTTGCCGACCGGCAGACACTGCTTTGCTTTTGGAGATCGACACGAACGAGAGAGCTCTCGACGCCTCGACCCGGGCCTTGGACGCCGCCTGGCAATGGCGAAGCGGGACAGCGGGTGGCTAACGGGCGCCAACCACCGGCGCCTCATGCTGGCCTTGCGCCTCAGACCGCACGTCCGCTCGTCAGCACTACCATTTATTTTATTTTAGCACCGCCTGCGCCACGGCCGTCTGCCGCTCATGCCTTCAACCTTTTTCCAAAATAGAGCAGGCCACCAAAAAGGCTTACTGATCCTACTTGGCCCCGTCCTCACCTAAAACCCCTCTAACTATTATAGCTTCTCTTCGTGACGTGCATGCATGGTGCGCTAATGACAATTGTTAGCAATTGGCCTCATCTAGTGGCAACCAACTGCCTACAAATACCAACTATCGACACTGCCATTGATTGACCTTCCAACAACCCCCACTTCATCCCCACACCTCTCCCTCTCTCTCTCCAAGACTCTGCTCATCACAACAAGCAATGGCTTCTCTTCTTCTCGGCTGTGGAGCCGTCTTCTCCGAGCGTCTCGCCCGTCGTCATAGGGCCCACCGGGAAATAACCCGCGAGTACGCCGAAAACTTCGAGCTGCTAAAAAAGGAAAACGAGAAGAGAGTGCAAACCATCGCCAATCAATACTCGGCGTCATCCTCACCGCCGCCTAGCTACGAGGACATCCACGATGCAGCCAGTGCCGGTGCAATTCCATCGGACAGGAGACCTGCTGAGAGCAACGTCCAACGAACATAAAGATGGACATGATCAGCAAACGAGTGGAACCGGAGACGAGACATTGTGTGCCCGGGAGATAGTTTTTAAAAAGTTTTTGAGTTGGGTAACGGTGATTTTGCAAAGCTGGATTTTTGATGATTCAAGATGGCGTAATGGAAAAAAGGGACTAGAGTATAGAAACATTGGAGTTGGTTATGGAGGAATGTAACAGTAGTATAGACAACGCAGTTCTAGAGTATCGTATTAGCCGTCTAGTGGAAACGGTTAGGAATATAAAGATGAGGAATCTTTCAAGTGTTCCGTTGTCCCCTTTTGGCGTACAGTCATCGATGCGTTAAACGACGCCTCTTTGCTTGTCGAGATAGCTTCACCGTCAGCGGTCCACGGTTTTCCCAAGGCATGAAAGGTCATTTTTGCTAAGCAGAAACCCCTTCAGCAAAAGACCTTCAATTCGGTGATACTTTGATAAAACCTCCTGGGTATCTAGAGCAATAAATGCAATCCAAAAGTTGCTCTGCCTCTGTCTTGACGCCTTTGCATGCCAATTGAGGATAAATAATCAGTAAACGACCCGAATAATCACGCCCGCTACCCTACCTTTGCCCCGAACGCCAAAACCCAATGCAATGACCTTGAACGGTGCAAAGTCCTTAAAAGCCAGCTGTTCAATGCCGGCTGCTCTTCCGATCTGCAACGAGCTTCACCTCATGACGGGTGGCCTGGCCTCCTTATTCCACTTCACTCTGCTACACAACCAATCCACTGCCTCTTTAACACCGGTGCCTGTCAGAGCGCTGCAAGGTAGCACGCGACTGTCCCGGACACTGCCTCCTTTTTCGCCCTCAAAGACCTTCCTAACCAATCCCTCCTTTATCCTCACCACTTCGACGCAATCCTCACGATCCTGCTTGTTCGCCAGCACTAATAGCGGCACCCCTTCGGTATCTTCATTCTGTAGTACGTCCTCTAGTACCATCCTGCACTCCTGAAGGCGACCATCGACCTCCTCGTCTGGTCGTATCTCTGCGAGTTTGGCAAGGTCGGCGTCACCGACGTCGCTGCTATCGATCACGAAGACTATGGCATGACATGATGCGTAGTAACTTTGCCACAGGCCGCGCAGAGAGTGCTGTCCGCCGACGTCCCAGATCTTGAGATAAAGATCAGGGAGGGTGATTGTCGAGACGTTCTGCCCGACGGTAGGTACGGTTTTCAGATTGGGATGTAAGGATGCGGAGAAGATTGCTTTGATCTGTTCGAGGAGCGTCGTCTTGCCAGCGTTGTCAAGACCAAGGAGAAGGATGGAGTATTCTATGGGGTTGCGTAAGCCTGCGAATCGTTGGACGCGCCGCGCGGCGCAAACTTGACAGCTGCGCACCTTCTTTGCTGGTCGCATATAGGTAGAGACCTTTCATGAGGTGGTACATCCTGACAGTTGGCCGCGCGAACCGTGCGACAAGGTGGTGGGTATCTGGGGAAGATATGGAAGCACATGCGCGTTAAGATCTGGCCTGTGGACACAAGGGCGCTTGACTCAGGCGGACTGAGCCGTGTCATTCACAATGACTCGCTCCTCGCAGAGCTTCATTCCCTGCTTTCGGAGTTCCCGTCCCCACAAACGGTTTCCACAACAATGACAGCACGCGTGCTTTCATCTCACTTCACTAAAGCGCGTCACTTGAATAAATAACTCCAGGTCCCCGAGAGGCTGGTCAGCCACGCAACAACACACACGCCTGGAGCCAGGTCTCACCCACCAATAAAGCTCCCACAACACTTGCGTCATTCCAACGCGTGGTACCCGCAACCATGGCGCCCGTGGAATCAGACTACTTCAGCTCGAACCATCTCCCTCTTTTGCTCCTTTTTGGCAAATTCGTCATAGTCGACCTTTGTTTGGTTCAAGTCATCACCTTCTGCAAACGCGCCTCCAAGGCGTTGCCTCCCTCACAGACCACACGCGTACGCTCTGAGACGCGCCAGAAGAATGTCTCCACGTTTGCATGGCTCGCCGTCGCTAGCTTACTCGTGACTGGGTACCAGGCAGTCCGTGCCCTGGTTTATTCGTATGATGCTTGGGCGCAAGAGCATGGTGAGACAACGCCTGGGGCGTTATGGGATGGCTGGTACGCCGGCGATGATGATATGACATGGCAGCTCGGCAAGTGGTGGAGGGACACTGACCTGATCAAAGAGTTTGCGCAGCCTGCAATGGGGACTAGCAAAGGCCTTTGGTGGACGCAGCAGTTGCTGGTTGCCAGACTTGCTTTTGCTGCTTTTCTGGGTATCGAAGGTAAACAGACGCCCGATTTACTGTTTTCATTGTTGTCAACGCTGATCATAAGTAGGCCATCGTCGTGATATCTCCAAGAAAACCATAGTATCACTCTTAATGCTCGTTCAGCTGTCTGGTCTCAGCATTGCCCAGAGCTTGTTCTTCATCCTTCTTTTGCTCACGCCGGTGCCTGCAAGGCCAGCGCAGAGCCAAAGCCATGCCCGGTGGAGCCCTCATCCGGCGGTCTACATCGTCTCTGTGTTTTGTTCGGCGGCCTGCGTTCTAGCTATGCCAACTTTGGCATCAAACGGCCTTGGTTTGATTGCTCTCGCCGGAGATTTCACAGCCCAATTGTTCTTGGCTACGGCTGTCAGGGTGAGTAACAATTGACGTCAATATCTAAAAATGCCGTTTGAGATGCTGACTGGCAGTAGTTCGTGCCTAAGAGCTGGGGCAAGGAACACAGTGATGTCTCCTCAGCGCACGAGGCAAGTGCTTCAATCTATCGCGGCATTGCGTTGGTGTCCTTCGGTCTCTTCCTCAGGCGCACCTTTTGGGCTGCCTTGCTCAACTCGGGTGATACATACCAACGCCGTTTCAATTTTGTCTGGACGACACATGTCAAACAACAACGACCAATTCTGGAGAAGCTGTTCACTGCTTCCGTAAGGATCCTAGGCGCGGTCCACGAGGACCCTGTTGTCAGCAACATTGGATGGGATGTTCTGCTATCCGGCTTTGCACTCTGTACCTGGGCAGCTGTGAGAGGTCTAGACGTGACGGAAATGCTCAAGAGCATCACGCCTTGGTCAACCAAAAAGCATCGCGCGAATCACAAACGCGTCGCATTCTCGCCAGACGTCAAACGAGAGAAGAGCGAGACGCCTGCTTCAGAGACGCCCGCTCCTTCGGCAGGTAAACGCGGTCGTGGCAGGCCGAAAAAGAATGCTGCTCCTGCTACAGCTTCTGCCGCCGCTCCTGCAACACCTGCACCTTCCACCGGACGAGTCTTGCGACGTCGGACTGAGCTTGAGACACCCCGAAAGGATGAGTCGGACTTGGAAGATGCACCGTACGTACCGCCGCCTTCAACTGCTGCAGAGGTTGCAAGCACGGAGCGCGAGGAGGAACGAAACGACGACTTGGCGGATGACGCTGAGGCTGCGGCTCTGGCTTGGGGGTTGTCTCTTGTCGGCGGGTTGGGATTGATGAGCTCGGCTGTCATGGGCGCTGAGCTTCGTAGCAGATGAAAGGGTTGACGGAGACGGATCTTTTCTTTCTTTTTCTTTTCTATGGTGGGCGTTCCACGGTTGGGGAGCAGGGAGAGGATGGGAGTCGAGTAAGGCCCAGCTCGACAAACATTTTGCCCATGATGGCACTTCTGCACAAGTACGAAGTATATGACCTTTTTTTTGCTGTTTTACCTCAGGCTCAGGTTTCATGTGCGTGAGCAATCTCGAGGCGCATGCAGCCGCAATGCCGGATGACGAGACGAGGTGGGATGTGATGAGGCGGGCGGTTCACCGCTCAGAGGAAGCGGCAGGGGTGGGCCACGGTTCCTTGCGTCGGGTTGCACGGGGAATGCGGATCTGGAGCAGCGCTGCCCCGTCGGGCTGACGATCTGGTGCGCAATCAAGGCGGCGTCGAGGGATTCTGCCAGCCGTTCCACCAAACTTCCAAACTCTCCTCCCCATCGCACGCGAGCTCTCAGCGTCATAGTCGCCCTTCGCACCTCCATCAAACCGACCACCCGTGGGCTCGCGCGTCCTAGACGCTATCAGTACCCCTGCCGCACTCCCCACGACGCATCACGGAGCAGCAGCAGCAGCGGCTCCCTCTGCATTTCCCATCCCGGCAGGATTGCGTGAGAGGCGCAAGGGGGTGTTGCTTGGGCAGCGACGAGACCATCGCCCGCCGCCGCCACGATGAAGGTGAGCCGCGACGTCCCTTTCCTTTTTCCCCGCCTGCTGTTCTTCCTTCCCGGCCCTCCCTCCCTGCGCTCAGCCCTACCGTCGCACATCCAGCATGCGACTGTGCCTGGCCGGCGCCTTTCCGTGATCGGCATGTGCGAGGAAGCGTCTCCTGTGACGCGTTACTTCCTTTTCCACTCCCCCGGACCGTCGACGCCGTGATCCTTCGCCCTCCAGCGCTGGGCCATCGTGTTTCCACTGAGCTTTGAGACATGAGGCCCAATCGCACCCCTGTCGCCTGCTCCCCATTTCCCTCCGCGTACTACGGCTGTAAGACCTCGCGCCTCTTATCTTGATCTCTTCTTCCGGTTCCTGCTCGACGCCGTCACACTCATGGCCGCTGCGGCACTGGCCGCCGAGATCCTGCAGCTTGCCATCAAACCTCAGCCGGTCTGCATCGTCGGCTCATAAAGCTGCCGCTCACAATTATGGTTCAGCTGTATTGAGTCCTCATAAACCCGCCGTCGCCCTCACCTGAACTTGCCAGTCACCTTGCCCCAATCCCGAAAACTTCTCTCCACTACTCACACATGACGTCCTCTTACCTCTCGCTTCCGCGTAGACACGAACCCGAACAGCAGTACATGGAAGAGCACCATGCCGCTTTCGACAGGTTCAAGCCTGCAGCAAAACTGACTCTGATGCGATATTTCCAGGACCTGCAACAGGCTGAGATTCCACCGAGCCCCGTCGCCCCACGCTATCACACCGGGCGTCTGCCGAACAGCAAGGCCGGAGATGGAAAACCACGATTGTTGTTGATGGGTCAGCGACGGTGAGTCTTCACGTAATCTTGGGGTCTGACGTGGGATGCCGTTTCACAGCATGAGAGTGCAATACTGATTAGGAATCATATGGCAGGAGTGGCAAGTCGTCGATATCGAGTGTGGTCTTCCACAAGCTCCCACCGAGTGAGACGCTTTACCTTGAGACTACCACCCGTATCAAGAAAGAGTCTATGCAGTAAGCGAAGCCCTCCCCTACCGGCCTGTGCACTACGTAGTGCATAGAGGTGCGCATGACGATCAAGATGCTAAAGTGCATTAAGCTCTTTCATGGATTTCCAAGTCTGGGATTTCCCTGGCCATCTGGATTATTTTGATCCCGCCTTCGACGTGGACAACATCTTCGACGAGATCGGTGCGCTGATCTGGGTCATTGATGCTCAAGACGAATATTTGGATGCCATTACGCGCCTGAACACCACAATTCTTAACTTGCAGCACTCATATCCGAACATCAACGTGGAAGTCTTCGTGCACAAAGTCGACGGCCTGTCCGAGGACTACAAAAGCGACACCTACCGTGACATTATTCAGCGTGTGCAAGATGAGTTGTCCGACGCAGGTTACGAAAATGCACCAGTGAGCTTCTATCAGACGAGCATCTACGATCACAGCATTTTCGAAGCTTTCAGCAAAGTCATTCAAAAGTTGATTCCACAGCTACCGACTCTCGAGAGCTTGCTCAACAGCCTGTGCAGCACTTGCCGCATTGAAAAGGCATACCTTTTTGATGTTCTCAGCAAGATTTACATTGCTACCGACACTAGCCCTACGGACATTGGCAGCTACGAGATCTGTTCTGACTACATTGACGTCGTTGTCGATGTGAGCGAAATCTACGGCTGGGATCGACCGGACGAAGACGGAGACACGGAGAATGGCGACATCGCCGAGACGGGAAATAATGATGCTGAGAGCCTGATCACGATGGAGCGCAAGGGCAACAATTACCTTTATCTGCGCGAGATTAACAAGTAAGTCTCTGGCTGCAACCCTACATCAGGCCGCGGGCTTCGGCTAAAACCACACCAGGTATCTGGCTCTGATCTGTCTCATGGGAGACGATTCTCCGGCAGAGAAGAAGGTGCTGATCGACTACAACGTGGGGGTCTTTCAGGAAGCTCTTAGCCAGGTCTTTCCCCGGTGAGAGCCGAGCGCAACGTTGGCGGAGGATTTTCGTCCAAGGTAGCATTGGGGCATGTTGAATCTGCCAATAATTGGACGAGCATGTGGTGTCGTGCTGTAGAAATATGACATAGCGCGCGCAAGGATTCTTCAGGGAATCGACAAGAGCCCTTTGGGAGATGGAGCGCCAAGGGCAGCCGGAGCCCAAACCTCCGAGAGCCGGACTGCCCTGCAATGGAGCCCGGGCGCGGCACGGAGCGAGGAGTCCTCGAATCTCGGACGGTTAGATGAGCGTGTAGACTTGAAACAGACTAGACGGATTGGATGATTGCAAAGGGAGAGTTGCCTGAAGTGAAGGCGTTTTGATGAAGGCCTTCGGCGAACCCCCACGTCGGTGACATGGCGTCGCTCCCTGTAGGCATGGCTGAACCCCCCCAGCGACGCAGCTGCGCCGCAGATGCAGAACGAGCACTGCATGCGCGACGAGCATGAGGCACGCTGCTTTTTTTCCGGGGGGCTCGGGGACTCCGAGCAGCAGCGGGCCAGTTGGACGCGAGATATGCCGTTAGCTAAGCGGGGCGGCGCGGCTCCGCGGGTTCCCAGGCTTCTAGAAGCCCATTGTGTTTCTGGCATACGTGGATAGTGTTTGGGCTGGTGGGCCAAAGCGTGGCTCGGAGTAATTGAGCATTGCTGATAGGTAGGCCTGGTCGGAGTTAGGAGCTTCGGAGGTGTGAGAGAGAGAGGACAGCTGCCACTTGCATCACTCTCAAACCACCGAGCTCGCCCGCAACCCCCCGCTCTTCTGCCGAATCCTGAGAGCTTCACCACCACTTCTTCCTATCTCTCCATTCGCCGCAAGCAAGCATACGGAAGCAGAGATGGCCGACAACGCCAAGCCCAAGGAGCCCGAGCAAAGCGGCAGCAGCAGCAAAAAGCGCGCCGCGTCCCCCGCTGCCGACGACATTGGCCGCATCAGCGTGCTGGACATTCTGCGGGTGCTGGGCGGCGTGGTCCTGCTCAGCGCCGTCGCCAGCTACTTCATAACGGGCGACTCGCTGCTGTGGGGCTGGCGGCCATGGTTCGCGCGGCCAGACGGCCTCAAGGCATGGGTGGTGAGCGGACCTGGCAGAAGAAGCTTCATCCCGGGGCATTGAGGAGTAGAGCGCTAACAGGCAGGGGCGGATGCGCGTGCAGAAGGGGCCCCTGTCCCTCACCGACGACGAACTCAAGGCCTACGACGGCTCCGACCCTAGCAAGCCGATCCTCCTCGCCCTCAATGGCACCATCTACGACGTCAGCGCCGGCGCTAGCTTGTACGCCCACCCCAACACCCAACCATGACGACGTAGCGTAGCAGCGGCTGACACAGAACCCACGCACGCAGCTACGGCCCCGGCGGCGGGTACCACTTCTTCGCGGGGCGGGACGCGGCGCGAGCCTTCGTGACGGGCTGCTTCGAGGAGGACCTGACGCCCGACCTGCGCGGCGTCGAGACCATGTACATACCCGTCGACAACGACATGGCGGTGGAGGACGAGGCGCGCGAGAAGGAGGTCCCCAAGGCGGAGCTCAAGGTGCGGCGGCAGCAGGACGCGCGCGAGGCCCGCAAGCGCGTCAGGGCGGTCATTGAGGGCTGGTCGAAGGTCTTTGCGGGCGAGACCGGCAAGGACTATCTTGAGGTGGGGAAGGTGAGGCGCGAGGAGGGCTGGTTGGAGAAGCTGCCGAAGAGGGAGTTGTGCGAGAAGGCGAGGATGGAGAGGCCCAAGATGAGGAAGCCGAAGAAGGAGCAGAAGCAGAAGCAGTAGTGGTGGTTGTGGGGCTTTGTTTTTGGTTAGGGGGGGGGGGAGGGTTGGTGCAGAGAAATTGGTGTGTTGATTGTCTGGTACGTTGGCCAGCTGCATTGGGTCGGAGTAAATGGTGTAGCAAACGCTTAAAATATGCATAGCGAGGTATTTGAGTATTCGGGTTCTTGCATCAAGCCATATACGGAACGACCAGAGCACCACCGTACCATCCAACAAAGCCAACTCCACAGAATCTGGACATCGTGACAACACATAGAATCATTCCACCTGGGGGGTAACTCCAAGCCACCTCCACCCCAGATCCGCGCGCCCAAAACAGCCTTCCATCACATCCCACAAGCCCACTCCTCTAGCCCTTAATAGCAACCACCAACCCCTGACCACAACGACCAGCACCCCTCAGCGAAAGCGACAGTGGCTATCAACATGTCCTGCTGGGAATGAACACCTTCGCCAACCAACCGAAGAAACCCAACCGCTCGGTTTGGCACCGGATAATTTGCCCACCCCCTCTAGATATTTTGCCCACCCCACGTGATAGCATCTACAGAATTACATGATGTGTCTTCTAGTCTTTAAGATCTTAGGTCTCTATACCCTTATAAGTACGTTTATGCCCTTTGAATAATTTATTTTCGTACCCTTGGAGTATATTCTACGACTCGTATATATCTCTACCTCTATATCTATAAAGTATACTCTAGTACTCGTATATATCTTTACTATTATATCTTTTAAAGTACTATTATACCTTATATCTTTTTACTTCTATATAGTTATATAGTGCCTACTGGCTGTATTATTATAGTCTATTTATAACTACCTAAGGAGTACTCTGTAGGTATTATAGACTTTACTCAATATGTAGTTAGGGGTGGGCAAATTATCCGGGGCCGAGTAGTATACTGTACTCTAGGTACATACAGGTACGTACTCTACGCGCACCCACGGCGCAAGGACGGGCCGGGCCGTTGCCGTGCTCTACAATAGCGGGGCGAAGCATGCGGGGCTAACAAATACGAGTCTTTAATTTTCTATACGGAGTACCACGTATGTATGTATGTATGCTAGAGCACATGAACAAACAAACAAACAGAGAAAGACAATGCCGCTCCAGACCAACCCAACCCAACCCAACCCAACCGCCGAGCCGCCCAGTCAGTCGTACATCTCGTACATGCATACACCTACCTTGCCCACCTATCTCTATCTCTCTCACTCACACGCACACACCCACCCGCCTACTCTTCCTCGACAAACCCAATCGCCTGCCCCACCTTCAGCTTCTGCCCCTTCTCGACCTTCCACTTCCAGCCATTATTCCCCGTAAAGCCCTCGTCGAGACTGCTCTTGCGCTCCGCCTTGGGCGCCTCAAACACCAGCACAATGGTGCTGCCGAGTTGGAAGCCGCCCATCTCCTCACCGCGCTTCAGCGCATGGCCGCCGAGCAGCGCACTCGCGTTCTCGTACGACGCCTCCGCAAAGCCCGAGTACGGCTCGCCGCGGCGGGCAGCCTCGTCCGCGGCGCGGTCCGCCGCCGTGTCCGTCGTCAGGCTGTTGGTGCGCAGCTCCTTGTCGAAGTTGACGACGATGGAGCCGACGTTGGTCGCGCCCACGGGCGTGTAGCTGAAGAAGCCCCAGCGCCACCGGCCCAGCAGCACGACGCGCTCGTTGAGCGTGAACAGCCCTGGTAGCGTGCGCTGCAGGTACGGCGACACGCTGTACAGCTCGCCCGCGAAGTGGCGTCGCGACTCGACGACCCAGCTCACCGGCGAGTGGAACCGGTGGTAGTCGCCCGGTGCGAGGTAGATGACGCAGTAGTACAGCGACGTCGGCTTCTGCGTGCTGACGGGGCTCCACCACGGCGTCAGGGCCAGGTCGGCGCGCACTTCGGCTTCGGATGACGGCTCCGACGGCGTCGATTGGTCGTCGAGCATCTTCTTGGACTTGGAGCTCGACGTGCCCGAGAAGAGGTTCGGCAGCGTGTACGAGATGCCGTTCACGCGCGCAAACTCCTCGTGCGACTTGATGACTTCCTGCTCGCCTTCGGCGGCGCGGTCTTTGCTCGGATGGGGCGACGCCGGCGACGACGCGATGTTGGACGTCTCGAGCCCCGCGCCGGAATTGCGCCTGCTGGGCGGGTGGCTGCCTAGCAGGGCGTCCAGACTGTACGTCACGCCCTTGACCTGCTCGACCTCGCCGTTGTCGATCCTGCCGAACTGAATGACCTTCCCGTCGGCGGGCGAGAGTATGGCGTTCGGGTTGGGGTCCAGCGGGCGCACGCCGGGCTTGAGGGTGCGGTAGAAGAAGGAGGCGAGGTTGGGGAAGGTGTGGAGGTCTGGCTCCTCGACCTCGGACAGGTTGACGCCGAAGATGAACGAGTAGAGCTTGAAGCCGGGGACGCGGAGGTAGTAGGGGATCTGGAGCTCGTTGAAGCGGCCCCAGAGGCGAGAAATGGCCTTGAGAGGCAGCGTCGACATGATCTGGACTTGCCTGTCACGCCATTAGCAGCCGGCGCAAGAGGGACGTCTCAATGGACACGCACCAGGGCCCGCTGGGCCGGATCTTGGGCCTCTTTGGGGGCCTGCCGTCTTCACCAGCGTCAGTGGTGTACTGGCTTTCCTCATCCTCGAGCCTGGCCTGCTCGCGCTTCTGGATGCGGTAGAACTGAAAGGCACCAAGGAAAGCTACGCCCAGGGCGACGGGGATGGGCCTCCACTCGATCTTGGTACTTTTAAGCGCGGTATTGAGCCTTGAGCGGAAGGATTCTTTGCGGTGTTGGTGGTGGGATTGCGAGCAGCGCGACGAGGCGGCAAAAGACCTGCGGGGAGAATGCGGAGGAGAGCATGTGAAGGGCCGGGGTCTGAGGGCGCGTGCAGCAGGCGAGCGGTAGGGGAGGGCACGACGTAGGAAAGGCATGTTTGTTGTGTAGTGAAGGACAAAGCAAAAGAAGCAAAGCGATGACGCGGGTCCCGCAGCAGTGGTTCGCTAAGTTGTCATCCATCGGCAGCTGTTGGATGATCTGCAACGTTGCAGTATTCAATCTCTACAACAATGCCCGTCCCCAAGTCAAAGCCGCGACCATGACCGAGCAGACTGTCGACCTGCGCATCCTTTCCCCCTCGATCGAGGCCGAGGGCGGCGTCAGCTTCCGCGCCCTGCCCAGCTCCACCACCGTCGGCCAGCTCAAGGTCAAGATCCAGGATGCTCTACCCACGCATCCCGTTCCGGAGCGCATGCGCATCATATACCAGGGCCGCATGCTAAGGGACTCTATTCCGCTGGCCGAAGTCTTTGGTCGCGACACGGTGCGCCGCTGTCTCCCCGCACTTCGGATGAGTCCGCTTGACTGACACACGCGTCCAGGCCCAGATGCTGCACAACGTACACATGGTCCTCCGCGAAGACGGCCACCCCCCGGGCCCTAGATCCTCGACCGCGCCCCCAAACAACCCTTTCCGCGCCACTCCCGCTCAGCCGACGAATCCCTTCCGCGCTCCCGCCAGACCGCAATCGCTGCCTCCCCAGCAGCCTCAGCCAGGCGTGGCCAACGCCGCCAGATTCCCTCTGCCTCAGGCCCTCAACAACATACTGAACCATACACGAGAAACCCCGCCGACGCTCGCCTCCCAGGGCCAGAACGCCTTTCAGCAGTTCATTGCTCAGCAGCAGCAGCAAAGGGCCACCGGAGGCCAGAACCCTGCAACCAGCCCGCAAGCCCAGACCTCGCGCAACCCCCTCATCCCGAATGGCGCCACAATCACGCAGGGGGGCATAGGCCCGAACGGCGAGCGGTGGTCGGTCATGGTGAACAACACGACCCTGACAATCCCCCAGCAGGCCGGCTTCGGCTTGCCCATGCCCATCCCTGGGCAGTTTGCCAACATGCTGAGGCCTGCCTCGCCTTCAATGGCCAGGGACGGCAACAGGGCCATGGAGCAGGTCAGGCAGCATCTGGAAGCTGCGCGGAGGCAGGTCGAAATCATCAACAGTTTGCTCGCCCCGCCCGGCTCGTCCCGGGAGGAGCGCCTGCAGCTGCCGCCCTACAACTTCCAGCGCGCTGCCACCGAGATTGATCGCCTGAACATCTATCTGGACATGATGCGGAATCTACTCGGTTCATTGGTCGCCAACCCTCAGTACGCCCGCAACCGCGAGGTCGTCTCTCTTCAGATGGACAACGAGACCATGCGCCATGCCACCAGGAACCTGATACGTCACATACACAGTCACATCATCTCGAGGAGAGATCAGATTCAAAACCTGCAGCCAGATCTTGCTTTCAACCCCGAAGCGCCTGCCGACTTGGAAGCGTTGCTGCGTAGTGAGAACCCGAACGATTGGTTTGATATGATCAACCGGTCCATGCCGGGAAGACAGCCAAACGGAAATGCCGCGGCGCAGGGCGAGAACGGGCCTTCGGACGAAGTTCCATCGACGCCGAATCAGCCTATAGACACCAACGGCGTCTTCCTTCTTTGGGGTCCCGAGGGACCCCGCGGCGTCCTCCTCTCGCCTCAAGCCACGTTGACGTCTGGCTCCGTTCCCTCACTCACGGAAGCGTGGGCGGAAAACCTGGCATATCAGCGTGCGCTCAGCGACGTTGCGCGACTCGTTGCACCGACGCGCGCAGCATTCGCCAGTCGCCAACCCACCCCGCAACCAACCGCAACGCAGGCAGCCCCGGCAGACGCGCCTGCGCAGGCACAGCACGCCGCGGACCCTGGCGTCCAAGCCGGCGTGCACCAAGTCCAGGCCCAGCTGCTCAACAACCATCCTGTCGCCCCGCCTCAGCTGCAGCAAATGGCGCCTCCGCCCCAACAAGGCCAGGTCGCCATCGCCGCCGTGCTGGCTGGCCATCTCTGGATCCTCATCCGCATCTTCGGCTTCCTGTACCTCTTCGGCGGTGCCGGCTGGCGCCGCACCATCCTGCTGGCCGTCTGCGGCCTGGCGGTGTATCTTGTGCAGATGGGCTTCCTGGGCGAGCGCTTCCTCGGCGACCGCTGGGACCGCGTCCGCCGCTACTTTGACAACCTCGTCGGCATCCCGGCGCGCGACGGCGCAGCACTAGCACGAGGGGAGGGCCAAGCTGCAGCAGCAGCAGCAGCAGCAGCAGGAGCAGGCGGTGCCGAAGCAGCAGCGCCGGCGGGACAAGGCACGAGGCGGCGCCAGGCGCAGCCAACGCCCGAGGAGGTGGCGCGGCGGCTGCTGGCGCAGCGCGAGCAGCAGGACCGCACGTGGCTGCGCGACGCGGTGCGCGGCGCGGAGCGGGCCACGGCCCTGTTCGTCGCGAGCTTGTGGCCGGGGCTGGGCGAGCGCATGGTCGCGGCGCGTGAGGAGGCCGAGGCGCAGGTCAGGCGCGATAGGGCGGAGAGGGAGGAGCGCGAGCGCCGGGAGCGGGAGGCGGAGGTGGAGGCCGAGGCTGGGGAGCAAGCGCGCGTGGCTGCTGCGCAGGAGGAGGCGACGGCGGCTGCGGGGGATGCTGAGCGTGCGGGTGGAGAGGGCGTGCAGCGGGGGGGTGGACAGCCGTTGGCTGGCGAGGCTGAGGCTGAGGCTGAGGCGGTGTCCGTGGATGCTGCTTCTGGTGCTGCGGACAAGGGCAAGGGCAAGGAGAGAGCGGTGGTGGATGGGGAAGCGTCGGCGTCGGCGTCGTCGTCTTCGGCGTTGCCGGCGGGTGCAGGTGGTGGTGAGGGTGCGGCTCCGCGTGCGCGCGAGGGCTGGTCGTTTGAGGATGTGGATTGAGGTACTACTACTGCTTCTTCTTCGGGAGGATGTTTGGTTGCTGGGTCCTTTTTTTTTTTTTTTTTTTTTTTTTTTTTTTTTTTTTTTTTTTTTTTTTTTTTTTTTTTTTTTTTTCGTTTCCTGGACGTGAACGTCTGACTACCTATCTACGTAGGTAGGTAGGTAGGTAGGTAGGTAGATAGGTAGGTAGAGGCGGTGGTGGTGGGTGGTGGTAATGGCTGACTTGCTGAAAGTCCGATGCAGATGGATGGATGGATGGATGGACGGAAGGAACGAAGGGGGGAACAAGCAGGTTAGAGGACGGGAGGATGGGTGCGTAGGTGGGTCAGTACCTAGGTAGCTATGCGATGGGAAAGTGTGTGTTGTGTATATTCGTTCGTTCGTTTGGTCGTTTGTGTGCTGTGCTGCTGTGACGTGCGTGCTGTTATATATACTCGGTGAATGCTCTTATACTTCCTTCTCCGTACGTATACCTTAACCAAGCTTGTTGTATCTACTACGCAAAGAGGAAGAAGTACGCAGTAGGTACAGTAGGTTTATTTAATATGTGTGTATATAGGAAGGGAGGGCGATCTAGCGTGAGCTTTAGAAGAAATGGGTAGTGAGTGAGTGTAGGTATAGTCTACTTACCTATACAGAGCCTAAGTAATTTAAGATTCTACTAGTTAAGGCAGTAACCGTACCCACCAGACATCTGCCCGCCTATCTATCTATATGAACTAGGTACATATCCACCACCCGCCCGACTAGCTAACCACCTAACCACCTACCTAGGTATTTGGGATAAGATAGGATAGGTAAGCTAGTATCAACTGACTATTCTATCGTATATATATGAAGGACACTGCTTGCTAAGAGGTGAAAAAAAGGTGGGTATATCAGTCTAGGTATCTGGGTAGGTATCTATATCCACCCAGCACTCCCTCCCTACTCCCGCCCCTCCCCCTCCTCCATCACCAGCCCATCACCAACACCAACACCAACACCCACCAACCACGCCCCCTCCCCCCACACACTCCCCTCAACGCGCCTCCGCACCTCCCCCGCAAAAACGCCCCTCAAACTCCGCGCAACCCCCAACCCGGAATACGCGACCAGCCCCACGGCCGCGGCGCCCGTCTTCGCGCCCAGCGCCACAACCCCCTTCCCCAGGCCCTTCGCAACACCCACGCCGCCCTCGCCCCTCCGCAAGCCTCGAACCGGCTCCGTAAACACGTCCGTCAAGCCCGCCGCCATGCCCGTGCTGAACTCGCGCCCCGCGACCAACACGCCGGAGCGCCAGTTTGTGATTGGTGCGCGGGGGGACACTGAGGCTCCGTAGAGGCGCGGGACGGCGCGCAGGCCGTCGGCCGCGGCGAGGGGGAGCGAGACCAGCGTGCCGTGCGCGTAGTGCACGAAGAAGCTGCCGAGGGAGGTGGCGGAGGCGGCGGCCATGGCCGCGGCCCTGGAGCGGGACGCGTTGGTGCTGTTGCTGGCTGTGGAGGAGGCAGTGCTGGGGGCGGTTGGGGAGGAGGCGTCGGCGCCGATTGGCTGGCCCGCTTTGCCCGTCCCGGCCTGCCCAGGGACGGGCTTGCGCTCGATGGCGAAGCTGCGCTGCGTCTGCGTTTCTCTTGCCGCGCCGGCGCTCGACGACTCGCCGAGGGAGAGGTCGGGCGCCGATGCCACCACGGCTTTGGGTACGCGGCCGCGCCTGTATTCCTCGTAGGGCTTGAAGAAGATGCCGGCCGTGTCTTCAGTCAGGTCGGCGAGGGTGCCGATGCCCGAGGCCGTGATGGCCGTGACGGGGTCCCAGCGGTTGTTGTCGATGTAGAAGGGTTTGGTGGCGTGGCTGTTGTGGGAGTTAGTGTGTGTGTGTGTGTGTGTGGGGGGGGGGGGACCAAAATCACTCCTAAGGTAGATGGATGGGGTAAGGGGCAAGGAGAAAGGACGAACGACGCAGGGCATGAAAGCAGAATGGAATCACCTACAGCTTCAGCTTCTTCCGGTCCACCTTGCCCGCCTCCACCAGCACGCACGCCGCAGCCTTGGACAGCCGCACCTTGCGCTTCCCCAAGCGACACGTCCACGCCGCTGCCTGGTCCGCCAGCATCTCGCACGCCATGACCTCGAGCGGCGGCAACGCGCCATGGAACGACGCGACAGCGGCCTTGACGCCCGCCTCGCCGCGCATCCTCGCTGCTATCTCCTGCGCCGCCGCGCTGGCCTCCGCCGTCAAGCAGAAGGCTATTGCGCCGGCCAGCCGCTCCGCCGTCATCGCTTTGTATGGGATAGGGCTAGGCCCGGCGTTGCGAGCCGCGACCATGCGGCCCCAGAAGGGCTGGCTGGGAGGGGCGTTAGCACCGCGCTTATATACACGCGGGACGCTACTCACTCGCCGAAAAAGGGCACGATGGTGGTGGGCTTGCCGTTGAGCAAGCCGCAGGCCGTGGTGCCGGCGCCGCCGTGGTGCACCACGGCCGCGACGTGCTGGAAGAGCCACTCGTGCGGGCAGTCGCCGAGATACAACACGCCTGGGGGAGCCGCCTCGCCGCCGAGATTGCTCCAGCCGCGGGAGATGATGGCGCGCGCGCCTGCCGCCCGCACCGCCGACAGGATCATGGCCGTCATCTTCTCCGGGTCGTCGATGACGATGCTGCCGAAGCCGATGTAGACGGGGGGCGGGCCGGCGCGCAGGAAGGCGTCGAGCTCGGGCGGGGGCGTGTAGGAGGGCGGGTCGCGGAAGAAGAAGCCGCAGATGTCTGCGTGGAGAAGTCAGTGTTTGCGGCGCTGCTGCTGGATTAAACGGCCTACCGATGTGCGAGGGCCAGTCGGCGGGCTTGGGCACCAGCGCCGGCGACCAGCAGTACGTAAAGGGCACTTTGAGCGTCTCGGCCAGGTTGGGGCCTTCGCTGTTGGGCACTGCCTCGAGGTCGAGTGTTTGGCGCCGCCATTTGTTGATGACGTCGCCCAGTCTGCGCAGCCGGCCGTCAGTGTCGGAATAGGTACTCGAGTGGGTGGGAGGGCGCAGGAAACATACCCCTGCCAGGTCATGAACTCGACGATGCCGTACGAGATGAAGTTTGCGATTTTGGGATCCGTGTCCGAGTGCTTGAGGTTGGCGAGCGGGTGCGGAAAGGCGCGCGTGCAGCTCCACGGCATGGTGAACATGAGGTGGACAGGGACAGCCAGGGCCTGGGCGCAGTGGACATGAGCAAAGCTCGGGGGGTTCGCGATAATGGCGTCGGCGACAAAGGGGGCGCCCGACACGGCGTCGGGCTCGATGCAGGAGCGCCAGCAGCCGTCCAGCATGTCGGCGACCATCAGGCGCTTGCGCTGGATGTCGCCGCCGCGCAGGCTGGCCATGCTGGGCAGCAGGCCCGGGTTCTTGACCATGTAGGCCATCAACTCGGCCGGGTCGCCGCCGATGCCGTAGAACTCGAGCCCGGCGCCGCGCACGAAGCTGTCGAAGACGTCGTGCGTCGCCAGCCGCACGCGGTGGCCGTGGCGCTGCAGCTCGTTGCCCAGCGCAATGAAAGGCTGCACATCGCCCCGGCTGCCTACGACTTGGATGACAATGTTGAGTCGTACGGGGAAAGTTGAGCGTTTGGCCGTGTAGCTGGGCGGGCCTTCTTCTTCCTTTGGGATCATGCGCGCCAGCACCTTGGCCAGCTTGGAGTCGACGTCGATGTCGATGCGGCCATTGTCTGCGTCTGTCAGTCCTCTTGCTAACAAATCCTCTTCTCCTGTCATATGGATATACCTCTGACGTCTGCGCTCTCCGAGACATAGTAGCCCGAGGTAGCGACTTCCTGGTAGGGCGGCGGGGCCTCGGACGGCACGTCGTGATGGTCATCCATGACAAACGACAACAAGGCAGTAAAGACAGGAAAAAGCTAACTACTACAGAAGCAACCAACATCCCAGACAGCCCGCCGTCATATAGGTACGAGCACGCCCCAGGCTTGAACACGAACACGAACACGCTATACGAAATACTAAATACGAAATACGAAATACGCAGGCTTAGCTAGCGGGCGTCGGCCCCTACCCCCTCTAGCTATTTTGCCCACCCCACGCGATAACATTCACAGAACTATATAATATATTCTTTACTCTTATAGTATGCTTTAGTACTCGTACATTCTTACTTTTATATAATTATATAGTATCTATTAGCTGTAGTGTAATGGCTTAGTTATAGTACCTAAGGAGTACTCTGTAAGTATCGGCGATTATACTTAATATATATTTAAAGGGTGGGCAAATTATCCGGTGCCTTCGTGCCGCTGCACAGTACCATCTCATCCCCTCGCCACCTTACGTAGTTTCGCGGATTTACTACCAGGCAGACTGCGCTGCTAGAAGGGTATTCGGCTAATCTTAGCATGACCCGTTTTAGGGCGCGAATACGCTTATTCCTCTGCAGATACGCATATTCGCATCCAAGACTTTATTATAGACAACCCTCTCTGCTGCGGATTTTCCTCCTCTTCCTTGATTCTCTCTCTATTCCCATCTCTCGCTGCTTAATCGCCATCCATCCACCAGGGCTGAGACCCCGTCGTCGTCGAAACACCACTCCCACAACTACCTACGACTATACGCAGCTATACGAATACGCAATCAACACCACCACCGTAAGCAACCCCAACTGGACCCTCCCAGAGCACTCCCATCACCACCAAAAACCAAACCAACCCCTAACCACTAACACGCCCCTAGGCCCCATCACACACACAATGACCCCCAACCCCACCCCCAACCGCACACCCCCCCATCCCAGCCTCCTCCTCATACTACGCCCCCTGCAATTCCTCACCGCCCTCATCATCGCCGCCCTCTACGGCGCCGACCTAGCCCTCAGCAGTGCGCGCCACAGCACCGGCGCGCCGAGCTGGGTGTACGCGGAAGTGGTGGCGGCGCTGTCGGCGCTGACGTGCATTGCACGGTGCACCTGCGCCTTCTTGGGTACGGGTATGGGCACGGGCACGGGCACAAACACGGGCATGAGTGTGCTCGGCTCATGCCTCTCGTGCCTCTGCGACGCCGTGCTCGCCGTGCTGTGGGCGGCGCTGGCGGGCGTCTTTGGGAGCGTCTTTTTAGGCACACCATCGCCCGTCTCTGGTGACGATGGTGGAGGTGAAGGTGGGGTTAATGGGGTCAACAGCAGCGGGGACAAAGGTGCACTCAATCAGCGCGCGTACACCACCTCCCTCCCGCGCATGCGCGCCGCTCTCGCCCTCGATCTGCTCGGCATGCTGCTCTGGCTTGCGAGCGCGTGCGTGTGCTGCGTGTGCTGCGTGCGCGCGCGGCGGAGGAGTACAACAACAACAACAACAACAACACAAAATAACAAAAAGGTGGGCGGGACGCGGAGGCGGGGGGGCATAGAGGAGCAGTTGGAGTTTGTGCGGGCGAGGCGGGCGGAGCGCGAGGCTGCTGATAGTGGCAGTGGCAGTGGCAGTGGCAGTGGGAGGTCGTCGAGGGATGAGGACGACGACGAGTGGGAGGGGGATACGGATGTGGATACAGAGAAGAGCGCGCTGGGTGTTTAGGTCTGGTCCGTGGCGCGTGCGTGCGGGCGGGAGGGCGTGTGTGTTGTAGTGAGGGATGTGTATATGGTTGTGGCGTGTGCCGTGGTGATAGTAGGTGGGTGGGTAGGGTAGGGTAGGGAGGAAGGCTACCTATGCGGATGCAGTGCGTGTAGAAGTGCGATGAAAATGGCGATGTAAATGGCGATGTGTTGAGGCGTGATTGTGGAGGGGGAGGGGGTTGGTGGTGGTGGCGTGTCCTTGCTCTTTCTGTTGCTCTTTTCTTGCTGTTGCTGTTGATGGATTGGTGTGATGGCATGGTATGGGATGGGATGGGGTGTGTTTGCTTGCCTAGGTACTTACTTATTGGGTGGGTATGGAGGGAAGGAGGAAGGAGGGAGAAGAGAGGTGTGCATAGCATAGTGGACGGTTGGGCGCAGTGACCATGACGCCGTATGCATCATCATCGTCCCGTCCATCTTGCAGCCACACAAGGATCGAAAAACGAAAACCCCCGCACAGACGGGGAAGGGACGACGAAAACAGTACCTTGAAGCACACACACACATACACAATCACAATCAACCTCGTAGGGCGCATCCAAGTTGCAGCAAAGCGGAATACCGAATTCATGACTGTAAAAGCAAGGCACCCCAGCGGCCAAAAGGGGCTCGCGAGGGTACCTAGATTTCGCTCATCATCCCCAGACCACTAACTTTCGTCGGGAGTCCCATTTCGTAGCTTGGCCCCGTTCTTTTTTGCGACCCTACCCGCGCTCCCGTGTTAAAGAGATGCACCGGAAAGGGAGGACAAAGGTTTTGCAGCGCCGGCCCCGTTAAATAAAAGAAGAGGGTAAAGGAAGAAGAATGTTTCCCCGCTTTATTGACACCGCAAAAAAGAAAAAAAGACCCCGTTTTTGCTAGCTGCTCCGCTTCTGGTCATTGCCTGGGTACCCCGCACACGCTCGCTCGCACTGTGTTTTTCGTTGTCGGAGGGGCTGGATTTACTCCTGGCCGACAGCACGGGCTAGTGGGGGAAGTGGTTAGCCTTTTGTCGAAGTTCGAACTGACGTCGGGACTGGACTGGGACTCACTGTAGACGGTGCACTTGGAGTGGCTGACGACCTTCTTGATCTGGCCGTTGGTCTCGAGGTCGGAGAGGGCCTTGCGGGCAAGGGAGCCGTTGATCTTCAGCCTGTCGACCAGGGTCGCGACGGTGATGAGACGGTACGACTGGACATCCTTCTGGAGCTTGTCCGAAGTGGTCTTGTCGAGGACGACGGCGTGCTGGGCCTTGTCCTTGACTGCGGCGGGAGGTCAGCGGGCTGTACGTGTGTAGGGTTTGCGGCGGTCTGCGGTGCAGGTGATGGATGTGCATGTGTGGGTGAGGGGTTGCGTCGCGCGTGCGAGAAACGCTTTGTTTTCCGTTCTTCTTTTCTCTCTTTCTCAAGCGTTTTCGTCGTCGCGATTGCGGGGAGTGCGCATTTTTTTTTTTTTCATCGGCGATGGTGGTGGTTGTGACGGTGGTGCTGGAGCGGGTGGCGGAGAGACGTACCCTTGCCCTTAGACCACTTCTTCTTCTGCTTCTTTCCTCCAGTAGGTGCGGGGGCCTGTTGGGAGGGTCAGCGGGGGCGCGTGGGCGCAGGCGGCGGGCGGGCGTACCATTGTGATTGAGGTTGGAGTCGGAGGTTGTCGAGGTCAGGTCAGACGTGCCGCCGGTGCCAAAGTCGCTTTTCGAAATTCAAAGTGGGTGACTAAGCAAGCCCAAGCGAGCAGCAACCAGCGGGAGGAACGTCACCTGCCACCAAAGAGAACCTCTCCCTACGTCTCTCACACACACAAACACTTTCACCCTTTGACGACAGACACTCATTCTAAAATTTAATAAGCTTCACTCGGAATTGTAATTACTGCTGCAATCGCCGCCCGCGATGCGCTGCCCGGTCACGTTGGCTTCTTCAGCTTGGCGTCCCATCCATGGTCACTGCCCTCACTCCCCTCCCCGCTCTCTCCCTTGCCTCCAAGCACCAAGCACACACCCCCCTTTGCAGCAGCAGCAGCAGTAGCAGCATTACCTATTATCCCGCATCACAAGCCTCCAGCCTCCCAGCCTCCCCTCCCGCCGCCCACGCACGTATTTTCTCATGCGCGGATACATATATTTATATATGCACGTCCAGCGAATCACAAAGTACATACATACAATGTCATCCTGTCCAAGGCACCACGCACACACGCAGGCACGGCGGCAATATTTGATGTCGATGACAGACGACGACGCCGACGGGTGCCGATGCATGAGACGACGCCGCGCGCGCCCGCCTGCCCAATCACGACGGTGGCCGCCCCTCCCCTTCCTCCTCCGCCCCCTCCCCATCTCTCTGATCTCGCATGCATGCGGCCGGGCACCCAGAGTGCGTGCGTGCGTGCGTGTGTGTGTGTGTGTTGTGTGCGCGCGCGGGGCGCTCTTGGCTCGCGACCGCGGTCCCCCGTCCCTCCCCCGGCCGCGGCGCCGGCAGCGGCGGGAGCGGCGGCCTCTGCGGCTGCGGCGCTGCTGCTGCTTGCTGCTGCTGGAGCGGGTCTTTGTACATAGGTACATGCTATACATATGACGCACCCACGGAGCAGTTCATCTATCGCGTGCCTTGGCTCTTTGCTGCTGCTGGCTGGGCCACTACGTACGTGGTATATTGCGCACAACCACCGCTGCCACTACCGTCACGCATCGTCACGCTCCCTACACTCCCTACGCTCCCGCCCCTCGTACGAATTACTGTACTGTACATAGGAGCAAAGGGAGGGAGGGAGAGTGAGCGCTAAGTATCGATCGTAGGCACGAACAGTATCGGGGCGGGGGCCGCGGACCCCAAAAACCAATACCCAGCCAGTGAGAGTCCATACAGAGCAGCAAGGCTGTCGTGTCTGTCTGCTCGTTGCTCGTCCCTCGGGCGGGCAGGCAGGGGGAGGGCAGCGCGAGCATCGCATCGCGGCATCGAGGACGACGATCGCACCGCACCGCACCGCCGTCTCCCCGTCCTCCGAACGAACCCTTGCACATATTGTACAATAGGTCGGTCCCATGGCGTTGGCGTTGGCGGCTGCGCTCTCTGATGAGCTAGAATGCCTCTCGCCTTCATGATCTGATCTGATATGACACGCGCAGCGCTCCATCTTTTGCTGTCCTGTCTGTGTGGTGTGTGTGGGTGGGTGCCAGCGAACACGCTTTGCTCCGCTCACACTCCGCACACACACACTCCGCACACCACCACGCGCACACTCGCACGCTACGCGACAAACAGACGTCGTGGACACGCCTATTATACAACACAATATGAACGAGCACGGATCCGGAAGACGCCAGGACGCATGTTCCTGCGTGTGTTCCGCCGCTTGCTCATCACAGCCAAAAGCATACTCTACGCGGTGCAGCTAGGCAGCGCAGGCCTCATCACCTATTGTATTGTACAATACTTAGTGCACATGGCACATCCACCACCCACCCAACCTACCTACCCACCTACCATAATCCACCCCGCAGCGCTGCCTCTCCGCACGTGTCCCTGCCTTTCTGCGTGCATGCCTGACTGTCCGTCTCTGTGTGCCGCCACTTCTCGCACCGCAGCACAGCGCTGTGCCTAAGGCACATTGCATACATACATGGCGGCGCCTGGCGTCACGCGCGCGCGCGTGCAGCGCGTCGATGTAGGGTTGGTGGGTGGGTGGGTTGTAAGCAAGCACGCACGCAGGTAATCGCCCGCAGCCACAGGTACAGGCGCAGGCATAGGTGCAGGCACAGGGATAGGGGCGCCCGGAGATTTTTGTTGTTTTTAGTTTTGGTTTTGGGTTTGGTCGGTCGGTCTGTTGCTTGGGCTGGCAGGCTGGCGGGCAGATGGCTGGGGTTGCAAGGTTGGTCCTTTCTATCTATCCAGCTATCCAGCTATTCTCTTAGCAAATGCAAAGCGTAGGTAAAGCGTAATAGCTAGCTAACCACGTACACACGTATAGTATATACCTACAATACAGTACGAGTACCTATAGAGTCTAGGTAGGTACTCCTATATAGCTCTCTTCTCTCTCCTCGAACCGGCACCAGCACATACGCACACCCAAGTCCAACACGCAGACAAGCAGGCAAGACGGCAAGGCAAACAGGCAAGCAAGCATCCCGCCCTCCGACTATAGCCGACGAATCGGCGCCGCACGCATACATGCATGCACACACCTATGCATGTAAGCCGGCTGCTCCTGTGTAGCCGCGCGTTTCAGCTCTGCTCGTCTCCCGCTTCGTGCATGCGCCGCATGCATCGCGTGTGCCCGAGGGCGGAATCGTTGCTACGATTGCTGCGTTGTGCTGCACTGTGCTGCGCTGTGCTGTGTTATAGGTACGTACCGTGCCTGCTTGGCTGGTTTGAATGGGCTGGTGGAGGGGGTGGTGAGGCGGTAGGTCAGCAGTAAGTAACTAAGCAGGGGGGGAGAGGGCTTGGGAGATACGTCGCTATGTCTTTAGACACCTACCTATTTATACCTGCTCGTTATCTTCGCCTGGACCCAACCCCGATCCCGATCCCGAACTAAACAAGCAGAAAAAGCATATGCATACCACCCTAGACGCATAGACGTACATAGGGAGGTACCTACATACGCACCTACAAGGCTATACAGCTGCGCCCGCGCTTGCATGTATATGTATGTAATCTCCAAGCGCAGCTACCTGTACATGCATAGCTGTTCCGGCCTCGGCTCGGTTGGCCGTACAGATCCGTACCTACGCGTGTCTATCTAATCTACGCTACTGCACGCCGGCTGTACCGTATATATATGCACTACGCAGCCTGCGCGGGCGGACGAGCTGTCCTATCTTAGTCTGGGCGCCGAGCTTCTGCTTTGCAGGCAGAAGATCGTTCGTAGTTATAGCCATTATGATTAGAGGTAGCTTCGCTCAACCCATACCGCACATGGAGCCCGCAACACCATCCCCTCCCACATAAACAACCCCCCCTCACCACCGCCCAGCCCAGCCCCGCCCATCCACCAAAAAACATACACGAACACACACACAACAGCCCTCCACATTCACTTTCACTTTCACACAAACACACCCAAAGCACACAGCACACGCACACGCACACACCTCCCCCCAGCCCCAGCCCCAAACCCAGCACGAGCCCCCCTCCGCCCACCCCACCCCACAGCACCCGTCGCCACGACGCAAAAGCCCAAAACAACAGGTGGTCAACCCACCCACGCCCCATTTCATTCCGCACACATCACGGCCCAAGCGCCGCCGCCGCACCACCCGCCCTAGGTAACTCGTGTCTTGTGTCTTGCGTCTTGTATCAGGTCCCCCAAGGATTGCAGGTCTGCGGCCCCATCCATCGCTCCCCCTCCCCTTCCCTCCTCCCCGGCTGCCGCGGTCTCGACCTCCCTGTCTCTCCTTTCGTTTCCTTTACCTTTCCGCTTCCGCTCACGCTCTCGCCCTCATTTCAACCCCCAAGTTTCGACTTCGAATCCCACGTCACGAGCTTCAAAGGCCTGAGGCCCGAGGCCTGAGGGTTGATCTACGCACCCATCCATCCTCCTGACTTCGGCGCTGCCAAGCCTAGAGGTCTAGACCCCCAAGAGCCCATGAGAGCCCACCGAGGCCGAGCGAGCAAGACGTTAATAAGGGAACGACCGGGGGGCCCGTTCGTCCCCCGGTCGCTCGCTCGAGCCCTGTCTTCCCGTTGCGTGCTGTGTTTGAGAGGACGGGTACGATCCGCTTTTTATTCTGCTTTGCTCAGCGCATGTGTGCGTGCGTGCGTGTGTGGGTGGGTGTGTGAGTGTGAGTGAGTGTGTGTGTGTGTGCCGCAGCCGCGTCGACGTTCAAATTTGACATTTCTTCCTGTGTCTTCTTCCCCCCATCCCCCCCTTTATTTCCAACAACGATAACAGCACGGTTGGCCTGAAAAAAGATTACCTAGGTGGGAGCAGGCTTCTGTGTTCGTGCTTGTGTGTTTGTGTGTGTAGAGTAGGCTTCTTGTGTGTGCTGCTTTGTAGACACTAGACTGAGACTGGCTGACTGACTGCTAATACGGCGACGACTATGACGACGACAATGTTGTGTTGTTTGCAAAAGAAAAACCAAAGACAAAAAGACGAGAGAGTAGAGAAAAAGGAAAAGCCAAAAAGCCAACAAAACAAGCAAAAAAAAGAGCTGTAGTAAGCAATCCAGGAAGACAGAGAGACCAGATAACCACCCACCAAAGATGAGGAAAAGTGAAAAAGTAGACAGAAAAAGAGAAAAAGCAAATGAAGGAACACTGTGGCCAGCCCTTGCCCCTTCGCAAACACTCTAATGCCCCCTTCGATTCCCCGCCTTTCCCTCACCCGATTTCCTTCAGATCCGCTCAAAACGCAAGCAAAACGCACAAAATTTGTCAAAAGGAAATGAAAAGGGATTGAACATGGAAGAGAACCCGCGCATGCTGGGGGGAGAGAGCTTTCGATTCCGCACCGACCGCTAGGACAAAAGGAACGCTCTCAAGGAAAGAGGTGGGCCAGGAGAACGGCTCGTCTCGGAGGACCTGAGACGTGATGACCACCCGCCGCCGGCCCTCGTCGATGGTCCTTTTTCGGCTGCGGCCCGAGGCCCGCTTTCCCATCGCTTTGCATCAAGATACACACAAAAAGGTTGTTTGAAACCGCTGTTTATGGGAAGAGTGAGACGCACGTGGAAATAGTGAACCCCTCGCTTGCAATTCAAACCCGGTAGACAAAAAGGATGGAGACTGGCAAGGAGAGTAGTATCGGAGGAAGAGAGGAAGAACTTTCATCGTATCCAGGAACAGCAGTGAAAAGGAAAATGGCCACTCGCAGAATGCTGCTTTCGAGTTTCTCCCAAATAAAAAAAAAGACGCAGAAGTAAGAAGTAGTTGGTTTTCGCCAAAGACGCCCGAGGTTCCGGTTTAGTGGAGATGCGGTCATTAGAAGAAATGCGTGTGAGGCTTGGACATCTCATGGACTTCCATTTCCTGCGAACTCGTTAGTAAAGGGAAACCAGTAGATTGAGGAAACCAGCCTTACCATTTTGAAAGTGTTGAGCTCCTCCTTAATTTGTTGTGCCAGCATGGGCGTAAGACGGTTGCAGGTGGCAATGTCTCCACGTCGGTCGTACTCCGAACTGGACCAAGCGTCGTGGAACTGAATGCGCGGACTGAAGGAGATGTTGCGCGACTGGCCATGCGGAGTGTTCGGCAGGCTCTTCGTGCTACCGGCGGCCAGGCGCGGTCCGCCAAAGTAGTCCTCGCCGCTTATGCCTGAAGGCCCGACCCGCTGGTCATCGCCAGGCGTGCTGGGCGCACTCGAGTTCGGTGTGTCTGCACTGTGGGTGAAACCTGGTGCGATGTTGTCGGCCGGGCGTATCATTGGCGAAGGGCTGTCGGTGACGGTCCTCTTGAGGATGCCTTTCCTGACAGCTGCTAGAACCTCCGCGCGCTCTCTTTCGCCACCCATGATGCTCTTTCTGGAGATGTCGGCGCTGTTGCTCCCCGGCGATGAAGACGGCCTCTCTGCGGCAGCCGGAACCTCTAGTGAATTCCGCTCCAATTTGGGGAAGCCAGTGCCGCCACCCGAATGTTCGGCAGGGTTTGCGTTCACATTGACCTTCTCCCTCTCCGCCTCAACAGTGACATGTGACACCTGCGCCAAACTTGGCTGGACCGCAGAATCGGCAGCGGGCACACCGATGACGGATTTCGGCCGGAAAAGGCCCTTCAACGACCTTCCACTCTTCTTCATGCCCTTGCCCATCTTCCGGAGCATGACCGAAGCGGACGACGCGGTGGAAGATATTGAGAGGTTGTCGGTAGAACCAGAGAACACGCCTCCCTGACCGGAATAAATGCTATTGCCGATTCCAGCAGCTTCCTGTTGAGCAGCAAGGGCGGCAGTCTCCGGGTCCATCTCCTCCCCCTCTTGCGGCATAACTATTTTACGCTGGCCCCCTCTTGAAGAAATGTGGTTCTCGGCCGTGGCTTTGCGAAGCTCCGCTGCGCTACCGAATGAAAATGCTCTTCTTAACCGTGACTTTACGCCCTTGTGATCCCTTTCACCTAGAGCTGCAAGATGCTGAGCAGCAGGGCTGTCTGCTGCAGGTGCTCTGCTAGAGCCCCTCGAGGGCGGGGCGGATCCGTCGGCTGGTCTCGAAAGAGGCGAAGGATTCGCCATCTTCTTGGTCGCTTCCGCAGATGATCCGCGGGCAGGCACATTGGGAGATTGGCCTTGTTGCGCCATATGAGGCGAAGAGGGCTTTGGTGAATTTTGACCGGTGGTCTCGCGCTTTGACTGGTCTCTGTTAGCTGTGACACTAATAACTGTAAAGGATAGAGTGGAAATGTGCTGCTTACAGAGGACGGCCGGTTGGAGTTACTCGCCGAAGAAACACTCTCGTGGCTGTTGTTGTCTTCGGAATAGGAATTGGAGGATTTGGTATCCGGGCGTGTTTGCTGACTAGAGAAAGACTGGCCCGGAGAACTGGGTGCCGCCGATGGACTGGGCAGATCGTTGAATCCACCGACACTCCTGCGTCTGTACCTCTTCGCCTGTTCCGGACCTTGCCGAGGCAATGATGAGTCGTCTGCACTGCTGGTTCTTACGTGACCGGGACGAGACGTGGGGCTGCCAGGGCCTGCGCCCTTGTACAGGTGGGCGACACCTGCCATACCGGAGCCCGAGGGGGCGGCAGAGCGAGCATCCGGCGGAAGGGCGGTCGAAGGGCTGTTCGGTGTGTTGCTGCGACGGCGGTAACGATCCGGCGAAGGCCTCACGGGAAGGTCGAAGTTGCCGAGCGAGAGGTCTGGCACCGACGTCGACAAATTTATCGACAGGGGCCGGGATGCCATGGTTGGGCTTTTAAGCGATTCGTCGGCCGACTGGCGTCTCCGATGCGGAAGGATGGCGGTGTCGTCCTTGGAACCGCGCTGCAGGGAGCGATTCGAGGAAGACGACGACGATGCGGTGGATCCCGAAGAGGACGAAGGATGCGTAGCGTGTCCTTGCTTGGCGGTAGCGAGAGAGGGTTCGAAAGTTTGTTGTTGCTGGTAGGGGTTGACGGGGGCAGAGGTCGAGCGGTTCTCTTGCCTGAGTTGAGGCGAAGTTTGGAAAGCGTATGTCTGCACGGGCGTCGCAGAGTTGCCCCGGTATCCTATTCCTCCACTTGTAGTGTTGTAGTATTGGGTACGAGGCATGGGCGACGTCCTCGTCGACTGATGGGGTGATTGAGAGTCGGCAGGGGTGTGGAGCAAGGTAGAAGGCTGGGTTATGGGCGCGAGTACCTCAGCCATCGGAGCTTGGAGGCAGATGGCAGAAGCAGTCGTCTATCGCTCGGTCTCAGACAGGCCGCGGCGGGTACCTGTGATGGACGGACGGTCGTCGTTGGCCGGGGGAGCGAGGATGCGGCGCGGTCTGGCAAAGGCTCAGGTCAGCAGGGCGGGCGACGAGGAGCCGAAACAGACGGACGAGACGAGCGACGGGTCTCGCAGGTCGAGGTCGGGCTTGGGGCAGGTGAGGAGTGGGTGGGTGCGGTGCTGGTCGTGATAGTGGGACTACGTACCCCTTTCGCTAAAAGGCAACGAGCGGCGCGGCAGGCGGGAGTCGGGCGATTAGTCCAATGGCAGCAGGAAAACGTATGGGCAAGGTCTATTAAAACAGGTACAGAAAGTAAGGACCGGCCGAGCTGGGGCGGGCGAGGTGGGTGAGTTCGATCAACGAGAGCAAAGCTGGCAGCGCGTAGGGGCCCCCGAAGAGGCAACGATGGCTTGTCAGGCCTGCATTGGAGGGCTGACCAAGCGGGGGGGAAGAGTGCGCGCGCGGGCGACGGGTAGCACGAGCGGGAATGGCTACTCGACAAGCAAAGCAGAAAGGGCAGAAGGGGGGAAAGGAAACAAAAAAAAAAGCAGTCGACAATCTGGGAGGTCGCAGGGCAGAAGTCGAGTAGTGATGAAAGTGGTGGTGGAGGTGCTCTGCTGCTGGTGGGCGGCGGGCGACTTAGAGTGAGGAGGCGGCGGCAGAAGGGGTGCGACGGTGCGAATGGAACCGACTTAGCGCGCGAGCGCCCCGTCTCTAACGCGATTGAGGCCCGGCTGCTGCAGCGGGCATGGAAGTGCGCCCTTCTCGCTGCCCGTGTCGGTGGGGCGTGCAATACGAGGGCCAGCGTGACAGTTGCGGAGAAGGGCAGAGCCGCAATGCCGGCCGCGATAAGGGTCGCCCGCCTGCCCTCATCTCCGCGCAAAATGCCTCAGGCCACGCCTCCAGCCCGCCCTGCCCGAGCGGGAATGGTGCCCGGATGATCCTCCGCCCTCTCGACGACGCTTCCATCTCGTTCCGCCCACAAGCCACCACCGCCATATCTTCACAACTCTTCACATGCCATCAAGCCGCACACGCAAATTCCCCACGCATCCCAGGCGGTGGTGCGGCGCCGGCACATCGCACTGGGGCACTTGGCTCCTCCGCTCTTCTCCACACCCGGCTCCTCGTTCGTCTCCCGCGCGCGACGCGTAATGGCCGCGCAGGGATTCTCGCTGATGTTGCGCAGTAGCCTTGCAGCCAGTGTTCGAGAACTTCGGAGTATTACTATGTACAATGTCTTGTCGGAATGTTTTCTGCACCCTCTGTACCCTCTGTACCTCCCTACGTCAGCATCGTGGCCCTGGTGTTGGCGGGCGCCTTGGCAGGATTGCAGCCCATGTTCGCAGCTGTTTTGTTTCATTCCTCTATCTAGCACCGCTTTCCTCGTCGCACCGCATGGCCGACAGCACGCGTCAAAGAACTTCGCGAACTCGGGTAACCCGAGGCTGTGGAATGCGCGGCACATCGTTGCGCCATCAACATAAACAGATCTCACCGCATGGCTCTCGGGACCTCGACGTCTGCCCTCCCTCAGCCCGCACTCCCTTTCACTCGGCCGAACAACATGGCAGGAAAACGGTGTGAAGCCCTCGCAACGTCCCGAGGCGGTTGCCCGTCCTTGACAGACGCCAATCGCATCGCTTATCAAGGGTGGGCAGCATCCCGGACGCAGATCAACAGAACCCTTTTTCCGCGTTTGCAGAGTTCGTATCTCAACTAATCGCCATAGCCAACAGTCTGGCCTTGGCCCCTAGACACTTAAGCATGCTAGCTAACCACATGTCATCCATTCTGGCGGGACACGAGATGTGGTTGAATCTGCTCACCACTCGTCGTCATTCAGCTGCTCGGTGACGGTAGTCGCAGCGAGGCCACCAATCGAACACCACCGCTCCCTCCTCTCCGCGCTTCCGCTGCTTTCTATAGTTGGGCACCAGGCCTCAGATCGTATTCAGGCGACTGCAGACTCCTCAGCAAACCTCCAATCAGTGCGCCCTCGCTCGACTTTCGCATTCACGGTCGTCAACACTTTCCGCAACAAGCCTTCACATGAAACGCGCAGATTCCTGCACGGCGAGTGGCTTAGTCGGAGCAGGAACTGTTAATGGAGATCATGAGCATGGGCTTGACTCAGGAAGCCCGGCGTGGCCCTCTTCTGGACAGAACGAGCCCCAAAAACAGCCAAAACATCGCAACAACCTGCCGCTCCCACGTCACCATCAGGGTCCTTCGACTCCAAATGGTGAGGCTGAGCTGCAGCTCACGTCCGATCTCAATAGCCAGCTCGATTCGTTCTTTGGCTTTTGCGCTGACGATTGTCGCGCGCGCCCCTTTCATTCGTGGGGCACTGGACCCGTCTCCTTGGCCCTCCACGCCGTTGTCGGTGCGCGGTAAAACTGCCAGTAATGCGAAGGACGAGCCAATGTCTGATCTCTCAATGCCCGCCTTCCCGTGTCGCTGCTGTGTATAGCCGTGCATTAACCGTTCACGGTCGGTCCGTTTGCCTGCTGATTCTCGGGGTGAAAATATCAGACCACCGCATCGTGATAGCGTTGATACCTCATCCATCCCCAATAAACCGCTCTTGCACCCGCCGCGTAAAGTGCTTCTCCACCACCTACTCCACACCGGATAACTATTAACTACAGGCGAAGTCGCAAGATTCAAGGCTGGTTACAATGTGTGAATTGGTTAGAACTTCAGACCGTTAATAAGTCCTCCATCGGTATTCCCGGCAATGTTTTGCGTACCCGTTTGCACACACCTTTAGGGTTACAAAAAGAAAAATGTCACAACCAGTCAATGCTCAAAGGAGATCGGACTGTACATATGTTGAGATGCAGCACTGATGATGAGTGTGCGGTGAAGCGAGATGGTACTCCGGTGCAACTGTCTTCCCGCGTGCACGGTGGTTGTTTACGATAGAGCTAAAGGAACAGGCACGGGGTCCAAAGTCGGCATTTGACTTTTATACGGTACGTAAACATCACCATACACGAACGTTGGTCGCTACGTGCGCAGGAAGCCTTCCAACACCCGAGGAAAGAGTCAATGCATGGACGCTATGCGCATTTCATACGACTAACTAGTACAGAAAATTCTACCAGAAGCAACAGTGTTCAGACGCCCCATGCCCATGCGAAAGCCGAACCCCGTCGCGCGCACGAGTAACGTCCCTCACCATCTAACCAGATGGAAGCGAGAGAGCCAATCAAACCCTTCAGGCCCCTCACACTGACCAGGTAGTATGTTCATCCTTTCTTCGCCCGCGCCACCAACATTGCCGTTCCCGCTGCCGTCGAAGGGCAGCAGTGGTTAGTAAATCCGTTGGTAAAACCCATAGTGGTGTGGCGGCAGGACAGCAGGCAGACCTGCTTGCATTTTGAGGCGCATCATGGAATGCAAACCACAGCGACCAACCCCAGGCCGGCTAAACTTCGCAACGCGGGGCCGAAGCCACGTACCTGCACCTTCCATGTGTGACTTGAGCTTCCTCGACCTGCAACCTTCCTGCCGCAGCTGGACACTTCCGCCGCAAACCATTCCAACTCACCACCAGCTCCTGTTCTTCTAGAATTGGGTTCCGCACCTCCTATATAGCCAAATCCTGGGCCTTCAATCGCTAGTCAGAACTTCGGACGTTTCTCGCAGCGCGAACAACCAATTCCAACAGCGTGCGTCAGCTTGCTCCGGGTCGCCCTTTACCATCGATCGCAAAGTACCTCTGGGCCCGCATGCCCTTCGAGCGGTTATATCACCTAGCCCGCTCTCGAGACTGAACATCGAGGAATCACTATACACGTTGGTGTGCGGCTCACCCCGCAATGTCGGACAAATCGAAGCGCGTCGTCTTCTTCCACCCAGATCTGGGCATTGGTGGCGCTGAGCGTCTCGTTGTCGACGCTGCCGTGGGTTTGCAGGATCTTGGCTACAAGGTGACTATCTTCACCTCGCACTGCGACAGCAGCCATTGCTTTGATGAAGCGCGCGACGGTAAGGCGCCCCAAGTATATAGCCAAAATCAGGCGCTCATGGTGTAGCAAAGGGACTCTGGACGTGCGCGTCCGCGGCAACTCGATTGTACCACCCTCTATCCTTGGGCGCTTCTCCATCCTTTGCGCCGTATTGCGTCAGGTACACTTGATTCTGCAAATCGCCTGGCTGTCCTCCGAGCTGCGCCAATTGGAACCGGATGTCTTATTTCTCGACCAGCTGAGTGCCGGCGTACTGCTGTTGAGATTGCTCTCGTCCGCACGCATCCTCTTCTATTGCCACTTCCCGGACAAGCTGCTGGCGCAGCGAGAAAGTCAAGTCAAAAGCTTGTACAGGGTCCCGTTTGATCTATTGGAAAGCTGGAGCACCGGCTGCAGCGATGTTATCGTGGTCAACAGCAATTTCACAAAGGGCGTATTTAAGCAGGCCTTCCCTGCCCTGGGAGAGAGAGATCCCGGTGTCGTATACCCGTGCGTTGATACTGAGGATGCTAAGAGCCAGGAAGAGCCGCTCTGGGAGAACAAGGCCGTGTTCTTAAGTATCAACAGATTCGAGCGCAAGAAAGATGTCGGGCTCGCCATCCGGGCTTATGCAGGACTAACGCCAGAGGAGCGACAAGGCACTCGACTAGTCATCGCCGGTAGGCCCGCTCACCAATCTTGCGAAGCATGCGCTCTACTGACAGAACGCAGGCGGCTACGATCAGCGCGTGCCGGAGAACTCATCTTATTACGCCGAGCTCTGCGAACTCGCGTCATCCTTCAAGCTCAAAACCCTTACCGTCGAAACGGATGTTACGACGCTCTCTGTCCCCGATGACATCGACGTGCTATTCCTGCTCTCGATCTCTAATAGTCTGAAAGCGACATTGCTAACCTCCGCGCGGCTGCTCGTCTACACTCCGCGGAATGAGCATTTCGGCATTGTTCCCTTGGAGGCCATGTTGGCGGGTACCCCCGTGCTCGCCGCTAACGAAGGCGGCCCCCTCGAGACGGTTGTTGATGATGAGACGGGCTGGCTACGCAATGTCGCTTCCCCTAAGGAGTGGACTGACGTCATGCGGAAGGTGCTGGATGTGCCGGGGGGCGTGGGGCGGGAGCGCCTGGAGGGTATGGGCGCGGCTGGCCAGGAGCGCGTGAAAGCGGAGTTTTCGAAGCGTAAGATGGCGCAACGCTTGGAGAGGTATATTCAGAGTATGCAGGGTGCAGAGCGTCCGCCTGTTGTTGATGCCGAGACGTTCAAGCTTTTTGTGGCGGCTGTAGGTGGCCTGGCGGCTTATACGGCTATCAAGGCATTCTCTTAGGTCGCCGTGTATGCATCTGTTCACATACCAACCCACCTACCTATCCTCTCTCTCCTCATGATAGCGGAAAATGGAGGACCGTACAATCTACCTATCTCTCTATCGACGCCAGGGCTCTGTTTTGGGTAGGAACCAAATCACTCAAGCACTCACTGACAGCTTGGTCTGAAATGATAGAAGCGGAAAAATAGCAGCGCGTATTACCGCGCCGGGGTTACGTGTGATATACTACGTAGTTGAGGTGGATGAGAGCGTGCGTAGGTGTGGCGCACACTACGAAGTCAAGCGCTCGACCCTCCACACGCCCTCGACGCCCTCGTCCCTCGCGTACCTGCAGTAAACCCACCGTGCAGATAGGTTTCCCTGCCCTTCGGGGGACAAGCCTCACACCGCCCGTCACGCCCGCCATGTCGCCCTGCGCACAGAGCCAACCTATTTGATCCTTCGACGGTGTAGCGGTCCCAACAACGCCATCGAAGATGAAATCTCATCTCCTACCCAATAAACCTCACTCGACGGCTCATGACGCTACGTGTATTCGCGCGGGCGCCAACGACGGCAACCGAAATGCCAGCGAGCCCCCTACTTTGAGTAAGACAGAAGATGGCACGCCGGCGAGGTAGCTAAGGTTGGTGCCTTATTAACAACAGCGACGGCGACGGCGGCGGGCGGTTGCGCCGCCGAACAGCGGCCGATCGACACACGGCCGCCCGCGGCTGACGCGCATCTCCATTGACCGCGCGGGCAACGCGGTCGGCCGTAAGCAGTAACGGGGCGGCGCACGCGCGCTCTCGCTCGCTCATGGGGACGGAGAGGAGGAGGGGGGGGGGGGGGGGGGGGGGGGGGGGGGGGGGGGGGGGGGGGGGGGGGGGGGGGGGGGGGGGGGTGAATGATCGATCCTTCGGGGCGCTTTGCCGCGGCTCGGGGCCCAGTGGTGAGGGAGGAGGGGCGGGTTTGCCGCCGAGCAGACGCCCCCGTTCGGTGCTGCCTGGCTAGGGACCGGAGATTGCGCAGAGAGGGCGTTGGTGGGCGCGTGCTGGGGGCCATGCGGGGGCGGTGGCGGGATGATAGGGTCAGTGGTGCGGCGCAGGAACGGGTACGGGTACGGGTCAGGGTCCTGTTCTTAGGTACTTGCCTATCGTCTTGCAGGGAGCTCGCTGTCTGCTCTCCTTGCTTTACTTGCCCGTTTGCCTCGGCTTCCTTGTCTCGTGGTCTGTCTTTTGCGGCCCGAACTCAGACCTTGGCTGACGACGTGCTCTTCTTGAAACGCTGTGCTATTGCAATCAACGTGGTCATAGGAAGTTTGCTGGATGGTTGATGTCGTAGAGTGCCCTTGGTCGGTAGTTGTCCATTTGTGTCTCGTTGAGGAGTGGGCATGCCGTCCCTCAAACCGTAGCTTCCCACTGACGAAGAGCATGACTATTCGCTTCAGTTCAATGGTCTTGAGCAATCCATAAAACATTATTGTCTAGTTCGACAGTTTCCATCACTAATGTTTTCCGTGCTTCAGGTTTTTTGGTAGTCGTCATTGCGGCGGGTCGTCTCAATTCAGTGTGCTTCTCTACAAACTTTGAATGATAAAGTTGCATTGGAATAAGTAATGGTCGATCAGGAAGCTTGTAGGTGGGTGAAATGGTCAGTGGAGGAATTATTCGCTGGTGGTAAGATTTACCTTCTTTTGCAGATTTAACACGACTGAAAAATGATGAAGGCTGTCGATTAAAAAGCAGTGGTATATGAGAACAAAAATATAATGCTGAATTTTACCATTAGTTGTTCACTGGGAAGCATGGAATGAGTTCCAGTCCAAGTATTCCAATGGTCTTGGCAAGGTATGTTTGTTGTCAGTGAGACGAATCCAATATCGTTGACGTTAGCCAACCATGGGAAACGGTGATGCTCTGTTGCAGCAGTACCGCCGTGCCACATGATGGCTTTTCTGGCTTTGGATCAGGATAAAAACGAGCATGACGATGAGTCGTAATGCTGCATCAAAATAATAGATAAAGGCCTCGTGGCTGGTAACATAGCCACTTCCTCTTTGAGCATGCTCGATGAATGCAAATGTGTTGACTGCGCAGACTTCGACATGCACTCCCTCCATACAGCACCTTCATCACTCGAGATGCCGGTAGGGTTCTCGTTGAGACGAACGCGGACCTTGGCCACTATGTTTCGCCTGGTTGTCGGACAGGCGGTGTTAAGGGCTCGATGGTCTCCTACATCTACCGCCAATAGGGATGAAACATCATGATCATGATCGGAACATGTGAAAGTAATTGTCAGCGGTAACGTCCGTCATCGTGAACCGAGATCCACCGTATAGTGAGACAGAGGACGATACAGGCAGTCCCTATAAAGTACTTCTTGCCCAGCTCCTAGCCCGAGTCCTAGGTATAGATAAGAAGCTCTTAGAGCACACACAGGCTCTGCATATCGTAGCTGGGTCTCTTCTTCTACTCCATACAAGTATTACCATCTCGTTTCATGGTGAATCTCGCTCCACGGTGACGGACGTTAGCGACTCCAAAGCAGGCGACGAAGACGCATGCCGCTGGTCCAGATGGTGTATATGCGTAAAGAGTAAGACGTTCCGTCAGTTTGGACGTTCATGGTTTGATGTTGATTGGAATAGTAAGACTGTAGATTTCTGAAAGGAACGAGAATACAATTTGAGATAGTTGGGGATTGGACATAACATCCATTTGTTTGTTTTGATGTGCGAATACGAATTTTTTTTTTAGAATTTACGTATTCAACGAAAATAGTTCAAGCCAAAACCACTTACCTTTCCCTGATGAGGTAGCAGGTGCGAGAGAGTAGACACTTCAATCAATCGCACATACTCGATACGCCCCACGCCCTACTAACGCTGCTGTAGATGACCGGTTATTATGCCGCAATGAGGATGATGCGGATTGGAGTGGAGGAGGCTATGACGAGTCCGACAGGCAGCGCGTATGGCTGTGCCTCTGGGCCGCGTGGACTTGGTGAAAGCATCGCAGGCCCATTCTGAGATGACCATGATACTGGGGGTCTTGAGTACGATGGATGTTAGAATTGTATGTCTCTTTTCAGTAACAAATGGCAAAACCGAGACCCTGAGACGTGAAGCAGAGACAAAGGCTGGGATCTGGAACGTCGCCATTGGCTCTGCAAGCGAAGGCTTGTCTCCTCTAGCGACTCCTGAGTCCTGCCCGCCTGTCGATCCGCCCACCTCTCTCGACACATGCGCGCTCATCAACCACCAAGCATATGTCTCTCCACGCACCTTGCTCTGTCCCGTATTGTTCTCGGAGCCGATGAATGTGGCTTAGATGCCCCTGCACTCATACGCTTTCAGCCGGTGTACCAGGTTATTCTCAGGCCTCTTCGACGTCTGTAGTGGGCCGTCGCAGACATCTATTTTCGTACCATCTATTATTCCATTACTCCTTTCCTTTGTTATTCCAACGAAACCGTCGACCATTTTATTCCAACACGCAGTTGTCGCTACGTGATGAACAGCTGCATCGCTCCGCAGCAGCATATTTTCTTCAAGGAACAAAGCAACAATGTCCGCACAATCATCTTCGGGAGAGAGCTCCAAGGAAGTAAAGAAGATAGTTTCAAGAAGGTCACACAAGAAGTCTCGAAATGGTTGTGGTAATTGCAAGAAACGCAGAATCAAAGTAAGTAATTATATGATTTTAATTCCGAGTTGTAGTTTTCTTGTTCTCTCCTCATAGTCAATCACTATTATCAACATCTCCCTCATTTGCAAATTTATTTTCACGCAGACTAGTCCCATTCAAATCCTCAGAACCCCGAAATCTGATGTAAGCCCTGTTTTGGAAAAGACTGAGAGCCTATGCCTTTGGCACTGAAACCTGTTGTTTCAATTCCCTTATAGGAACCAAACGTACAGCACTGTATATTTCGCTTTGTTCCACTGTATTTCAGTTATTCCTGTTCTACCCACAAGATTTTTCGAGCCTTTTCGGTGGTTGATACCGTTGTTTCTTCAGCACATCAAAAAATAAGATCAACCTAAGATCTTACTCGATCAGCATGTTACCGAAATCGACACTGGATGAGTGTTGACTTCTGCCACAGTGCGACGAGACGAAACCCGGCTGCGTTAATTGCATCGAATTCTCAGTGCATTGCGATTTCATACCAGGAACCTCACCAGCATCATCCATAACTACAAATCCAACGCCGACCCGCCGGCGCCGTGGCAGGCCACGCAAGAATTGGGACCCTCCTGTCTCCCCAGCGATAGATGCTTCGTCTGCTGTCCCGAAGCCGACATTGGCTCCTGAACTGGATATTTCTCAGTTAGAGCTTCTGTTCCAATTTACGACCTACACATACAGCGCTCTTGCAGAGGGCGTACACATTGAATTGATGTGGCGTGTAAACATACCGCAGCTCGGTTTCACTTATCATTGCGTCCTCCACCTTATCCTAGGTCTGGCGGCACTGCACTTATGCCGTCTTCGGCCACATCAACGAGATCACTATTTCGCACTAGCCGAAAATTACTGGACAATTGGCTTGAAGCAAGCTTCTGACCTCCTGCCACATCTCAATGCCGACAACTGCCAGGCTGTTTATGTCTCGGCCCTCCTTGTCTGTTTTTATACCTTCGCTAAAGGCCCTAGACTCGGTGATTACCTTATTTTCAGTGAAAATGGGCCGTCGGAATGGTTTCCGTTACTCCGGGGTGTACGATCAATAAGTGAAGTAATGGGCGGGAATGTTTTCAACGGCCCACTGGCACCCATGCGTGCTGGTCCTCCTCGCTCTGAGCCAATTCAGACGACTGCAGTGGAAAAAAATATGCCTCGAGTTGAGTGGGAGGAGCCTATCCAGAGCCTTCACGACTTTATCACTGCATCCAACGATCCTAATACGACGACGTATCTGTCCTCCATAGGAAGGCTGGCACAGTGTTTCGAAGCGACCTATGGAAAGTATGGCGACGACAAATACGAGGGTGAGGGTAAAAACCAAGTCGTCATGATTTGGTTCTACACAATGGAAGAGGATTATATTCTCTGCCTACAGCAGAAACAGCCCATCGCGCTCATTCTACTCGCATACTTTTGTCCGTTGTTGAAAACGCTGGACAGCGCCTGGTTTATGCAAGGCTGGCCTGAGCATATACTGGCTGGTACGCACAGGATGCTCGACGAGGAACATCGTGCTTGGGTGCAATGGCCCACGTCGATAGTTGGGTGCCATCAATGGGGATGACGAACAACAAGACTACTCCTTGTTGACACGCCTCCGAACTTAAGGGCACGAACATCACATTGGTTCCAGAGGCTTCCCAGGCCATAACACAATTGGTGTCTATGAAAGGCACCCTCAACGGTCATCACCAACTCGGAAGGCGCATTCAAACAAGAAAAGGGGGGCTTTGCATACTCCAGGGATTCTCCCATAGCCGGTCTTGCAAATACTCTGCTCTACAACAAATTGGAGTTTATTTACGCCACTCGACGACCTAAGCTGGTGTCAGCAAAAGAGCCCTATTGCCTATTTTCGCGGGTACATGACCAATCCGCCTCTACCTGTTTATCAAGGTGCGTTAGTCCGACCGTATAAATACTTACAAAGGCGCCTATACCAATAGCAGTCGCTGACTTGTACCTAAGTAGGAAGCTTCCTATGCTACATTAAAGCGGGGCCGATTTCGGTATGAACAAGTTTGAAAACTACTACAAAACCATCGCCTTCAACGTTAACGAAGTCATCCATACTGCCTGACGGTCGCAAACCGGTCACGGTAAATATCACCAAACCTTATACCTAGACTGGCAACAGCGGGCTCTGACTGGACCCCACTTTGAAACAGCGCCATCAATTAAAGCGAGCCACCGTGTTTCAGACAACCAATAGCCTGATGAGGCAGCTGTTCCGACCCAGCGGAGCCGGAGCAATACAACCCCTGTATTTTTTTTGGCCTCTGCGACCGGAAAATGGTGACGAGGTCCTTCGGGCGGCAAAGTAGACGGGCGCGTATTTCCATAGCGACCAATAGCAAAGCGCCGTTTATCGCCCTTAGCGACCGATAGTCATAGCTTTTTGTCGATCATGGCTATCGTGGCACAGGTTGTTGCGGCACAGCCCATAGTAGCGCGACCTACTTCACGGAGACCGATCCGACTTTCATGTAGCTTTCAATTAACCCCATTGCTGTTGGCGTCACGGACCTAAAAGGCTTGTTCGAGCTCACTCTTGAGCCATGACGCACAGTTCAAGTAAGTGCTACCTTGTCTAAATGCAACTATACTAACACTTTTTCAGCTGAACAACAACAACAACACCCTATGGTTCCCAAAGGGAGTGCTACAAATGTTGAAGAATTCAAGGATATGAGCGAAAATGCAACCCGGGAGTGGGTACCTCCAATGCTTCGAAAGTCTCGGGCCATCCCTCTTGCTATCTGCTGCTTGGTGTTTGTCGTGTGCCTCGAAATCTTCGATTTAGAAGTCAGACGGAACGACGGCCTTCCAGCAGATGCCCATCATGCCAACACTGTCCGTGCTGCAAGATACCTACCCACAGTTGGGGTAATTGCTCTCGGATTCGTTTGGAAAGCGCTTGCGAGCGACGTCAAAAAAATTACTCCTTGGTCTAGTATGAGTGGGAAATGGAGCCAAAGCTCGCATTCGATGCTTCTCGACTACACCACCAACATCGAGTTTACCTCGATCGTAAAAGCAGCGCGTAGGAAGCACGGAGCACTCTTCATAGCGCTAGTTGTGGGCTTTCTTTGCGGGGCTTTGGCTGCTTTGGCAAACGCCCTTACTAGGCTCGACTTGTTTGCCCTCACATCGACAAGCACTACCTTCCAAAAGACGTCACACTTTTCTTTCGACCAGACTCTGGCTCTTCCAAACGACACTCTTGCGATACCCTACAACCATCTCGGTGCCAGACCTTATGCAGCGGTGGCTTCAGAACGTCTTCCGAACGGCCAATTTTCTTCTTGGACCAAGCACGGCTATGCGTTTGATTCTTTCGCAGGAAATGCAAGCGTATTGCCGAACTCGACCATCGAAGCGACCGTCCAATCATTCCAGGCAGACTTCAGTTGTTACCCACTGGAGTTTTCGACTGGTGGTACTCCACTATATAAGACTCTTAAGGCTGATGCAAGCGGCATTCCCGAACTCAACTGCACCCAACCAATCGCGCAGCTTTTTAACACGACCAGCGCCACCTCTGTGATTGGGAACTTCAAAGCCTGGCTCAATGTATCATCTTGTTCTGAGGATACGAACCAAACTTTCATTATTGCGAATGCTATAAAGCTCAAACCAGTGGGAAAGAAAGACGTCAACATAACATCATCTCGGGGCCTCATCTGTGCTCCGAAATTCTCGGTTCTGGATGCCGTAGTAAGAGCAAATGCAACGACCGGAGAGGTAGTCTCTTACTGGCCCAACATTTCAACGACCACCAATGTCGACATAGGGGCATCCATGCAAGCCATATGGCTGTATCTCAACAACCCCCTTGATGCAAAAATCCAGAAGATCTTTTCATTGACCGAGATCAACTTCACCGAAGACGAGATGCCGAAGACGGATTGGAAACATTTCCGCTACGCGATATCTAGGTTCCTGGGACTTTATGACACTGATCCTTTTTTCTCTTTGTTGACAAATGGTCAGACTGAGCTGTTAATCGATGAGTATATCGAGAATCCGGATAAATTCCAGTCAGACGCAGAGTCACTCGGAAACCATATAATGGCGCAGGTTGTAAGCGCCTTTGCCAGGAAAGATATATCAAGTGAAGTCACTGGTTCCCTGTTGACTCGAGGACCCAGGATTTTCTTGAGACAAATTCCCTTAAGGGCCCTTCAGCTGGTTTTGGTATTGATAGCCTGCGCCTCGCTCCTGTACGCAACATTTCTACGACCGAAGACTGTTTTACATGAAGACCCGGGATCAATTGCTGCAGCAGCTGTGGTTTTATCTGCTTCCGACATGCAAGTGGAAAAAACATTTGCTCACGAAGCTGTGTCGACGGAAAGCCACATGAACCAATATTTACAACCGTTGTCCTGGCAGTTGCACGCAAGTACAGGCCATGCAGTTGCACTTCGATGTCAACAACCTGTTGGCGACATGGCCTCTGCTACACCCAATTCTCCAAAGGTCCGCAAACACACCGGCTGGCGCCCTGTACCACTACTATTGACTTCGAGGGTTGCGATTTTCGTGGCTTTGATCGGTACTATTGTGGCTCTCGCGATACTCCTGAAGATTTCGCTAGTACGAAATGGCCTTTGCGAGAATACAAATGTCAACTCGAACGCATTTGCCTTGGCACCGACCGCCATACTTGTCCTCTTAGGTTACGCATGTTCAGGTATCGACGGCTCCATCAGGACTATTTCTTCCTACAAAAGCCTGTGGAAGGGGTCTAAGAAACAAGCTGTTTTGTTTAACTTAAGCGATGTCCCTCGTGTTGTAGCACCATTTCGGACGACAAGAGTCCATTCCGGGATTTCTTTGACAGCTTCGTCGATTGTAATCCTGCTCATTCCAGTCATCAAGATCGTCACTGCCGGACTCTACAGTGTCACACTCTCGAAGTCGACCCGGCAGATACTGCCATCAGTGGACACCAGTCTCATAACACATCTAGAAAGCGCCTACAGCCTCCTCAATGACTCGGACTCAAATGTCCAAAGAGCTTCACAGTTTGCTGAGTGGTCGAGAACTCCATCTTTCAACGTCCCGCGGAGATCCGGAATCCTCGACAACCTGGTTTTCAGTAACCTTACCGGAGTGGAACATGGCCTAGAAGCTTTGGACTTGTCTGAAGCTCAAATCAACCTCACTGTCCCTGCCATTGCAGTAGATGTCGAGTGTGCCACCGCGGACATGGGCATCAGAGGAGGGAAGAGGTACGCCGCGACTGACTGTTGGACGTTCTCTGTCGCTTGCCGCTCAGACGATTGCGAGAAAAAATTCTACTTGTCGTCTATATTGAGCGGACACTATAGACGACATGGAGGGACCACCAGTTTTACTGGAGACTACTGCATGCTAAATCAAAAGCGCTTCGAAGGACAAACTTACTTGAGTTCTGCCCTGGAATTTCAAGTGATCCTGGTCAATTATACGGATACCAGCGTCATGGGTTCGTTTGATGACACTGCCGACGACGTTGACATCGAATACCCCGGTATAAATGACACCCGATGGCTTGATCCTGGCTTTCTCAACAACTCAGTACCTAGGGTCAGAGCAGTCTCTTGTGCGGCAACGTTCAATCGGGTAGATGTCAACACTACGTATACTCGATCTACAGATTCAACCTGGAACCCCAGTAGCTACGACAAAGCCTCTGTACAATACAGACAGGAGTACAACAAAAGCGCCATCCCAAATTGGCTGGTTCCCTATGCAAAGTATTACGAAGGGATACCTAATCTAGCCGACGCAAGCTCCGAAACTCCCGGGCTTCTCAGCAGCAATGAATCACTGTGGCCCACACGAGCAAGCAGCACAAACTTCTTCGAACTCCTCGCCGCATACGCCGATTACGAACTCGGCAACCTGACAGCACTCATGGAGGAATCGAATTTCGTCGCAGCGAACAAGGCAATGTTTGAAGCCTACAGCACCGAAATCCTAACGGAGTTGCGGCCATTCGCCCTCAAAAGCGCCTCGGGCGACAACGAATCACCGCAAGCTGTCGACGCGACCTTGACCTTTTCCCAGAGCCGCATCATCCAGGACGAGAGAACTACCATCGCGCTCGAGGTCCTCCTCGCCATCATAACCTGCTGCTTCGCCTGGGTCTTTGCCCGCTTCCCTAGCCAGTCCATCTTGCCCAAGAGTCCGGGCTCCATCGCGGCGCGCATGTCGTTTCTGGCGCAGAGCCGCCTGGTGCAGCGCCTGCGCGACGAGAAAGTGGCGCGCGTTGCGGACTCGCAGTTGTGGAAGGAGAAGTGCGGTCTGGGTTGGTGGCCTAAGGCGGACGGGACGTGGGACTCTGAGGCCGAGGACGGGAATTTTGAGAGTAACAGTGAGAATTCTGGCTCAGAAGACGAGCACTCCAGGTCAGGAGAAGGATACTCATCTGTGGAAGGCGAATGGCGATCAAATATTCGGTGGGGTGTCGATGTGGGTGAGGACGTCGTGCGAGCAAGCTGGAAACATCGGCCATCGCAGGGGTCAAAGCCTCCTTCGATTGACGAACCGGCATCGTGAAGGGAGTTTCAGGCTGTTTTGCTTTAATTTATAGATACCAAACCTTGTTAGTAAAATTTAATGCGTCGGATACGTTTATTGAGAAATTCAGGCCCCATGAAGGTTCCAACCGTTGTGCGCACAAGAAGGCGTCCGTACCGATGAATTTCGTAAATCACAATAACTTCGGATCATCTCCTAGATACAGGGAGTATCTAGATTCAAAGCGACTTGACGTTGTTAGGCTTCTACGGAGCAACGCTCACCGTGGGGATACGAAGTAATCTGTAGAGAGCATTCTTGTCCACTTATAGGGACATGTAGACATGCGTGTAGTATCCTTAATTTCTAAAACCAAAGAGACTTAACGTAGTTTGGCTTCAACAAGATACCGCTCGCTGTGGGGATATGAATAACAACGTCTGCCTGCGTAAAGTACATCCTTCGTGGGACTCGTCATCATTCATACATACGTCTCCTATCTCCCTAAATGCCCCCATGAATCCAAAAAAAACCATCCCAATTTACCTACCTCCGTTCACATCTTGTTAAACACCTGCGTGCCAGTAAGGCCCTTGACAGCGGACCCGTGCACCTCCTCGCGCATCCTCTCCTCATACTCATCCTCATCCGCAACACGCGTCAAGTACGGCAGCAGTGTGCTCGCCTCCGCCTCTGCACCATGCAGGATATCAAAGCTCTCCTCGGAGCTCGAGCTCTTGGGGCGGTTCCGCACAGCCTGCTCGCCGAACCACTCGACGCCGCCGGCGCGCCTGCCGCGCCGCTCGACCTCGTGCTCCTCCAGCGGCATGTAGGGCATCTCTGACGCCGGCGGGAGAACCAGCCGCCGGTGCCACTCGCCGACGAACATGCCGTCTGGGTCTGCCTCATTGCGCACCTCGATCCACTTGTCTAGGTCGGCGCCGTACAGTGTCTTGAGGTCGTCATGTGTCACAGTGGCGAAGTTCTTGGCCCAGTGCGGCCGGCCGCCCATCTCCTTCATCAGCCATTCGAATGCCTCGTAGTAGCGCTCCCGGCATGGCGGGTCACAGTGGTAGGGGCGATACAGAGTAGCGTTCAGGTAGAGCGTCGGGCCGGCGGAGTCCGTGGGGTCGAGGAATGGACGAGGGTGGCTGGGGGAGGTATCAGAGACCCGGACTTCGATGGGTGCATGGACCCAGAGGCCGCGCGGAGAGAAGGGGATGCGTGCGGTCGCCTCGTCGCCATTGAGCCAGGCTGACATGCGCGTGATGGCTTCCGGTCCCTTGTGCAGCGGCAGGGCCCACTCGTTCACGAACTGGCTGTACAGGCAGTTCATCAGCAGACCAGTGCGCTGTTCCTCGATGGCAGTTGTGCCGGCGCCGTTGGTGAAGCCGTATTGCATGCCGAAGACGAACCACTCGATGGCGGGCAGAATTGGTGGGATGTAGTTGGAGATCCAGAGCAAGACGTGGTAAGTGTGGAAGCCGACGCTGCCGCCGTACCAGTTGCTCTTGGGTGCCCTCAGCGGCTTTTCCGTCTGCTCGGCTTGCCAGACGATGACACGCTTCATGTACGGCAACCACCAGACGCGCGTGAACTCCTTCTTGGTCCAGAGGTCTTTCTCCCACTTCTCTAGCACGTAGTCCAGCGGCTGTAACTTCTGTTCCCATTCGATGTTCGTGTGGGGTATCATCTGGTACTCCACTTCGACGATAATGCCCAGCGCGCCCAGAGACACCAGCGCCGCCCGGAAGAGATCCACGTTCTGCTCTTCCGAGCACAGCACCGTCGATCCGTTGGATAAGACGAGGCGCAGACTACGTACATTCGAGGACAGAAGACCGTGCTTTGTGCTGCTGCCGTGCGTCGCTGTCGCCATAGCTCCGACGATCGACTGCTGATCGATGGAGCCGAGGTTCGGCATCGTGAGACCATATTCTTTCGCGCGACCGTTGAGCTGGTATAGCCTGATGCCACCCTGTACCAGCATTGTGCCCTTCTCTTGGTCGACCCTCAAAACACTGTTATACTGGTCCAGGTTCATCATCCAGGCCGAGGTGCACGTCATATCGCTGGGCGAGTGGCCACAGCCGACGAGCACGATGCGTCGCCGACATCGCCGCGCCAGCACGACAGCTTTCTGGATCTCTTCGAGCGACTGTGGACGGATGTACAGCTCGGGGTAGCTGTGGAAGGTGCGCGCCCAGGTATGGTGCTGGTGCGTTTTGGAGGCGCGGAATGGGATGGCGGGGTCGAGCTTCTGCAGCTCAGCGTCCACGGTTGACGCCATGGCGGAGGGTAGGGTGAGGTGGAGCCGTGGATACTGCGCTCGTTATGTCTGTCTCTCACTGCTACCGACTTGCGACCATGATCAGGCCTGCTGGGAGTTGGCGAAAGACAGCGACGTGCGATTGTGAAGTTTCGCTTGTCAATAACGACATCAAGCCCCACTAAAAAGCGGGAGGACGTGCTCCTCATATAAACGTCGTGACGTCCACCTGCGTCCAACCGTCCGTGTCTTTCCATCATCGACTTCGCCGCATCGTCATCCAGGATCCTGTTCTTCGTTAATAATGATACTATGCACTCATCTCACCTCGGCTCCTTAAGTTCAAGTTTGGTTATCGGACTTCATAACTCTCTTCCGCGCAAGCGCCTTGCACCAACAGCACAGCATGAAGGACCTTAATGCAAGCTGCTGGGACGGCTCTGTTTCAGAAGTTCTCAGAAAAAAGAATACGGGATGAACAGGCGCAACCAGCTCTTTGCGCCACCCTGGTTATCTATCCCCTGCCGAACCGCTTGGAATCTCTGCATGCATACGTTGTCTGCCCAATACTTTGCAAGGTGAGGCCAAAAGAGGGCGTGTGATCAGTCTCAAGCGTTTTGATCGCAAGGCTGAACTCGTAACTGCGCCACTGGGGTAATCAGCCGGAGCGCCCGCCTTACAGAGGCGTATCTACGGGCGAACCAAGGCTTGGAGAGACATACAATATGCGGCTTACATCGAGGTGTATGTCCTATTGCAGAATGCTTTGCGTTCAGCTGATGCATGGCGCGTCTGGCGTCTGGATGTTCTTACAGCTTTAATTCCGCAGTAAGCCTTGCTCACCCGACTGTATTCTTATATGACAGGATGGCCCTCTTTGCTTCAATTTCGTACCGTCAGACCAGTTACTCCACTTCTATCTGCGCCATTTTTCCAGTTCTCAACGCTTCAATCTGAAGTTCCGCTTGTTGCCTAATTTCTTCTTGATCTTAGGCAAATATCTTCAGTTTTTTGGTTTCATTGCACGATGACCGACCCCCTTTCGATTGCAGGTAGCATCGCTGGCCTCGTTTCGATTGCCGATGTCGTCTTTATTCGAACCCTTCGCTATGTTCAAGCCGTCAAGGGTGCCAAAGAAGAGGCCCAGGCTCTAGCCGGTGAACTTCAATCTCTGTCAGAAGTACTACACAGCCTATATCTTCGGACATCTAGACTCAGTGCGGAAGAACGCCAGCAAGATGCACCATCATCAATTCGCCCTCACATGATTGAATCTTGTCTCCAGATGTTACTGAAAATCAAAAACAAGCTTTAGGAACACGGGCCCGAGAAAAATCATCTCAGAAAGGCAGAGGCATCCCTGCGACATTTAAAATGGCCATTTTCGTCGTCTGACACGAAGCAATTGATGGAGGACATCGAGCGCCATAAATCAACGATCACAATGGCCCTTTCAGCGAATACCATGTCAACTGTTGAGGAGGTATTGTCGACCCAAGACAAAATCCAGAACGAGATCCATGGCATCAAGAAAACACTGGAACGAAGACGGACTTTCGAGGCTAAATTCACATCTTTTGTGGATGATAAAGAAGAGCAAGACATTTGTCGGTTTTTTTGGAAGCATTGAACCGACACAAAGACACAATACAAGTATGTCTTTACGTCATCCATCTACGGGTTTGTGGTTGCTGCAAGCCGATGAATTCCAAGCATGGCTCCGGAAAGACACTAAGAGGCTCTGGTTATCCGGAATACCTGGAGCCGGCAAAACGGTCTTGGCCAGTGCCATAATCGAAGAGGCAGAAAAGTATGTCAACGATTCGTCCAAGGCAGTTTCTTACTACTACTGTGACTACAAGGACGAGAAAAGCCAAGACCCTGTCAATATACTTGGCTCTCTTGTAACTCAATTGGCCCAGCAAAACCCTGACAGCTTTGATCTCCTTCGACAATACTACCGACACTGTAATCCAAAATCTAAGGCTCCAGTCTCGCCTGATGTTCCTGGGCTCATCGATGTTATAAGAAAAATGGGTACTGTCTTCGAGGATGTTTCTGTCATCGTGGATGCCTTGGATGAATGTGGAAAGAAGACTGCATATCTCACAAAAACACTTGCAGGAATGTGTTCTACCATTGGAGCTGAAAACAACCTCAAGATCGTACTCCTCAGCAGAGATGAGGAAGAAATCAGACAATGTCTTGCTCCTAATTTTACCCATTTACGGATAGCAGCCCAGAGCGGAGACCTTGAGCTGTATGTTGCTGCCGAAATTGACAAACGTATGAAGGACGGAAGGTTGGGGATCAGGAACTTAAAACTCAAAGAAGAGGTTATGGAGCGTTTGGTTAAAGATGCTGATGGAATGTAAGACTTGATCTATATCTGACCCTTTCAGGTTTGAGTCGGTATAGCTGATGTCTACCTTGCAGGTTTCGCTGGGTGACCTGCCAGTTAGATTATCTTTGCGAGCTCCCACACGATAGAGCACGGCGTAAGGCTCTCAAATGTCTTCCCCCGGATCTCAATTCCACCTATGAACGGATAATCCACCGAGTTAACAACCAAAACCAACAAGTAAGGTCACTTGTCCGAAGTACTTTACGTTGGATTATCCACGCCAAAGAAAGACTTTCCGTCGACGCTCTCTGTGAAGCTTTATCAATCGAAGACGACCTCAACTTCCTAGATCCTGACGGCAGACCTACCGCACAAGACTTGCTCATGTATTGCAGCAGCCTTTTACGTGTATCTGTTGATGGAGAGTATCTTGAGCTTGCTCATTTCACAGTTGAAGAATACCTTACCAAAGGAATACTTGAGTCGGCAGCCGATGATCCTGATATAATGTCCTACATCGTAAGGCCCGCAGAAAGCACCATGGAACTGGCAAGGACATGCTTGCTGTATTTAAATCTCCAAGATTTCAAGCAGGACGTGGCGAAGGACATTGAGGAATGGTTCCAGATCAAGGAAGACTTTCCGTTCCGGATGCATGCCGCATTATACTGGCCTGAGTACGCTGACTCGCACTGGAAAGATGCCGATATCTTTGGCCTTGCCAAACAACTTTTCCATCCATCAAAAAGCAAAAACTTCCTCACGTGGGCACAGGACTATTGTGTGAATTACGCATTTTCATGGATTAGAAAATTTGAGGAGACCTTCCAGAACTTTACTGGATTCGAAGAGACATTTCAAGAAGTAACCGCATTCTCCACATCGTACGGTATTTCGACGTTGCATTACTCCGTTTTTACCAAGATATTACGACTATTACTTGAGAAGGAATCTCCGGTTGACTATCGTCTCGGTTGCGCCATCCACCCAGTTCATATTGCTGTTGCTCAGAGGAACAACGATGGCCTTCAATGCCTCCTCGAGCATTATTGTCGCAGTATAAGGAACACTTCGGTCACCAGTAATACTAGTTCCGTTGCAGCATCCAGCCGCTTCACTGAAGATAAGAAAGCCGGATACAGAGGAGAACATAGCCAAGCGCCAAATGGTGATACTTCACCTGACAAGGAACAAAACTCTTTCATAGTCAATATCCCCATACAGTATGCCACAAGTCAGGGGCCATGGGGTTTATCAGACGAAATTATCACCGAATACAAGGACCAGGCAACTCCCTTGCATATAGCAGCTTGGATTGACAACTACGAAGCTGCGCTGATTCTTCTGCAATATGGCGCGGAGATCGATCCCCAGGACAAACACTTACAGACTCCTCTCCATTATGCTGCTTGGAGAGGATCGACATTAGTCGCGGGATTACTCTTAAAGAATGAAGCAAATGCCAATGCTCGCACTGATTTCAACCAAACACCAAGCATGCTGGCTGTGGAAAATGGTCACTTAGAGATACTACAAGAGCTGCAGATATATGCACCGCAACTGAATTGTGTTGATCAACTCGGAAGAAATCTTGTCCACTACGCTTGCAAGGCTGAGGATGCGGAAATTTTAGCGTACATCCTGACGATGGGTATCCAACACACCAAGAATGTCTTTGGTGTCTTCCCTCTCTGTTATGTCTTTAACGATATCGATGTGACAGCCAAACTCTGTTTATTGCTCAACAATTCGGAAACAATGGCAGATGCGAATCACGTGGATAGCATTGGAGTTCAACTTCTCATAAAAAACCACAGAAATTCCGTACTCAAGAAGGTTTTGAAAAAATTACCCGAGTACTGCGGAGCCAGGAAGACCATCAACACTCAAATCGGCAATGCTGTAGCGAACCCTTTGTGCCAAGCTGCTAGTGTCGGAGACGTAAAGGTTATGGAACTCCTAATCGATGCTGGCGCGGACATTGAAGCCGAAGGCTGTGACGAAGGGACTCCACTCATGGCAGCATGCAACTCGGGGCGACTTTCAGTTGTCGAGTTTCTCATCCGCAGAGGGGCCAAGGAGGCATATTGCAAAGACGGTGTCGTCTATGACTGCATCGGCACTGCTAAGCACTTCCCCGAAATTCGTCAATGGATACTCGTTGGACGATACACTCAACAACGCAAGATCGCAGATGATTCTGGTGGCAATCGGGAACAGAGAGAATTCAAACCATGGTCAGGGTTAGAGCAGATGGAGATACCGTTGACTGGAAATTATGGACGACATGCCGAAGAAACCACACTGGATCATGTCTGTCGTCTCCAACGGATGCGGGAAGACTTGGCGGGTGAGGTTTTGCTATGGCCCGAGGGGTGTGAGTATCCATTTGTCGGGGTTTGATTTCTAGCATTGCTGTGGCGTCTGGATCTCATGGAGTTCTCTTAAAATTTCTCCTGCATATAGTTTTCGAACTTTGGAGCCAGGCGGTTTGAATGACGGAGTTTCATTTATTTTATCATCGAGCATCGGGAAGGTGGGAGGAGTTTGGCGTCTACCTGGCTATAGATTGCATGATTAAATTATCATAGGGATGTCACTTGAAGTACAGGAACATGCCTACTAAATATGCTCTTTCGACAACCATGAACTCACTCATGGAAAGTGTTGAAAACAGACCAGCAGTGTATAGTGAAGTGAGATACACGTTGCTGGCAAGACTTCATGTCAGCTCAGACTATTGCTCAAACATTTGAGACACGAGGAGATGTTTCCAGGCTATTAAGAGTGACTGTATATTCGATATCGCAAATGGATCTTTTACGCACCATGTCCGAGTACAGTTCGCGCTTGTATCGAACCTCTTTCATAATTCAAAGGAAACCCTTACTCAAACATTCTCCAATGTCAAGAGAATCTTTAAGTTTCTCTGGCTAAATGTTTGGTGTTGCCACATTAGCCATCCGGGGTAATAGGATTTTGGTCTGGGGGCTATCCTCATTCAGAATTTCCCTTACAGAACCTCACCTTACTCCAAAGCAACACGCACACTCCCAGCCCACCACCAGCACACCTACCTAGGCTCCGAACACGAGCACCAACCCACCAAGCGCACCCGAATTCCGGTGAAGTCTTCACGCGAGCACACCACCAACCTCGCCAAACTTCATTTCCCGGACCAAGGCAACCCAGTCGTCCGACGGACGACGACGCGCGATCATCAGCTGCGGCTGCTACTATATCGCGGCTCTGGGCCCAGGTCGTGCTGTGGTGGTACAAGGCGCATCCTTCGCGCGAATGGTGTGAGGGAGGTGGTGAGGCGTAGGATGATCGCGAGACGGTGGTCGCGCGTGGCCCGAAGAGTGGTGTGAGGCTGCGGAAAAGGAGTGAGAGCAATTCGCGAGTCTCACAGAGACGAAGACGAAAACGAAGACGAGAACAAAGGGCGAGGAGGACGAGGTATTATGCATAAGGTCAAGAGAGTGCGACGTTTGACGTTGGTCTGGATCCGGCACAGGTGGAAGAAAAGAATTAATGGATTTTGGGAAAACACTCGAGTCTCCCTAGGAATTATCACTTCGGACTGAACCAATTCCCCAATCGCTCCGCGCTGCAGAATTACGAATACCCATCCGATCGAAAAGCGAGTGATCTGTACTGTGTTCTTAACGGAAGGCGAAGAAATTTTAGCCTAGCCTTCATAAATCATTAAAAAAAAAAAACAATCGCCGATGCGCCTGCCCTTAAAGCCCTTTCCCTAAGAACAATAAGAATATACACTGAAGAGGGTCAAGACCACAGGTCCTGTAAATCCAGATTGCTAAAGTGCAAGTAAAAATAGACATTAGGACGCGAAACAAAAACATCCAACAGTTCATCGTACAGTTAGCCAGATGGACGAATTACGAAGTGTTCTCCGGGACTTAATGGCTGCTCTCTACACCAAGAACGTTAGGGCTCTTGCCCTGGAGGCTCCCATTGACGCGGTCTCGGAGCCCCTTCAGGTTTGCAGTTTGCTGCGACGTGCTGTGCGCCTTCTTCCTCGGGCTGCGCCTGAGAGGCTTTCCAGCCTCGTTCTCAGAAGTCTCGGTGTTGCTGCTCTCCTGGAGAATGGGGGGAAGGAACTGAGGTTTCAATACCTCAGTCTCAGCCTTGCGCTCGGCAGCCTTGCGGGCGCGGCCGTACTTGGCCGTGGTGTCGCCACCGGTCCACATGGTGCCCAGATAGCGGTCCCAGAAAGTAAAGAAGGGTTGCGAGAAGTTGGACTTGATGCCCCAGCTCTGGTGGTGGATGTCGTGGTAGCTAGCATTGTTCGACGTGATGATCTGAAGTGGGTCCCAGGGGAAAGAATAGCCACAGTGGTCATCGACGGTCTTAATGGTGGAGCCAGTGAAGAACCACATCGATTGGCGGATTGTCATGCCCGAAAGCAGGTATGCGATTCCGGTGCCCAGAGTGTCAAGGAGGAAGCCCTCAAAGGGGTGGTTGTAGAGAGCGCCGTAAGCATAGGGGACGTAAAGGCGGTGGTGACGGGAGTGGAAGGTTGCTGCAATGAGTGTTAGCATCAATCGCAATAGACTGATATTCTATCGGTTCAACTCACTGTACAGCCACTTGTTCAGGTGCATGGCGCGGTGCCAGAAGTACTGCCAGGTATCCACGACCAGTACTCCAAAGAGGAACTGGAGAGCCGGAATCCCGACCCAGTAAATGAGCTTGGCAAGAGAGATCTCCCACGAGGCAAAAGCAGGCGCAATCAGTGTCTCGCCGTTGGAGACAATAGTCTGCGTCAATTCTGAGTATCTTCCTCCCGCCAGGACACCGGAAAGCATGGGGTAAGAATCGGCCATGTTCTTCGCCAATGCAACTGCGTTCAGGCCAAAAGCAGAAAGAATAGTTGGAATTGCTCTCTCGGCAAGTCTGATACGCTGGCCCCAAACGGCAACGTCATGGTCCTCCTGGCCATAGGTGGGATCCGGGTCGAACCAGGCCAAGCCAACACCGAAAACGGTCTGGATTATGTGCTGAAGAATGACATCCCGGAAGACGTCCCACCTGGAAACGTGGTTCCGCTGGGTGAGCTCGACGGGCGTGTGCAGGCGGTACTGAGGGAAGAAGTCGTAGGTGTCGATAACATGGAAGAACATGGAGACGGCCCAGTAGGCAATGACGGGAAGGGCCAGTGTCAGGTACTTGTCGGGAATGCCGGACACGAGCGGAGGGAGAGGGTGAAGCGTGTAGTCCGGGAGCGGGGGGATCCCGCTGGCAACCGTCGCATTCTCCATGGCGGCGAAGGCGAGGAGAGGGCAGGCGATCGGATGCTCGGCTCGGCTCTGGGGAGAGCTGAGGGAGAGAGAGAGTGTGTGTGTTAACAAAGGCGACGCGCAGCAACAATGACGCGTCTGTAGAGCAGGCTCGGAAGGAGAGCAATGACAGGTGAAAGAGCGACGGGGCCTGGGGGTGGGCAGTTGTAGGATGTTTATATCAGATCTCTAGCTGGGCTGTCGCTCCCAGTCAGACCACGACCCTCGTCGCCACCGCCGGGCGCCGAGATTGCGGTGCCGGGCCTCCTTGTCCGCATGTGGTTAGCGGGCAAAACCCCACTACCAAAATCTCTCCGCCTTCTCGATCACCGTGAATTCGCCCGCTTGATTTTACCTCTTCCCTCACTGCTCTCCTCTCCCTTCGCCTTCTTCACCCTCCCCAGACACGCCGCCACAATGATTATCTACAAGGTGTGTTTTCTTTTTTCCTCTCGCCCTCACTGCACAGCTGCCTTTGCCGGCCCTTGCGAGCCTCTGCGCCGCGAGCGGGGCAGGCTCGAATGTCGTGGTCTCATCCAACCACACTGCGCTTCCCGACGGATCAGCGGTGAACAACGGCTAAATCAATCTACAGGACCTCATCACCGGTGACGAGATCATCTCCGACTCGTACAACCTCAAGGAGATCGACGGTGCCGTCTACGAGGCCGACTGCCAGAAGATCACCCTCGGTGCTGAGAACATCGGTTAGTGCACTTCCTCGACCGCTATTTTGAGAATATGCTGCGATCAGCACACCTTCTCACCGGTCGGCGAACACTCGCTGATGCAGGATAAACAGATATCGGTGCCAACCCTTCTGCCGAGGAGGGCGGCGATGAGGGCGCTGAGGACACTGCCCAGACCGTCATCGATGTCGTCCACTCTTTCCGTCTCAACGAGACTTCCTTCGACAAGAAGTCCTACCTTGGCCACCTCAAGACCTACATGAAGAAGGTCAAGGAGTCGATGAAGGCGAAGGGTGCTAGCGACGAGAAGGTCAAGGAGTTCGAGACCGCTGCCTCTGGCTACGCCAAGAAGATCATCGCCAACTTCAAGGACTACGAATTCCTGATCGGCGAGTCCATGGACCCCGACGGAATGTAAGTGATGCCGTTCCTGTTTTCACTCGTAGCGAGTCTGACATACAAATCAAGGGTCGTCCTCCTCAACTACCGTGAGGACGGTATCACTCCTTTCGTCACTGTGTGGAAGCACGGTCTCGAGGAGATGAAGGTCTAAAATCAGCCCAGAGGTGAAATCCAGGGCATGTAAAGGGGCAGTTGGGTTTTCTGGTTTTTTGACGAGTCTAAATGCATTGACGAATATCCCTCGAGGCATTACCCTCCAAAACAAATGCATGACAATCTTCGTTTCTGGCCAATCCCGCCGACGTGATAGCGTGTCACCTAGGCAACGTGCTAAGCGCGCGCACCTGCATGTTGTGAAGAAATGAAACGAGCATCCTTGAAACTGGCAAATCCAGCCGTCGACGTCTATCGTGACCTGCGATAGAACGAAGGAATTCTCAAGGGACTTGGGGAACTGAGCGCGGGAGCAAGCGCTTCGCGGATCGTCGCGTCCTAGGCTAATGCGGAGCTACACATCTATCTCTAGGTGCCGCCAACTCAACCGAATGCCACACAGGTCACGTGAACACGCCATAGCGTTTGCGCACCACCGCGTCGAGCCGAGCCGCCCGCCGCCTGAATCCCAATTTCCCCCGCAACAGTCTTGACGGCCTTGCAGCCTTATCATCACACCCAGTTGCGCCTCGTTTCCTCCGCGCGGAATTGGTCCCTTCCTCTATCGTCCTTTCCTTTTTTTTTCTTGTTCATCCTTCAGTTCAGTTTATTTTGACGACCTCCACGACTTACGACCTTTGTTTACGCGCCCATTGTTCAGATGCTCACGCTTGAGCCTCAGGCATTAATTACATGGAGCATGCGTTACAACCAAACTTCGAATGATATCGCCGCTCCGACAACGCCGGGACGGGCTCATGATAAGATTAACGATATCGTCACATCGCTCGAGACTGATTGGCAGTTGGGATTGACTACTCGCGCGAGGACGTGGTCACCAAGCCTTTCAGGCAAGAAGTCTGATGTAGACAAAGCTCTGGATCGCATTAAGTTTTTGTTTTATCAAGGGCCACAGGTGCTGAAGGAGCTTCTGGACAAATTCGAGGCTAATGCTGGATCTAAGCCAAACGCAGAGCGTTTGCGCTATCTCAACCAACTGTTGGAATGCGCTACTCCAAAAGGAGTCCGTGGCAAGTCCATTCAGGAAGCCACGTCGCTCCCGGAACCTCAAGGTCCTGAGTCTGGTCGAGTTCATGGCTCTAAAGATGTACAGCAGCTCTTACGGCAAGCTTCAACGCCGATAACTAGAAAGTCCAAACCCCCAGCGGCGCCAGCATCAATCTTCAACCGTCCTTGTAGGTCATGATCCTGTTTGCTCCCCAATTTGACCCGAATCTCTATCACCAATCAATTGACATTGTTACCAACCTCACTTCATCTTTACTGGAAATGTCGATTTCAGTTGCTCTGTAGGTTGGCAGAGCAGTGATACCAAACAGGGGAAAGTGAGAGGCAACCGCAACTACAAGCTAACACGTAGCAGCAACGACAGAACCTGACAGTAGCACTTCCGGTACAGAGAGAGCGTCCCGCGGCCAGACGAGAGGCGAACCCCCGTCACCTTTGATTTTCACGCCAAAAGCGGCAGACGAAGATGGCCACTTTACGACCCCACCTCAGTCACCGAGCTTGGCGGCCAGTATGCGGAAACAATCCCAGCTATCAAGTCCTGAACAATCGTGCAACCAATCACAGCAGCGAAGGCGAGGAAAGCGGTCGCCGGAAGAGTCCGGTGATGAACCATCACCAAAACATTGCAGGACATCTGAGGAAGACACATCAGACCCTGAGGAATTCCCTTTCGCTGTGCCAAAACCACTGATGGCGAAAGGAAGAGCGCATCAGGATTCTTCAGCGTCTGCTCAAGACGGGCGTTCAGCGGCCACGTCCTTCACGTCCACGACTGGTCTTTCGCGTTCAGACTCTGTTTTCTCTCAATACCGCGATAATACAACCACTGCAAATACTTCATTTACGACAAATGCCGCAAACTCGCAAGAAGGAGCAGTAATCGAAGGCGAGATGTTCCACAGCTCTGGAACAGTTTCGCTCGACACCAATGAAGCATTGCTGCAAGCTGTCAGCAAGTTTGATCCGCCATCGAACAACATTAGTCCTGGCAAGAAAATGGAGCATCATCAGATAAAGAACCTGACAGAGCAAGGTCTCTTTGTTCCCGATCTCACCAGAAAGCTTAAGAACAAGCCCTTCAAGCTACGTTGGGAGTTTGTACGCATTGCTTTAGCCAACGGCGTAGATCCAGAGGTCCTACTGCCGCACGACGAAACACATGAAGATTATGATACGTTGTGGGAGTATTTCTCCAGACACCCTGCCTGCCATATCCTGCCGCGCAAAGGCCAAATCGACGCTTGGAAGGCTACTGGAACTAGTGATATGAAGCTCAAAGCATCGCTCAGTGTCAACTCTAGCAACTCCGGTCTGTTGTTCGAGCTAAACCCAGAACCGCTTAGGGTGGAGGAATCTTGTCGTTTCCAACGAGCATTTGGAGGAGATCGATTTCTGTACTTGGAAATCCCCCCTTTGAATGAGAAGAGCATGCCAAATCACTTAAAGAAGCAAGATGGAAATTTGTCAGAGCGAATTCAAGAATGGCTACTCGAGCCAAAAGATTTTCTCGGGCGAACCTGGAAGGTGTTTCACTACGAAGACGTTAAAAAGAAGAAATCCCTTCGTCGGCCCACAGGCGAAATTGGAACAAGAAGAGTGGTACTCTTTGCGGAAAGTGGGATTGATATCCCGACTAAGAGTGTCGGAGAACTCATTCACTGGTTTATGCCGCTGCATCTCAATGCCCAACAGACATTTGCGAAAGCGTATGCCCGCCTCAGCCTTGGTCTCACGACCACAAAGCCTGGGCTTGTCTTCAAGCCGTCACAAGTTCGCTTCGTGCGAGATGCTGTGCCGGATGATACGCCCGAGTACGACCTATATCGAGATCCGGATATCGAGTGGCCTTTTGGTCCCATCAATCAACAAGTAATGAACGACGGTTGCGCCCGTATCTCGGTGGGAGCCGCTATGGCATTATGGCGGTCGCTCAGAATGAGTGGTCCTCTTCCTAGCGCATATCAAGGGAGAATTGGTGGCGCTAAAGGTGTCTGGATGTTAAGTGCGCCGACAGACACTCAAGACCCGGACCATCGTGGTATCTGGATAGAGGTTACGGACAGCCAGTTGAAGTTTGAAGCTCATAAAGAGGATCTCCATGATAGCTCTTTCGATCCCCATCGTCTTACCTTTGATTTACACTCCTGGACCGACGCTGTTTCTTCTTCAAGTTTGTATATCTCCTTCGTTCCTATTTTGGAGAATCGCGGCGTTCCTGCAGAAACGCTGCAAGGTATTTTTCGTGATTAACTCGACTGTGAAAGGGCTGGTCTTCTCGAGGCGATCCATGATCCAGTGCAGTTTAGGCGATGGATCAATGATCAGAACAAGAAGTCTGAGGAGAGGACCCGTGAGGTTGGCGACATAATGTGGCTGGCGAGCATGCCATGCTCACTGCATGAAAGGGTCGTCTATTTACTGGAAACTGGTTTCAGCCCTAACGCACCAGTTCTAGCAGCAAGCGTTGAGCGCTTGGTTGCCAAAAGCCTCAAATGGTTAAGACAGTCCGCACGGATTCCTCTCGCGCAGTGCGTTTATTTGAAAGGAGTCGCAGATCCCACAGGAACCCTTGAACCCGGAGAAATACACCTTTATTTCTCACAAAGCTTGTCGGACGACACTTCGGGGGAAGTCTTCACGTTTCTCGATAATCGGGCTGTTTTAGTGGCTCGAAATCCCGCTCTGAGGAGATCTGACATCCAAAAGGTCAGAGCATCTTTCAAAATAGGGCTCACGCACCTGCGAGATGTTGTTGTTTTCTCCTCGAAGGGTAGTTTCCCACTGGCTGGAAAACTCCAAGGAGGTGACTACGATGGTGATGATTTCTGGGTTTGCTGGGATCCTAGGTTGGTTCAACCTTTCCGGAACGCCCCGGCACCTATGGACCCCCCCAATCCAGAATCCTACAGGATAAAAGTCGATAAAAGGAAACTTCGTGATGTACTCCCGGATTCTTCGCCTTCATCGATCGACTCATTCCTAAAAGAAAGCTTTCAGTTTCGGGAGAGAAAAACTTTCCTCGGTGTTTCCACGAAGCTCCACGAGAAGGTTGCCTACTATGAGAACTCAATCGAGTCTGAGAATACCAATTCACTTGCAGATATTCATCATCTTCTTGTCGATGGACCGAAAGGTGGCCTTGTGTATGACGAAGAAGATTATGAACTATTTCAGAAGGGTCTCAAGCTTCCTAAGAAAGTCACCGGAGTCAACTATCAGCCAGCGTACAAAGTTGCACAAAAGGAAGATTCGGTGAGCAAATACAATACCAAGAAATCAGATGGGAAAATCAAGTACAACCCCGAGAACATTATGGACAAACTCTACTTCGAAACGATAAAGCCGCATACGGAAGAGACACTGGAACAACTCAGCGCTCAACTGTGCCAGGGTGCTCATTATGAGCGAGCCCTCCTTGAACCATACATACAGGTGCATTCAAGTTCCGATTCGGAAATCGAGCTAGAGCTCGAGAGGCTGACAAGGTGCCTCGTGAAGGTCTATGACCGGTGGATGCAGATGAGTCGAGTTAACAAAGAAGGGAACCATTGGGGTTTTGAGGTCGACGATGCCGATTCCTTTGATGCTGCCACCTTGGAGTGCCACAAGCTCTACAAAAGCATTATGCCATCCAATACACGAAATGCAACCATCAACGGCTGGACGATACAAACAAAAAACAACGTGGCAGCGGAGTGGGACTATATCAAGGCAAGCACCTTGTGGAAGCTATACAGCGAAAAGCACAGTTTCGTGTTCTACATGGCAGGTCGCGAGCTGTCATTCCTCAAGTGTGATAGCTTTGAGAACTCCCGCTTTGTTGTTCAAGACGTGTGGGCGAGCATGAAACCACGCAAGATCAGAAAACCGGTTACTAGGCAGCCCGTGGTGGAAGCGAGGCCCGAGGTCCTCAGTGCGTCTAGAGCCAATGAAGGATTGATCCTCAGCGAGACCGAAGCCGACGAGGAGGAAGGCTTCATGACAGCACCAGAGGAGGACGAGGAGAAAATTTCCGGTGACGCAGCACATGAGAGCGCTGAAGAAAATGAAGGCCCGGGGAGACAGCTCTACGAAGAGCTGAGCAAGATTACGACGCCGAAGGGGGAGCCGCGCCGGAGCAGGGCTTCGCTTGGATCTATTCCGAAGCTGACGCCTCGCAGACAGAGCAGCCGGATGCAGGGCCAAGGCAAAAGCGACAAGAAAAGGACGCCTACTTTGGCGATGTGAGGGGCTTTTGAACATGGATGGAATCTTGGATTAGGCTTCGATAAGCCTGATCTTGTTGATGGTTTGGATCATGGAGCATGTTGCTTCAATTTCGTATTGGCAACAGTGGTAAATACGCCCGTTTGATTGCGTATATTTCTGAATACCCGCTGGCGTTGACGCGGCGTTTCGAGTTTTGGAGCTTGGTGGGGGGATTTGGGGGTTCGGTTTCTTGTAGTATATACTTATTTGGTCCGCAAATAGGGAAGCTGGTCTTCTGGCATAACGAATCTCTTATGGATGTGTGGTTTCTGTCTGTCACTGTGGATGGTGTTGGTGATCATCAAGTGGTTAACCAGAGGAAATACGAAAAGAGTCGATCCTTACTACTAAAGAGGATGTCATTCAGGCCGCGTGAAAGAAATCTTGATATCTACTTCATACAAAACTATTTTCTCTATGTGCCATCACATTTCTTTTACGCGTTTTCACGGCTTGGTTTCTCCTCACTGCCGCCCTCGCGGTGGCCGCTCCCGCCTCCGCCCCCGACACCGACCCCGCCCCTGACGAGGCTACCGACGATTTCGAAGGGGGAAAGAATCAAGTCGGTGGCGACTGCTATATCGACATCTACCCTGGACACTGCATCGACGCCACCGTAGCCCAGTGCGTTGACCATGCAGCTAAATCCACCTGCTGGGGTCCCGCTCAAGTGGTGTGCTGCGTCTCGTAAAAAGCAACGTTGTGTGGAGTAAATAACAACATCTCAATAACTACGATCTCCTGATGTGTGTGCTAGACCGGTAACCGTGAACACTGGTAGGGCCTTGTATTGTAGAGCAGCAGTTTTTGCCAAAGCGTGATTGCGGCTTGAAGAAGCAGGCCTGCACTGTGCTTCATAGGACACCCTTGTCCCGAAAAATCCGCCGCATCTGAAGCATGGAGCTTGGTTGAGATGGCTTCATAAGTAAGCAGCCGCTCATGCCGCGCATTGACAAGAGAGTGGGAGACGATATTGCGCTGGATTGCGTCGCTTTGCCGAGTCCGCTCAAAGGAGGAAATGCATATTGAACAGGCCGGGCATATGTCATGTTTTCTCGGGCTACGCAGTATATTTCCCGCAGACAGTTCCTGATCCTGGAAGAGTGCGAAAGTGGGTTTGGATTTCGATGAACGCGTTATTGGCGGCTGGGTTGGTTGGCGCGCGTTCCGGAGGCGTGGTGCAGAAGGAGTAAGTGGACGTTTGGGCAATGGAGAAAGGTAGGACCAACTTCACACCTCTCTTCGAAACCCGGACAAAGTCAAAGAAGCCGTGCCTAGCATAGCTATCCCGCCCCACATGGCGCCAACGGCTTTGTTTTGGCTACGTGAAAGACACGAATTTTTGTCCGAAGTCCAGATGGTTACGCCACTCCATGGCACAGCCTCCACGGGTTCTTTGTCTTCGTCTGATGGAGTTAGGCTGCGCTGTCTTGACGTTTCGCACAAGCTTGTTATGAATAAAATGGTTGTGTATTAACGCAAGCTCTGGGTCTATAGGGAGTGATCTGTAGAGAGCGTTTTTATTTACTTACAGGAACATGTGGGCATGATTGTAGTATCTTCAATAACTATAGCAGAAGTTCGCGTCTACGGAGTGCCGCTTACTGTGGGGATATGAATAATAAAATCTCTAGTAGTAAAGTCTCACGCAAGCTTGTTAGGAGTGGAATGGAAGTGTGTGCAAAGGTAAATACATGTATGTATGAAAACTAAAAAGGCACCATCGCTATGCATCGCTATGCTGTTGAATACGTAACATAAGGAAAACAACTAGAAAACAACTAACAAAGATACATTCAAACAGGAAAGATGTGCAGATCAAAGAAATTTGTGACTTACATCGCAACGCTCATGTAAGCGCCTTAAACAACGGTCTAGAAATCAACAACGGTCTAGAAACCAACCCGGTCATTGCATCACTGCTTCAAGGCTCAAGCATTGAATCCCGGCTGTCCGTGTCGCTTCCAGAATCGAACAAGGAGTTATCAGAACCGGATGCCGATTCGTGCTTGATGTCATTCGGGCTCGCTTGCCTAGAGGCGGGATCGTGCTCGATGCTGGTCACGGTCGGACTCATATGACGGGGGCTGCGGCGCAACCTTTGGACAGAAGTATCCGAGGACAAAGAGGACACCGTGGACACGGGAGAGGACACGGGTGACGAAGACAAGGACCGGACGGAACGAGTGTTGACCTTACGCTTCTTGGGCGAGGGTGGCGTCGAGACAAAGGAAGACGAGTCGTCGTCGGTATCCGCCTCACGCGAGCGCTTCTTGCCTGCGGCCGAGCTCGGTGACAGGTCCCTCAGCTGCCTGGGCGGAGCTACTCTCGGGACAAACAGCGACGACTCATCATCCGAGCTCTGGTAAGGGGTGCTGTCGCCATCAAAGGGGGACTCCGAGTGAATGGGAGAGGCCCTGGCGGCGCGAGACTTGCGCTTGGGCTTGGGAGCCTTGCGCTTCTTGCTGCGAACCGGAGCAGGGATCTCGTCCTCAATCGCGGCCTCGGAAGCCTTGCGCTTCTTACCAACGGGCCCAGTCTCCTCGTCGTCATTGTCGACGGGGTACTTGTGCTTGCGCGACTTCAACCGGGCCTCGCAATAGCGCTCCAGGTCACCCATGTTAACGTTGATGTGGGTGTCCTTCAGTCCGCGGCTAGCGAGCGCACGCTTTTGAGCAGCGCTACGGTTCTCCTCCTTGACCTGGTTCATGCGGTAGTTCAGCATATCCTCATGCTTCTTATCGTTTGGTGCAACATTGGCAGCACGCGGGTATCTCTCGAAATTCCTGATCGGGATCTTCTTAGCGGCCGTCCTCAGGCATGCGTCAATGAAGCGCTTCGCAACGACGCCATCAGGTCCTCCAGTTAGCGAGGCAGCGTACTTCTGGTTCGGCTCGTTCTGCAGCTGGCGCAGGTCCGCAGCAACCTCGATGTGTGGCAGTGTGCAGATCTCTGGCAAATCCAAGAACTTCTCCAAGCAATACAGATGAACAAAGCCAGCCATGTAGAAAGGGTCAGCCTTGTCGCCGTGAGTGAATGACCTCTCATCAAAGGCGACGCGAACATGACCCGCGACCAGGGTTCCCGTACCAAGGTGTTGGTGGACAGGGCACTGATGGAAACGGCACTTGCTGCTAAGAAGAGTCGGGTAGCGGCGCGCCGAGTCGGCGGGAGTCTTCTGAATCCAAAGACGGAGCTTGGCGTCGTCCCTCACAGGGTGCTCGTAAATGAACTGCTTGATTGCTGCCGTGGCATAGACTGGGTCAGAGAGCTCACCGTGAACGTTGTAGCTGAATTCGTAGCCTGAGCTCTTCCAATTCTCAAAGGTGTTGGTGAGTTCCTTGTACAGCTTAGAGGCGTCGAACTTGTTGATCTTGCCACAGCGCTTGGTTGTGCCTTGGGTAGAACGGTTGATCCTGACCCAGGGATGCTTCGGGTCGAGCTTGGGCTTCTCGGCTTGGTATTCGCTCCTCTGAAGGACAGCCGAGAGCTCAATGCTCTTGCTTGAAGAAGACGAGGATGTCCTAGGGTTTGTCGGGTTAGCTGCGGATTCCACGACCTCAATTTGGTTCAGCTGCATGCCCTGTTCATTGCCGCCGTTGGTAGCCACAGGTGCATATTCGAGGCTCGCGAAAGGGTTGTACGAGCCATTGTTGTAGGACGGCAGCGCGGCGAGTCCGGATGGACCTGCTGAGGCCGGGCCGTATTGCCAACCATCAGAGAACTGGGTCGGCAGGTACATTTGCTGGGGTTGGACCGCCTGCATGCCCTGCATTAGCGGGTGCGGGAAGTAACCCTGGGGCAACATGTTACTCATGTACGTGGGTTGGTATGCTTGTCCGACTGGATGAATTAGCGCATACACGTTGCCGTTATGTTGAATGAACATACCTTGCTGCGAGCCACTAGCAGATGGCTGCATATCGAGCTGGGTATCAAAACGCTGAACGTCAGTAGCAGGTGACTCGGTACCGAAATCGACGGTATCGAAATCAGCGGAAGTGTTCAACGGGCCATTGTTGACATCAGACGGCAGAGCGTATAGAGTGTCGTTCGGGATCTCGTCGAACATGTCCCAAGGCGCGTCGTTGCCAATCGCCTCAGTCTGGAAATTGTTCACAATACTATCAAACTCGGCAAACCCCTGTTCAATCTCAGATTGCCTTAAAGGTGCATCTGCAGGTGCATCTGCAACGGGAGCGTCGAAGTCGAAGTTAGCGAAGGTGGGTGAACCAAAAGGTGGTGAATCAAAGGGTGTTGATGAGTCGCCCATCTTGTTTGCTGCTGGTATCTCCAGGATGACCAGATCGTTATCCAGAACGAGTTTGGCTAAAAGAGAGCGTAATCCTTGTTGATCAACAACAAGTTCAGAAACGACTAAGCAGAAACGAAGTGTTGGTGGGAGCCAGCCAGTGGTCGAGGTGTGATTCGAAAGCGGAATGATTCGAAACTGAGAGGGAAATCCTGCGTCTTTTTATGATTTGCAGGGCCCTTGTTCTCTTCTCCAACAATGCTATAGTCAAGTCCTTGTACAGTACTTTTACAATGTACAATGCTCACTAACAATGACATTAATAGTGCGGGACATGCCGAAAACAAAGGATGGAATACAATTTTTGGCTCTCATGTGCTGGATTTTTTGTTCAAAGACTCGGTATTTATTAAAGGCGCCTTTGACAAAGACGTTGCGCTATGTATAGATACGATGGCTGGAACGCGGCGTACCTACTGCTCAACGAACAGTAATCGATCAAGAAATAGTGATTTCTTGCTTCACAGTATGGCCGCGGTCATGGAAAGAAACAAAATATTGAGGTTAGATGGTCGGGTCCAGACATTTCAACTCTGAAGGTTAGCGTTTGACGAAAGTCCCGGAACAACATGCCAAATGACAAGCTTAGCATCCTTCGTCGGAATGTACTGCACTAAGCCACAATGTTAGCGACTGTAAATACTCTTATAAACGAGTAAGGCAAGATAGAAGAGAGGTAGATCAGAAGGTCTCCAAGCAAGTTATCAACACGATAGTTCAGAACAGGTCTGTGATAATAATGCAGTGTTCTCATCCTTTGAGAGGGAAATAGAAAGACAGGATGGGACTGACATACCTTGTATTTGCGTTGTATCGTGAATGAGTTGAAGCCATGGCGCCACTGCAGAAGCGGTTTGGCTGAGAGAAGCAGCATTCAGCGCCCAATACTACCACCAGTACTGGTAGCTATCCAGTCTCAACGTCACATTCGTGACCATTCATTTGCTCGGAAGCAGCATCGTTAGGAAGCGGGAGCCTCGCAACTCGCGTTGGTGCGACGGACGAAACGTCGTGGTGTTGTTGCTGAAAGAATGGAGATTTTCGCTTTTCATGTGAGGGCGGCGAAATGTTCATCCCCGGGCCGAGCCGTTTGAGCTAGACCTTCGGGGCGGACTTCGGCTTTGTGGTCGGCCGCCGCTCTCTCGCTCTCCGAATCCTCAACACCGAGCTCCGTCTTGCCTCCCATCCCCTGTCAGTTGTGTTGCGCAAGCAGATCCACCTCAGCTTCTACCCGGGGCAGCTTGGCGTGCTTGGAGTCATCTGCATCAGGCCTATCAGGATCCAGAGCGCGCACGTGGAGTCAAATTGACAGTTAGTGGCTTGTAGGTTGGCCTTGTGACGCGCATAACCCGCCACTGAGGGTGTTATGTTGCGCTTCACCGTCAAGAGAGATTCGCCATCTAGGCAGATAGGGAAGGATACAGGCAGCCCCTACGGAATACTCCTTGTCTAGCTGCAAGCGTAAGTTCTGTAACCAAAAGGGGGTTTAAAGCGCACGCACACTAAGTATATCTGAACAGGATTTTGATTTCACTCAGTATGAATATTATCGTTTCGTTTGGTGGTGAGTCTTGTTTGAGGGCGACGGAAGTTACCGTTACCAATAGTAGCAGCACTACTATAGCACCACCGCGGCAATACTTCTCAGTACCGGCGATATATTTCTATGCTATCGCAGAAAGCGTAGTACGTATGGGTATGGATGCCGTTCTGGGGTAACGAAGGCATGAAGGACCACGCCCTCGAGGTGGGTTTTCAGCCAGCCAGTGTGCTATCACCCAGATAGGGAAGCTCTAAGCCTCTTCCATGTAACCAAGTCCGCCACGCAACGCCCAAATCGCCACAGAGCGCCACAGAGCGCCACAAAGCGCCACTAACCGGCTCGACTAGTGAGCAAGGCGTTTGACTGCGCCACTAACTGCGTATCACAACTCGCCGCAGCCAACAGCATACGCGGCACATGGTAGCCTACGTCGGAGTTTAGCTTCCCGGATTCTGGCAGCTTCCCGCTGGTTCTGACTGCTTAACGATCAAAGTGCTGACACGGCCTGTTCCTTGCCGATCATCTGGAGCTGACCGAGAGCCTTGTGGCGAGCATACGTACACAGGTGTCTGCCTACCGGCCCAACCATCCGCCAACTTCTATATAAACTACCATATCTGCTTCCAGTAGGTGCATCTTCTTCACCACGCTCTACAGCACAACCTTCCTCATCATCACTACTCTCAACCACTACAATCCTCTTTCTACATCTTTATCGTCAAAGTCAATATGCCTTCAATAAGGTACGCGAACCAGTCGGCTCCCTTCTGGGACTTCATTGCAGGCCTTGAGAACCAAGGCCCAACTCAGTCCTTTGCCGGACCTGCGGGAGGTGCTCACGACAGGTCTGACGAAGAAGGCCCGCGAGGTTGGGGCCCATCTCCTTGGATGGGTCCTTTCATGGGATTTGGCGGCCCTCGTGGCTGGCACCATGGGCCTCCGGGAGGCCACCGTGGTCCGCCGGGAGGCCATCATGGTCCTCACAATGAGAGACGCCCCAATTCACCTCCTGGTGAGAATCCGCCGCCATTCCATCCGGAGGGCGGCCCTCACCCGCCTCCGCCTCACCATGGCGAACATCCGCACCCACCTCACCACGGCGAACACCCACCTCCGCCGCCTCACATGGAAGGACAACCTCCCTTCCCCCACTCTGAAGAACCTCCTCCCCCTCCACCAGGCCCCCACAACGGCCCTGGCCCCGTAGGCCCGGACGGTGAGCACAGGTCTCCCCGTCATGGTGGTCACGCACACCCAAACCACCATCACCGTGGCTCGCGTGGCCGTGGTGGTAGGTCCTTTGGAGGACACGACAGATTCGGCCACCGCGGCCCTCCTCCCTTCCCCCTAGGGGGTATTGATTTCGCCGGCCTGGCGGAGATGTTCCAGCGCCAGCTCTTCGGCGAACAAGGACGTGAGAGCGAGTCGAAGGAAGAAGGTGCGCAGGACGACTTCCAGCCCGAGGCTGATGTCTTCGACACCGAGACGTCATATGTGGTTCATGTTTCGCTTCCGGGCGCGAAGAAGGAGGATGTCGGTGTCAGCTGGGACTCGGAAAAGAGCGAGCTTAACGTCGCCGGTGTTATCTACCGCCCTGGCGATGAAGACTTCCTCAAGACTCTTGCCCTCGATGAGAGAAAGGTCGGTGCCTTTCAACGCAAGATCCGACTTGGCAGCCGCGCGAACCCTGCGCAGGTCGACGATGATGCCATTTCTGCCAAGCTTGAGGATGGCGTGCTCAGGGTAGAAGTACCCAAGCTTGACAAGGATTATGTCGAGATCAAGAAGGTCGACATTGAGTAGGATTCTGGTACGGAATGAGCGGGATACCCTGAGGTGGTTGGAAGGAAATGACAAAGAAATGACAAGGTAATGGGCGTTTGGGTTTAAGTCGTCATTTGATAGTTCTAAGGAAAAAGAGAAAAGCATAAAAAAATGTCCATTCCTTTTCCAAACAAAGCCCTGGATGTAGTCCGCTCCACGTGATGACATGCCTGTGCATAGATTGCTTTCTACCCTGGGATTTTTTATGTCTGTATACATTTATAAGTAGGGAGTAACGTCCGTCACCGTGAAGCGAGGTAGTAATATTTATAGGGAGGAGAAGGAGAGACCTAGTTATAATATATAGAGGCTCTGTACGGAGGAGAAGAAGAGACTTAGTTAAGATATGTAGCGTCTGTATGTGCTCTAAGTTCTTTTTACCTATACCGAGGACTTGGGTTAGGAGCTAGGCAAGAAGTACTTTGTAGGGACTACTTGTATCGTACTCTGTCTCGCTAGATGACGGACGTTATACTTGTAATTATTTTGTTTATGTACCCTTGTAGGATACCTTTGTAGTCTTGTATGTCTATACTTTTGTATTATTTTAAATAATCTTGCACCTACTATCTTTTTGCCTTTACGTATTTGCGTAGTGGCCACTAGCCGTAGCGTAGTAAGTTATTATAACTACCCACGGAGTACTCTGTGGGCATAGTGGATTTTATTTAGTATATAGTCAAAGGGTGAGCAAAGCATCTAGAACGACGGGCAAATAATCCGGTCCCCAAGCAATTCATTGTCCCACATGCGTGACGATGCCAGCGCACGACGGCAGGATGGACGCTTGCCTTTTTCGGAGTGGTGCATGGCCCCAAGACCGCCTGCCGCATTTGGTGCGCGGGGTTGATGGTTGTTGCGTCACAATCAAGCAGGAGCAAACGGGCGAGGCAGAAGGCAGCGGAAGCCTCACAGAAAACCAAAGCCGAACTCCAAACAACTATAAAAATCTCACAACGCCTGCCCCACATAGCCAACAGCAGAAACTTCACCAACACATCCGCCACCGCAAAACACCATGACTTCCCGCATTCCCACCTCCACCTCCGTCGTCGAGTCGGCCGTCATTGACGCGCACATCTCGCACGTCTGGCACCTGGTCAAGCTCCAGGACTTCTCCAAGTTCTGGACCAAGCTCGACAAGAGCGAGTTCGTCAAGGGCACTTCTCCCGAGACTGACATTGTGCGCTGGTCCTTCAAGGATGGCACCGTCCTCGAGGTGAAGCAGGAGGAGCACTCTGTAAGTACTGCGATCCACGCCTAGCTGCCAAAGCTCCATAAAATTGCACCCTACCTTTTTCGCAAAAGAAAAAAAAAAAAAAAAAAAAAAAAAGTGCTATGCTGACGGGCAATGCGCAATGCAGTCCATCGACCACTACATCACCTACTCGGTCATCACGGCTGCGCCTGAGCTGAGCTACTCCTCCGTCGTCAGCACCGTTCGTCTCTTCCCCATCACGTCCGGCAAGAACGAGGGCCACACGTTCGTCCAGTGGACTGGCAACTTCTCGAGCGATGCCGATGCTGGTATGTACAAAAAAAAAAGTCTCCCGCACTACGTCGATCATTGAGCTGGTGCCAGCGGCCAATGGAAAGCTTAAGAAGGCTTGTCGAACGAGGGAAAGCTTAGCCAAGGACAAGAAGCGGTGTGCTAACAATGTTTCGCAGGTGTTATCGAGGACGCCAAGTTCAAGCGCCGTGAAGCTCTTGCTGATCTTGCCGCTGCTGTCGCCAAATGAGCGGGTCGATCGAAATGAGTCGTGGAGACTGGAGGAGGGAATTGACAGCATGGTTACCGGATACCTCAGTGCCGGATGATGAGTCGATGACAGGAATTCAAAAGCATTTTCTTTGACGTGACATGTGTCCCGGTGAGCGTGATGGTGTGATGCTCTTCAGGGGAGCGATGGCCGCATCAAACTCAGGGAAACATGACAGGGTCAACAGCACATGAATCTGGACAAACACAAGCCATCCACCTATCGATAAGATACCGAACCGAAACTACCCCCGTTACGTCTATATTAGCGCCTCGCCCGCGTGTCCCCCTAGCGATGAAGGGAAAGAGATCAACATTGGCCCGGTGGCGGTCCTCGCGGTTCGCCTGCGTGATTTCGAATCTCGAAGGCTTCGAAGCTGCTGTGCTGCAAACCAGCTAACCACTGAGTCCGAAACACACCGGTGAGGACCTCGCCTATAAGCTTATAGGGGTGAGGGGTTGAAGGGACTCGTCATACATGTTGTTTTGATCGCCAATCGAGAGTGCCAGGGCAAGTCATGATTGGCCTGACCGTCTTTGCCCTATGAGGCCGCTGAAACCTCGCTGCTGCAACAGCACAAATGCCGACGCATTGCAAACGGTGAGAGAGTATGGCACTAAAACACGCTCTCCAAGCGCACCCATGCACGCAATTAATTCACAGTTGACGTGGCTCTGGACGAGCTCGAATAGGAGCAACGAGCAGCGAAGAAGCCGCGACTTGTGGGGCGACAAGCGGACGCGTCAGTTGATGGACTATCTGCTACCTTACCCCGGAGTACTCCTGACAGCATGAGGCACCGTCTCTCTCCGGCGGTAAACAGCATCTTACAAACCAGCGGCGCTCTGACGTGACGGTCCGAAGGAAGCAGGAGGAAATCAAGAAAGGCGCGCGCGAAGGCACATTACGCGACCGCAGGGTCCGCCAGAGCGCCGACGCGTAAGACACTTAAGGCGCGCTCTCTCTCCGTCCCTTCTTGCCGCTTCTCATTCATCAGGGACAGAGCATAGTTACGGGTAGGTAGGGCGGGCAGCGACGCTCGCGAAAAAAGAACAAGAGCCTGAGGCCGGCAATGCAATGCAATAGAAAACAAGCCCGGGCGCGCGACGGCGTAGATCACGGCACAGCGAAACGGGGCGTGGTTTGTCGCCCGTGGGCTGATGATTCCCGCCCTCCCGCACGACGGCCCCGATCGCCGCCCTGGCAAGGCCCCGAAACACGATCTGGCGGTCCTTGCGGGCGAAATTGGTGGAGAAGATGTGGGCGGCGGCCCCCCTATTGTACGTAGGTACTATTCGCGCCTGGCGCAGCAGGAACCGACGACCAACAGGCAGGGGGGAGGGGGAGAGAGAGCAATGAGTTAGGAGGAGAAGAACGGAGAAGGGAAGTGCGATTGTCGTGGACAAAAACAAAAACAAACAGGGCTGAGGTTTGCGAGGGTGCGCGCCGCCGCAGTAATCACGGCGCAATCGACAAGCCTGGAACTTCTCCCCCGTAGTTAGCTGGTTTGGAGTGGGCAGGGTCGCCGGGCTGCCCTGCGGCCTGTTTACCGGCCCCCCCTCTCTCGAGTCTCGACGAGGACAGGGCAGGGCAGGGCAGGGCAGGGCCGGCACGAGCGTTAGATGAACTCATCAGCGCCCGTTCGCTATCATCTTATAAGTATCGATCTTCTCCGCTAATTGGGCGCGCTCTCTTTTCTCGTGTTCAGGAGTCCCCAACTTCCCAGACAAACATCAACCACCACCCACACTCTTTCATTGAACGCTATCCGCTCTCTACTCCCAAGCCAACCAACCAACCAACCGCAAAAATGCTCTTCAAGACCATCCTCCTTGCTCTGGCGTCCTCGAGGTCCGTCCCGCCCTTCTTGAGCCTCCTTGCCCACCGTTTCACACACACATACTAACGTCCCCTCGCAGCCTCATTGCCGCCGTCCCCGTCAACAACCGCATCCTGCGCGGCGACGGCACCAAGCGCGCCGCCGAGCCCCAGCCCGCCATGGCGCAGCTCGCGCACAGCAACTTCGACGGCAAGAACGCCTCCTAAGCCGCCCTCGCCTCGCCGCGCGCCGAACGTCGTCGTCGTCGTCGATCCCCCTCCTGATACCTTTGTTGCTCGGCCCCTCTCCCTCCTCCTCTCAAGAGCCTCGATCCCGGTCCCGTCCCTGAAAATAAAATGACCTCCGGCTCCCCGGCACACACGCACGCTCGCAAAAACGCCTCCCAACTTTCTCGGCCGGGCGGCTGGGCCTCCTTCCTCCTCGCTGGCTCTTTTCCTTGGTTTTTCCTTCTCCCTCTACTACGACGACGACCACCGACAATGCGGTCGGTTTCTTTGCGGCGCCACGCTGCGTGCGGATCACGCGTTACGGTGCGGAGCGGTGCGGAGCGAAGAAGATGTGGCGGTCTGCGCCCCTGCGTGCGCTGTTGATTGATTGCTTGATCATTTCGCTGGAGATATTCTCGTTACGTTCCGAGGGCCGAGGGCGCGCCGTTTTTTCTCCCTCGCCTGCCTTCTGTTTATACCATTTGGATTGTTCGTGTACAAACTACCTACTCAATCAACACCGTTCCCACATGCATGCATGCGGCGGCGAGGCTATGCGGCGTGATTGTCTTGTGGCTGACTGGAGACGTGTGACGTGTGCGTGCGTGCGCTTTTTGCTTGCATGCTAGCAAGCTAGCGATGTCCTGGTCGGGGTCCGCTGAAAGATCTCTCCCGGCGGCCCGTCCCGTCTTGTGTGTGCTACTGTCCCAGGGTCCCTGACGAAAACGAATCGGAGGATATAGACCTACCTACCACCTGCGCGCGACTTGTTCAGCTTCCGTTTTCGACAGTGAGAATATCTTAATCAAACAGGACGTTCGACATTAGAAACAATCGTCGATCGGCTGATCCTGCGCGCCGCAGTAAGACAAAGCAAGCAGGATATCAGGAAGGAGCACATTCTGTCGAGTTACTGAATAGTCATCATCCTCGCCGTGGAGCCAGGACTCGCTGTCGCCTTCTCGAGCTACGGTGCCTGCTCGTTACTCGTATCTAGCGCGATAGCTTGTCGTGCGCTTTGAATACGAGGAGCTTCTACCACCGTCCTTGCGTCGCTCTGTTGACGGGGTAGCTTGTGCCTGCGGAGTGATCGCCCCGGTGCAGACTGCGGACTTCGTGCTCCTATATTTGGAGCTGGCGTCAAGGAGACGTGCGGCTGTTGTGCTTATGCTAAACAGACAAACTTGGTTACAACGATTTCGCTGGTCAGCACCTTCAGACTGCTATAAGGTTAGCTTTGATTGTTTACGACAGTTTCCTCGTTATAGCGGCAAAAGCATGCGAAACGCTATGCAAACTGCAGCCGGTTATACCGATGAGCGCTTTTTTAAGACTCGGAGTTCGTTGACTAGCTCAAACGTTGTAACCAGGTTTGACTATAGTCATTGCCTATGAGTAACTCATAGGGGAATATATGTATGCATGCGGTACCTTCAAAACGCTCTCTACAGATCACTTCGTAAGTAGACCTTGAGGCAGTGCTCGTGGTTGGATTTGTTGCTGACGAGGAGCATGTGAATTACAACAATATCTGCCCTCCAAGCGTTTCAAGCCGTATTCCGGACGTTTTCGTTCCTTGCAACACCATACAGAGCTTGATGGCGTGTAGTTTGCGGGCCGCTGCTTCCAAAACCATGGAGACGTAATAAGATGACTGTATCGGTGAGCGCGACGAGCGGTGGCCGACTCCTCTGCCTTGCACACTGTCGCGAACATACTCGTATGTACCCAAGTTGAAAGCTGCAGCGACCCAAGGCCCGGTTTTCGCGCGCAGAGGCTCAATAGCAGTGGTGACTGCATCAGCTGCCACGCTATTGAGAGCGCATGTATTGTTCATGTGACAACCCATCAGGATGGCTATTCCATGTGCTTTTCTGGAGCAAGCATTGTCTTGTGGCTGCCTTGGCCAGCTGAGGCTCGTCGAACATTTCACTTACGGCAAGAAAGAGAACTGCAACTCACCGAGCCCATTTCGCAGCTTTACAACCACTGCAACGGAAGCAACAGAGGGCCTCGAATCTCACTTTCCCGATATGGAGAACCCAAAGCGTCCTCCGCAACTCATTGCGCAGCCACCACACCCGGTGAACGAAGAATCGCCATGGAACCAGGGCCTAATGGTGTACCTTGAAGAGCCATCACCCTCTACGCCAGAGCATGTTGAAATGGTGTTCATGATGCCCGCCGATATCGACACATGTGCTCTCGACGAGCGAACCGAAACCGAGAAGCTCGATATTGTGGAGGCAATTCGGGAGAGCACCAGCGACACTCCAAATGACGACTCGTGGGTGGACGATGACCTGATGCCGCTCCTGGAGGGCACGTTCGTTGGAAACGGATCCATTGTTCCACGACAGATGCTGGAATACCGACGCCTGGTTTCTGATGTCGTACGGTATAACTGCACAGTTGCCGCCACGAGCCGTCCACAGTGGGTATCCTCAGACCCAGCTGGTGGATATGCGTGGTTGGAGGAGGAGATGAGGAAGCGATGGGCTGTGCGGCATACCACCGAGGCCGGAAAGAAGCTGCGCGAATGCAAGCTCAACCTTCTGGTGTTGAAGAATGAATCTCCTTCGGAGGAGAACGAGCAAGAACAGCGACGCTGCGAGAAGCTCATTCGGTCAGCAAACAAGGTTGTTTGGGCGCAATACAGGAACGAGACCCTGGCGACACTGGCCGAAAAGCATCGGCTGGCAACGGAGCAGCCCTTGCAGGAGCTCGAGGTATTGCAGAAGTTGTACGATTCGCAGAGGGTTGAGCTCAATGGCAGGTGCAAGAGCAATGCCGACCTGTTCACCGCAGCGACCAACCAGCGTTACGGACTCGCCGTGACGCTCGAAGGAAGCATGTCTCTTGTCGACACGTGGGTAGACGTTCTTGACCAGCTGCTCGACACGACGGCCGCCAGTATGCGCAGAGTGCACACGCGCGTTGGAAGACTGATGGCGAGGGATGTTCGCGACGACGCGGCGCGCAAGGCGGAGACGGAGAAGCGGCTGGCGCATCCAGAGGCATTGGACTTTATGTTTGAAGCGTGGAGCGACATTGAGGCGACGGGAAGCATTGCGAGGTCGATGGGACGATTGGCGGGAGAGATTGAGGGGGAGCTGGGACGGGTGGCATTGTCGGCGGCAGAGGCGATGGGCGCGGATAGGGAAGCCGATGACGGTGAACAAAGAGGAGACACGATGTGGATGCAGCGGTGGGATTAAGGCGAGCATAAGGCGGTCGCAGAGAAATTTTTCCGGGAGGGCGCCGTCGCTCGGAGTGAACCGTTCGCAAAGACCTCAGTTATGACATCGTCGGTGTTGGCAGGTGTCGCGCTAGTGGAGGTAAGATCGGACTTAGCCTGTCCGAGTTGCCCCGACCCGCAAAAACTGCCTTCTCCTAAAAGAAACGTTGTCAACCTCTAATCTCTCCTCCGTTTCCAACCTCTCCATCTCCACTCCATCACCACCGTCGTCCTTTTCGTACTTTTGGGTTTTTCGCTTCATCACAATGTCCAACACGGCCACTCCCCCTCCCACCTCTACGGGCTCGACCCAGGTCGATGCTATCAAGCAGGCCGCTGCCGCCCACACCCCCCAGAAGCTCTCCGGCGTCGCTCTCTACTCCCGCTTCGCCTTCGCCGGTGCCGTCTGCTGTTCCGTCACCCACGGTGCCTTCACCCCCGTCGATGTGTAAGTCGCGCCTGCCTTTACGCGCCGTCAATTGCTTGCTGCGCACGCCGTGAAGATTTTGATATCCGCTTCCGCACACCCGAAGCTGACTCCTGCCATTACAGCGTCAAGACCTCCATCCAGCTTGACCCCATCAAGTACAACCGCGGCCTGATCGGTGGCTTCCGCCAGATCATCGCCGAGAAGGGCTTCGGTGCCGTCTGGACTGGTGTCGGCCCTACCTTCGCCGGTTACTTCCTCCAGGGTGCCTTCAAGTTCGGTGGTTACGAGTTCTTCAAGCAGCAGGCCATTGACAAGTTCGGCTACGAGGCCGCCGCCAACAACCGCACCGCCGTCTACCTTGGTTCCTCCGCCTGCGCCGAGTTCTTCGCTGACATCGCCCTCTGCCCCCTTGAGGCTACCCGTATCCGTCTCGTCTCTGACCCCAACTTCGCCTCCGGTCTCGTCTCTGGTTTCGGCAAGATCCTCAAGACTGAGGGTGTCGGTGCTTTCTACTCTGGTTTCGGTCCTATCCTCTTCAAGCAGTACGTTCACCCGCCGCATATGCACTTGGCTATCTGTCTCTAACGCTACACAGGGTTCCTTACACCATGGCCAAGTTCGTCGTCTACGAGAAGGTTGCTGAGGCCATCTTCGCCCGCTACGACAAGAACACCATGTCTGCCCCCATGCAGACCGTTTCCAACCTTGGTGCCGGTCTGATCGCTGGTTTCGCTGCCGCCATTGTCTCCCAGCCCGCCGACACCATGCTCTCCAAGATCAACAAGACCAAGGGCGCTCCTGGTGAGGGCACCACCTCCCGTCTGATCAAGATCGCCAAGGAGCTCGGTATCCGTGGCTCCTACGCCGGTATTGGTGCCCGTCTGTTCATGGTGTATGTACCCCTTCTCCCAGACTGAACCACAGTCTCCGTTTGAATAACGCCCATATTAACGCACGCGCTTCTCAGTGGTGGCTTGACGGCCGGACAGTTTGCTATCTATGGCGATATCAAGAAGGCTCTTGGTGCCGTTGGCGGTGTTGAGATTGCCGCTGTCAAATAGATAACGAAATATCCTCGGGACGACAATAGGAGACGTGGTGATGAAGCAAATAGAGGACCATCTCCTACGGGGGATGGCGGGGCATGATTTCATTTGAAAGATCACTTGCGTTTTCTCATCTTCATAAGCATTTTCCGGGAATCGCTTCTCGTCTTGTCTTCTCTCGTCTAGCCTTTGGAAAGAGAGAGGGCCTGTTTGTTATAGATTAGACATCTCTCTTTGGGGAAGGGGGGGAGCACAAAGACGCTCCGTCTTCCGGGGGAGGCTGTAACAGTAGGCCGCAATCCCTTAATAGCTAGAATTAGATGGATGGGAATGATAGGTTCGGCGCCTCATGGATGCTGCTGCTGGTGGTTTTGTGTGCTGCTGTGTTCTGTTCCGTTCCGTTGCGAGATTTCGAAAAGCGTCGCCGAACTTCGTTCCGCTGCAGGAGGTGCTCGGCGGCCTGCCTGGTGGCTCCGTCAGCCCGAGTGCCGATGGCGTAATGGGCTAGGGTTGCATGGGTGCTACTGCTCGGCCCGTCGAGGGCCTCGGTCCGTCATGCTGCTTGCCGCCTTGCTGTTTTAAGGGTAGGTAGGTAGGTATGGTTTGCTGTTGCGTGAATATATGGATGTTGGGATTCTGTATGTGTGTGTGTACGTGTGTATAACGATGGACTGTTTTAGCTGTTGGTGTAAGTGCTATCTAACTGTAGGAGTAGGAAGGCTTCTCGGAGGGTGAAGAGTAATATCACTAGCAACGTATCGAGACCTTTTTCCTGGCAGGTAAGGGAGATGGGTACGTGTCCATATAGGCGCATGTAGACAATCAAAGGAATATCTACGCAGATGATACGTCCTCATGTAAATTAGGCACATGGTAACGGTAACAGCGACACAATACTTGGTAGGAGAGCCATTAATCCCACATGCTTCAGCAGTATAAGAATGCTGTTAGGGATACACATCCAATCAGCACCTACAACGATAAAGTATGTCCTAGGGCACATAGACGAAAGCTGTATGAACCCGTAGAAACCATTAGGGCTACACTGTAGGGAAGCTCTACCACAAGAACAAAGGACAGTAGCGTACGAAGCAGATTTGCCATAGTCCCTGATATAGACTTGACAGCGTCGGTAGCGGCATGTTAAGCACCAGCCATACAGACAGAAGTCTAAGCTACATTAAAGGAATCCATACCATCTGCACAAAACACACCTTAACGCTGTTGCAAGGTATATGCTCCACCAGCGTCTACAGCCGTCTTTCCGCTCTCGAAATAATTATAGTCAACCCCCTCGGGAGTGATTCAACCCGTCCTAGAAATACGGCCGGTATCTGCGGAAAGGCATTTTGATGCTGTGCCGAACCATCGCGCTCATGCCCATCCAAATTAAACCCAAAAAACCCTCAAAATAACCGCAACCAACCTCTATAGAGTGATCCAACCCATCCTAGGGAAAAGTCTAACATCCGCGAGAAAAGCAGTCAGACCATATGCCAAACCAAGCCGCAATCTCTCCAAAATAACCGCAATCAACCCGAACTTTTTCATCGACTTTGGTATCATTGCTTTCGCCGTGATTGCCTTCGTTCCAGCAACCGTATCCAGTTCCATCGGCGTGTCTGTCAGTTGCGCGGCTTTCGGGGTCCTCCTCTTCGAGGCTCTCGGTGCGTTCCTCCTCGGATTATGCAGCAAGCTCCACTGGTGCTCTCCCAGCGCCCATATCCAGCCTCATGGATGCGTCAATCGCACGAATTTCGGTGTCGTTCTCCATGGGGTCCTCTTCGACGTGTTCCGCGTCGAGTTCCAAGGCGTGCTCCGTTAACGGTGCGCGGGACAAGTCTTCGCCAAATTGCAGAGAGACATGGAGTTTTACCGCAACCACAGAGACAACGGAGGTATCCGTTGCAGCGCGCAAGCAGTATACCCACTGAACGAGCAGCGGGCGCAGGAGCTTGAAAGGGATTGTTGCGTCTTCCTCGCGAATCGCGGTTGCTAGTGCCATCACTTCGTCGTTCTTGATGTCGAGCACGCGTAAGGCTGGCCAGAGGCCCTGCAGAGTGCGGAATGCGTTAGAGAGAGGGCTTGAGGGCCTCGGTAAATGCAACTCACCAAGCATTCTTTCATAACAGCGTCAGCATCTTCTCCATTAAAAGGTTTATGCGGGTCGATCAGGTGACGTAGAGCCGTCTCAGTGTCATTCCCGTCTTCTTTCAACTTCTCCTTGATGTAGTCTCTTACGCAATGCACCCAGAGAATTTTGCGCTTCTTTATCGAATTGAGCATGTCGTCCCTAAACTCCTTGAAGAAAAAGATGTCTCTTTTTGAGATTTTGTAGCCTTGACACAACCCGTTCACCGGGTTCACCAGAGCATAGGCCATGGTAAATGGGCAATTCCTCAGTGGGACAACGACCCGAAGGGCTTGGGGGTCAGTCTCAATCAAGGGGAAGGTAGTGAGGTCCGCGATAGTGCTGCCTTTGGGGGCATGTTTCTTGTCCAGCTCATTTGGTCCATACTGGTCGATGCGCTTGTTTATCTCCTCGGTTGTGTACTGGTTGAAGCCTCGCGGAACCATTCCAACTACGACAGCAAGAGCACCTTCTGAGCCAGCTGAGAGGTCTACTTCTTCTTTTGAAACATATTCAGTTGCCGCTACCGTGTTCTGGATGCTGGTGAGAGGTGCACTGCTGACACCGGAGACACGGATGACCTGGTACGGTTTGCGGTCTTTGATCCCATGGTCATACCCATACGCCGAGACGTTAAACGCGTAGTCTCCAATGGCCGGTTTCTGCTTTTGTCCCTTGGGCAGTGGCTTATTGTACGCCATCCATTTGTAGGCGGCCGCCTGATTGGCCCATCTGAGCGGGCTACAGCAAGAACCCTTCCCACGAGGCCTTAGTCTGGTGAGATTTTTCGTGGAACTTAGCATAGTGGTAAGTTTTTCTTAGGGCGAGATGCTGACGCATTCGATAAGAAGCCGGCGCTGGTGGTGGGGCATACGTTAGTTGGCGAAAACACTTATTATCAAAGCTCTACCCGGATAGCGCCATACTGCAAAAGTTGTGAGGCGGCGATGTTGATTGTGTAGTTGGTTAACTTCAAGAACGTGTCCGAACGCGTGAAGTGCCTTTCTTACTAAGCGAGCGGCTAGCCAGAGGCCGCAGGGATGCCTACTTTGGCTGAACAGAGAATGTTTTCTACAAACACTTACTAAACAGAATAGTGGTTAGTAACAAGCTTTGTTTACGGTAGGGAATGGTGCTGCGACACAAGAAACAATTAAAAGCTTATAAGCTCACCGAATTCCACTTCGTATCAGAGCACTACGAGAACCATCATTCAAACATGCTGCATAACTACGTCTCACTATTATTTCGTTATCTATTTGAAAGCGGCAATCTTAATACCACAAACGGCACTAAGAGCCTTTATACTATCACTATAGATAGTAAATTTTCCAGCCATCAGAGCGCAGCTGGAAATTTAGATTAGCGCCATGCAAACAGAGACTGTAGTTTAGTCTGGGAGAAGGGGTGCGAGTACGTACATGGGTACTTTCTCCGATCTCGAGTGCTAGAGCCGTTGTAGCTGCAGCCGTGGGCTGGGAACCTTTGATCTCGGTCCACCTTGGATTTGCCAGTTGCCATACCTCAGCAACTTGGACGCCTCCAAGAATCCGCCCCAAACAGACTGAGGCCACGGAGAAAAGAGCGTCCAACATCCCAGGCCCCAACAACCCCCAACACCAGCCCCCACCACACACCAGCCCAACCCCAAACCTAGTTATAGAACGCGCCCCCACAAGCCTCCTCCTCAAACTCAAAGTCAGGCTGGAATTCCCAGTACAACGACTCAGGATCACTGCCCATGCGGAACGTATACTCGGCAGCCTCATCCTCCACCAAGACCTTCTCGACATTGCCGCCCGCGGCCGCCGCCTCCACCATCAACTGCACCTCGCAGCTGCGCTCCATCAAAGTATGCAAATAGGCGGCCTCATCGACCGTCCCACCCACAGTCAGCAAGCCATGATTGCGCAGAATGAGGCCCTTCCCCCGCGGCCCCAACGCATCCGCCAGCCTCCTCCCCTCAGCCTCAGAGAAGACGATCCCGCCAAACTCCTTGTAGACCGCCTGCGCCTCGCCGTAGAAATAGCACACGTCCTGGTTGAGCATGTCGAGGCGGCGCGCAAACGCGCTCCACGCCTTGCCCGCCTTCGAGTGCGTGTGGCACGCCGCGTGCACGTCCGGCCGCGCCTTGTGCACCGCGCTGTGGATCAGGAACCCCGCCGCGTTCGCCGGCCGTGTCGTGTTTCCGCCAATCGCTTTGCCCTCGTAGTCGACTAGGATCATGTCCGACGCCTTCAGCTGCCCAAAGTGCCGTCCTAGTGGGTTCGTCCAGAACGTGTGCGGGTTCTGCAGCGTGTCGTCGGTTGAGCGGCTGCTCTAAGCGCCGTGGCTGATGGTTGTGGCGTGCTGCTTACCTCGGGGTCGCGGACGGATATGTGCCCAGACATGCCTTCGGTATAACCCTTGCGGGCGAATATACGGAAGGCTGCGGCCATGTGCGAGAGGATAAAGTGCCGTTGCTTATCCATGTCCGAAAAGAGAGGGATACCGGGGAGACAAGTCCCCTGCGAGATGGCTTGCAGGGGCGTGAGCTCCTCCTTCCCATGTGGCTTCTGTGCCACCACCGCCGTGTTGTTGGCCTCGGGAACTGCTGAAGGTGCCATGTTTGCAAGGAGAAAGAAAATTGGGCTGCAAGTTGTGAGTTATGGAGATGAGGTTGAAATAGTACTGCGGCGACAAGGCGACTGGCTCCTGCACGCTATCGGCGAATGCGGGGCCAGGCCGAGGGCGGGGGTGGGGTTGGTTACATATGTCAAACTTCACCAATCAGAGGCACCAAATTTGAATCATGGTTGAATTTTTTGATTGGCTCGCATTGAACTACATAAGACCTTGCACATCAAGGTCCGTGATCGAAGCTTAGAAACGAATTCTTAGCAACATCAGAACAAGTCTTGCGAGATCGAACCTTGCAACGCCGCCAGAAATGCGTGCATCCACGTCGTGACCGTAATCAGAAAAGCAAAGCTGGAAAAAGAAGGGCCACAGAGACTATCTAAGCGAAGGACAAGCCTTGCATTGACCGAAGAAGTGAAGAAGGTCGAAAACAAGAATCAGAAGATGAAGAAGCATCGCTCGACGATGCAGTGATGTCGCATGGACAAGAAACAACCACTCTAGTAGCTGGAGCAGCCGGTCTCGGGAAGAGCAAGAGGGTACTCGCCATCGCCCTTGATAACCTCAGGGCCGGGGTCAGGGAACTGGAGCTCGGCATCGGTCTTGGGGAGCGAGCAGTCGTGCCAGACGGGGTTGGGGATGAGCATCTTGGGGCGAGCATCCCAGGAAACATCGCGCTTCATCGCAACGGACTTGTCAGACTTGGCAGAGGCACCGAAACCAAGGAAGTTGGAGATGGCGCGGTGGTGAACGTGGCGGGCCATGCGCGGCTCAGTGGTACGAGCGGCGAGAGACTTGGGGGTCTTCCAGCACCGGCACGTGCAGTTGTCGGCGTCATAGGCCTCCTTCTCTTCGGTGGACTTATCGGCAGTGTCGCACTTGCAGCTGCACCATTCGAGCTGGAACTTCTTGGAGTCGTCGTCAGAAGCGTCGGCAGAAGGAGTGGGAGTGGGCGCGGCGTCCATCGAGGAAGGCGTGGCAACAAGAGGCATGGGAGTCGTGGGGGTCTGGACAGCCACCGGGGTGGAGGGCTCGACGGCCTTGGACAGGGAACGAGACTTGGAGCTGTAGCCAGAGTTGACAATGGTGACGGCAGCGCAGTTCATGTTGAACTCCTGCTCGCGGTTGATCCAGGTCCAGGCGAAGACAGCGTCGCCAGCAGGAAGATCGGCAGGGACAGTGAAGTCGAAGTCCTGGCCAGAGCTCTCGTCGGAGTTGCGGTGGGGGCAGTTGCCTTCGTACGAAGCAGCAACCTTGAAGGACTTGCCGCCGTCAGTGGAGAAGCCAACCTGGCAGGATCCGCCGTAGTGAGTGCTGCCAAGGTCGTTGCCAGTGATCTCAGGGTCGCCAGTGATGTTGAACGTGGCCTTGGAGCCGGCCTCGAAGGAAGCGACAGAGGCACCGGCAGGCGTGCCAAGCAGGTCGAGGTAGCCACGGCAGACCTCGGTGACGTCGGCGCCGCAGCAGCCCATGGGGTAGACGTAGGTGTCATCGCCGTCGCCGGAGCGGTGGGGGTTGTTACGGGCGTTGAGAGCCGGAGGGAATTCGAGCTGCATGTGAGCCTGCACAGCAGAGACGCCAGCGAGGGCGAGGCCCATGAGAACGGAAAAGGCGTGCATGGTGAAGGTTGGTTGAAGGAAAGTGTTGACAAGAAAGTCAAAGAAGCCAAGAAAGAGTGATGGCTGAAGAAGTGAAGGGTGGTGGAAAGAAAGAAGGACGGTGGATGAAGAGAAAAAAAAGAGCAGAGGGTGGTGGGGGGAGGGGGGTTTATATAGGCAGCGGGGAGGGTGAGGGTGAATGTAGAAGGAGCTGAGGTGAATGTGAGGAAGGTTCGTGGGGTCGTGACCGGCACGCCGTGGAGAAAGAAAAGGAAGGAGCGAAACAGAGTCAAAGTACCAACACAATGCAACGGGAAGGAAGGCGCAAACCCAACCCAGGCGGCGGGCCATTTCCGTTTTAAACACACCAACCCCGGATCTACCCACTCGAGATCTCTTGGACCTCGTATAGGGCCTGCCAATCAGCAACCGCCCCCGCCCGCGAAACGCCCCTCTCTGTTTCAGCCTGTGCCCGCCGCCTTCCTCCCCGTCCACTCACTCGCTGCCGCCCGCGACCATCTGCGAAAAAATTTGTCCACTCTTACGCCAATGTCTCCGCCTTTTGACGCGACCACCGGCCCCGGCACCGTGCAACCTTCGTTACACCTCGCGCGCGCGCTTGCTGAGCCTCTGCTGCACCCCACTGCGCTTTGAGCTTATCCCTACGTCCAGGTAACCCAGTGCGACGGCCTTGGGCTCGCTCGCCCTTGACATTAACACCATGTGATGCCCGCCATCCCGACCTGACGATCGCCCGCTAACGCCATGACGTACAGGCCACCTGGCTCTAGCCATCCCGGTTCAGCCAGCCCTATTTCACACTTCTGCGCGCGTTTGGTGCCCATAAAAAAAACAAAACATAAATCACAAACGACTCACAAATCAAGCCTGTTGGGGCATACGGCCCCCTCAGCCGACGAATCCCGTGGCCATGGCAGCTGCCGTTGGGGGAGATTACATTTCCCGCCTGATTCAAGTGACTGCCCTTCCGTCTGCGCCCCGCCGCCGTGAGTGACAGGTCGGCGGAAAGGTCGCGTTTGGGTATGTTGATGCCGATTGTACTCCAGGCTTGCGTCACCGGGCGTCTTTTTTTATCATTTTCCCCATACATTCGCCTCCACTGCTGCTAGAATCTTCCAAGATAGCCAAGTTCCAGATCTCTACCGGCCCGCGTTGTACTCGGGCTGATACGCCGTCGCGCCTCCCTTCATCAACTCCCTCAATGCCATGGTGGCATACTGAGACGTTCCAAGCTGGAACTTTAAAATGACCGCAACCTTTTCCTCTTGCACCCCTTCCATCTGCTCGTCGCCACCAGTCTTAGCCTCCCTTGGCGGCCTCGGCGTCGCCTTGCCCTCTTTCTCCAGTTTCTGCAGATCCGTCTCCACCAAATCCTCCTCGTCATTTGTGTACGTCTTCACCTCAAAGGCAGCACCTCCGACGGGCCTAGCCATCATCTTCCTGTAACCTCCACTCAAAGAAATGTCTTTCCACCGGCGTCTCATATCATGTGGGTCAAGCCCACCACCGCGCTCCTTGTCACCCATGAAGTCCTTGTAGAACTGTCCAATCTCGTTCGCAGGGTACTCCACGTCAAACCCGGGCAGAGGGAGCACAATATCAAAGACGTTGTACTTCCCCGACGCCGCCTCGTCGGCGCTAAGAGCCCTGGCGCGCTCAAACGCATCGGTTGCCGGGCCCTTCGCCATGTCCTCGCCACTCGGCAAGATGACGACTTCACCGTCCGCGTCGATCTCCGGCTCCGCAGGCTCAGAATTGACTTCCTTGTCCCTGTGCTCATGGACCAATACCAGGTCGCCAGCGACAACCTTGTCGCCAAAGCGCTGCCAACGCGTCGCAGCGACTGAGTTCCAAACAAGCGATTGGTAAGCATGCGTGTACATCATGCGCAGGTTTCGTGGCACTGCTTGCAGCGCACCCTGCCAATCCGACTTGCGGCGTTGCTCACGCGTGCGCTTCTCTTCCCATCCCAAGTGTTGGATGATGGACCTCTCCGCTTGAAAGCGTTTCGGCAGGAGGTCTAGAGCTGGGCCGGCGCGGCCGCCAGAGTGCCAAGTGTGGATCGCGAGGGCGCGGTTTTTGTCATCTGACGAGACCATAACAGTGGAGTTCGGGTCCTGAGCTGCAGCCAGAGCATCCGGAGAGTAGGATAAGATGAGCGAAACCGCACCACTCAGATCGCCGTTCAGTATCCGCACGCCGACAGCGTCGGTGCTGCTAGCGAACGACCCAAAGCGCTGGAGACCGTAGTAGTTGATGAAACCGCGTGTATTGAAACTCTCGAGCGCGGGGCCGACGATGCTTTTTGCGAGTTCAGCGCGCTCCGCACAGGTCTTTCCCTCTTCACCGGGGAAATGACAGTCGCGCAGCGTGATGACGAATTCGTTGCCCGCCAGATCACCCAGAGACAGCGGGTGCTGCTCGTGCTTCAAGCCACCAATGCGCGCATTGTTCAGTCTCCGCGAAATGGGCTCCAGCTGATGAGCGCGCACACGCTTCGCCGCGACGCGCTGGACTGTGACGCCACGGCGATCCTTGGTCCCGGCAAAGGAGAGGTGCTTGTGCTGCTGCAGCTTCAGCTGCGACGCGATGAAGTAGATGACCTCCATTGTGTCCTTGTTCTCTTTGTACAGAGTGAAGTGCAGGTATTCACCGCCCAGCTCATCCCAGCCCAGCTTGCCTTTGGGGCCGTTCTCGTTGCTGCCCCATTTGCCGCGGTTGTTGTTGTTCCGGTTGCGGGGAGGCGTCGCTCCGACCTTGATGGCGTTGCCGTTCTGCGTCGAGGAGTCGAGGCGGCCCGCGAAAACTTCGCGGATGAGCTGGTGCGCGGCGGTGCGGTCCTCCTTCTCGGCAAAGGGCTCGCTGAGGATCGAGTCGAAGTCGCGCGCTTTCTTCTGGGGGTTGCTGAGGACCTTTTCGTACAGCGAGACGGCGAAGTTGGTCACACGCTCGCCGAAGGTGGCTTGAAGTTTGGCGATGTCCTCGGGCGAGATCTAGACAAAGGCATTGTTAGCACAACAGACAGCAGACAGCAGACAGCAGACAGCGTTGCCAATTGTGCCGTTACGAGGCTCTCACCTCTTTTTTTCCCTCCTCCTTGGGAGGCTCCTTCTCTGCTTGCTTTTCAGCGGCTTCCTCCTCTTTCACCTCGGCGGCCTGCTCCTCTGGCTTCTTGGCGCCGAGTACGTCCTCGAGATGGATAACGCGCCCGTCGGGCACGATCTCGTTGACCAGGAAGTCGACGTAGCGCTGCTTCAGCACGCCTGCGAAGCCTGGCGCATCGGGGTTGACATGCGCCGTTATGCCGGCGCGGATTTCTCTCTCGACTTCGGAATTGGCGTCGTTGGCCGCGGTGGGGGCGACGGCGGCGGCGGCGGGTGCCTGCTCCTCACCAGACAGCTTCTGCCGCTTGACCGGCCGGTCAGAAGGAAGTTCTTCGCGCTCAGCCATTGAATTTGATAGGTAGAGGAAGGCAAACCAGGCGGGTAATTTTTCGTGAGAAGCCTTATCGATAAAGGGTGCTTAGATCCTTACGTGGTAGATCCAGGTGCCCACGGTGCCCTAGTGCGTGCTTGCCAAGCCAGGGTGCTCAACACCACACCACACCACACCGTAGTTACCGTGGTAGCTATTCGCACCTCATGCAGCCTCTTCGTCAATCGGTAACCTTTCGCCACACAACATTAGGGTTCTTGCAGGATGATCTGCTATGATCAAAATGAGTTACGAAACAGACAACCTTCTTCCAAAAAAAGTGAGGCTTTGCTTGACACCACAACAGCGAAGAGAAACCTTCAAGTAGCTACCCTTATCTTACTGCTTTCTGGTGTAATATATCTCAGGCCGGCTAAGTTTCGTTTCCTTGGAAGGGAATCATTTGTTTCCGCCACCCACTTTGTCTCGTTGTGGAGGCGCAGACTTCTGTCGTAGGTAAGGCTAAATACCTAAGGGATGCTGACAGCAATAAGGCATACTCCAGGCTAGGCATCATCAGTCGAAGCAAATCAACACAAGGCTTGCATCGATGCCGAGAGAATTATATGCAAAGCTTACCTACTGGCGCCATTGGCAAGGCTGAAAAGAGTTCAACCAAGACTAGGCACTACTTGGATAGATGACGGGGTGCTCAGCTTGCTGAAATGACGACTCTCACTCCCATCAATTATAAAAGTGATGTGGTATTGCGATCGAGTTCCCAGTAAACATCCATCCCCGTTACCTTTCACTCCTCGGCATGACTGGATACAAACCACCATCCGTTGAGGACTGTCAGTCCGATGGTGAACCTTCGGACGATCAGGGCTCAGCGCCTCGTCCTCAAAGCCCCATTCAGAATTTATCAACGAGACTTAAAGCTGGTATCGGAAATCTCATCGGTCTTCCAGGAGATGCGCACGCCACAAAGATCGTTCTGCGGAATTCGATAATGACACGCATCTCGGAAATTCTCGATCTATATTGCAACCAAGGTTGGTGTTTGCGACCACGTACCTTCGCCATTCTTTGGTGGCTCGGTTGTCCCTTGGACATGGAACAGTTCGTCAAGGACGGACTGACCGATCATTTCATCCCATATTCGCTGGGAAACTTGCCAAAAGTGATACGAGGAAAAGATCGATCAAGGTTCTTGGAGCTCCAAAAACGGGTTCTTCCTCAGGAGGATCTGGCTGGCCTCGAGATCTCCGGTGGCCAACACATACACTTTCCAAAAGAAGATGAATCCGACGAACAGTTCGAACAAATGAAAGTTCTTGGTAATGGAGCCTACGCAATCGTTGACAGAGTCAGGAGTAGAACGAGTCTTGATCAGTTCGCCCGAAAGCGCATCCATCGATTTCACTCGAGTCATCTGCGGGACAAAAAAGCTTTGATTGCGTTTGAGAATGAGCTCAAAACTCTCAAAGCGTTGGACCATAAACACCTTGTCAAACTGATCAGCACTTATACCGACCCCACATATGTAGGCCTGCTTATCAAACCCGTAGCCGACATGGATCTTGCAACGTACCTTGGGCCAACAAAGGATCCATTGGAGAGGAAGGCATGCTTGAGGGCATTCTTTGGCTGCCTCGCCAATGCTCTATGGTATTTACACAAAAACCATGTACGCCACAAGGACATTAAACCGATGAACATCCTCGTCAAAGGAACGAACGTATACTTCACAGACTTTGGAACAGCCAGGCAATGGGAAGGCGAAGGCGATGGTTCTACAAGCGGGCTTGATACTGAACGAACGCCAAGGTACTGCGCTCCAGAGGTTGGGGATCGTGACGTAAGTCTTAGCCTATTCCGCAGTAGATGCAGTGGGCTTACATGATTCTGTAGCGAAGAGGCAAACCAAGTGATATATGGTCACTCGGCTGCGTATTTCTCGAAATGGCGACAGTTCTCAACAATGAGTCAGTTATTGATTTTAGGGGATTTTTGGAGACAAACGGCACGCAGCGATCGCATTACTGGCAAAACAGTTCCGCTCTTGCCATGTGGATTCAACACCTCCGTGAAAGTTTTAAAGCATCCGATGACCTAATTATCCTTCAATGGCTCGAATGGATGTTGCAAGAAAGCCCAAGGGACAGACCGGACTCTCTGCAGCTGTTGAATGAAATCAGAGAAAACCAGGGAGAGACAAGCTTCATTGGAAGCTGCTGTACTGCTGTACTGGAAAACTTGCCTTCCAAACAACTTCTACCGAACGAACCTCTAAAAATTGATATACAGATCTCCGATAGCGAACCTCCAAAGACTCCCCAGCAGAAAGTTCCGGAGCCTTCGAAAGCATCCGACCCTCCAGATGATTCTCCCGTGGTGTCTGACAGGAGGTTTATTCTTTTGTCTTCTGACCGTAGACCCGCACCAACACCGGACGTACCGGAGGAAGATCATGGAGACAGAGAAGAAGACCTTTACAACGTGTTGGCACCTGCGCCCCTCGAGCCTCCGAGTTTGTGCACGCAAGGATTCACTGTACCGCGCAGTACTCTTGTCCCTTCTTATATTCTTGCTTGCTCGAACCGATTCACCCGTCAAGAGGCAACAGCCCCAAAACACAACCATGGGCGCGTAAACCTGTTCGTCTGTGGCCGCTTTATGTTCCCGAGCGTCATCCGAGCCATTGCGGCAAGGTCCACGGAGAGCGAGTACTCCAAGGTTCACCAGCGCAGACTAATGCCGACAGCGGACGACTGGGCAAATGTCAACAAGACTCTCAAGCACGCTGCAGAGGCGATGACAACGGCTGTTCTGCGCGGATATGACAGGTGGAAGCCCAAGGGAATCGATTGCGCGGTTCTGCAACAGTCGGACATCTCTCCATCGATCATTGAGGAGATTTCTCGCAATGGGTACCCCACGTCCAGCAAGCCATCCGGAGAGGTGCAGGGTTTCATTATACGCGGCCTCACGCGGGAAGCGCTCCGGTACTGCGATCTTCTCTTATGTGGAAGCCGCTCTTGCGCGAAGAAGCTGCAGTTGGCCAAAGGAGAGGACCAAAAAAAGGGTTCTGCTCAGCCCGATGGCCCAAAGGGAGGGCTCATGAGGCAAGAGGAGGTATCAGTTGAGATACGTTTGAAATCGGGAGAGTTGACGAAGGTCAAAGCGCAGACCTACATCTGGACGCAAGGCAGCCTGGGTCTTTGCGGTCAGTGGGACCCGACAGCTTTTATTCAAAAACCCGGCCTCCGTTCGCTCTCGAGCGGCGCGCTTGACTGGACAGCCGAAGAGCGCAAGCTTGCAAAGACAATGCGCACCGACTACGTATTCCCTGGCGACATTCTCTGCAGTAAGGTGCTTAACAACCAACCCGAGGCTGTCTCATCCCTACTTTCTCAGATGCAGGTTGATCCCGATGCGCCGTGTCGCTTCTTCGCAACCACGCTTCAAGCCGCAGCAAGTCTCGGCGACGAGGAGCTCGTCAACATGCTCCTTGACAGCGGAGCAAACTCTGATGCCAACGGTGGGCATTATGGAAGTCCGCTGATGGCGGCAGTCGTCCACAGCCGCAAGACAGTGGCCAAGATGCTTCTGAAGGAACGCGCGAACGTGTTCGTGCATGGAGCGCGGTTCGTGAGCCCGTTGTACCAGGCGGTCGGGCATTCGGACTGGGCCATGGCGCAGCTCCTGCTCGACAAAGGGGCGTGGTTGGGAGCGGGGTACGACGAGATACTCGACCTGGCCGCCGAGCAGCGCGACGCAGACATGAAACGCCTGCTAGTGGACTATGACGTCCAGGGCCTCCACGACAGCAAACCCGGCTACGAGTTCGCCCGCCGATTGCGGCCCCGTTCCGCTCGTGAACCGAAATCCTCCTCCCTGGGCGGTGTCGTCTTGGAGGAGATTTGGGCAAACTGCGGCTCCTCTGGTACTTGGAGGGGGCTAAAAGGGGCCAACATCGCACGAGCAGCGCTGGCTGCTGGAGCAGATCCTTCGATTTTGATGTTTGCGCGGAAGGCGATAGATCCGGTTCTGGATCTTCTCTCCTTGTTGCGAGCGCAGGTCAAAGACAGGGAAGAGAGCCGTGGCCTTTCGACCCACGACATGGTCTTTGAGCGCGTTGTCGGATCCACATCCTCTAGACGTTCTAGAAAAGATGCGGTAGGCGGACGCGTGGGAAGACGCAACCATGAAAACGGTATATCGAAACCTAACGACCATCTCAGACACCCGTGGGGGAGCCCACCTCCGTATTCCAGGTTACCGAATTAGTCTATAACCGAAAGTACTCGAACTTATTATTGAAAACTTATGTCCTCACAGCAACATTATGTTACTGTTTTGTTTATGTTCATTGTTTATTTTCTCCCGGCCAAACATGATATATTGTTTTCAAGTCATTTCAGGTCTAGCACATGATGGCTGATTTGTATGCAATTAAAAACATATACAAATGTTCATACAATCCATACTCTCGACAAGCTTTACCAGCAAAAGACGTGCATGGGTCCGAAAAATTCCCATGGCTATGGCGTTTAATCAAATGCCTGACTGAGGGATCACGCCAGAAGCGGACAAGATCATGTCTGCCAGACCTCGTGTACTATCATCATGTAACTTCAACGTGACAGAGCAGTGGCAACGGCAGTGACGACAAGTACGCCAAAAACATGTGCGATTCAATAACTCCTATCCCAGATGCACGTCCAGCCCTGCGATCCTTTTCCATGCCGCCCATCCATCCATCCATCCATCAATCAATCACAGCTCCTCATGGTCAGGCGTGTTATCCGCCTTGACCTTCTCCTCCTTCTCGGTCTTCTCGGCCTTCTTCTTATCCGCCTTCTTCGCCTTCGAGTCCTTCTTGGCCTTCTTGCCCGACTTGCCTCCAGACGAGGAGCCCGACTTCTTCGGGCCGCCGCGCATCAGCTTGCGCTGCAGCAGCTCCATGGCCACGTCGTTCAGCCGGCGCGCCTTGGTCTCCAGCTCCACCGAGCTGAGCGCCGCGTCCTCGGTGGCGACGCGCTTCTCCTGCTCCGCCAGCCGCTCCTCCAGCCACGCGCTGACCTCGGTGTAGGCCTTGTTGAGCTCTTCGACGTCGGCCGCCGAGTAGGGCGACTCGTACGGCGCCTCCGTCTCCTTGGCGCTCTCCGAGCTCGTGGGACTGGCGTCTTCCTCGAGGTCGTCGAGCGAGTCCGCAGAGTCGGACGCCGCGGGCGTCGAGGAAGGCGAGACCGAAGCGCTGGATGCCGAGGCCGCCGCCGCAGACGAGGACGCTTCCACTGCCTTTTCCACGTCGTTCTTGAGCATGGTGATCATGCTCTTGGTTTGGTCCAGGGCGTCTTTGAGCATCTTGACCTGCTCGGGCCTCTTGACCGCCTCGTCGCGGCGCTTCACAACCGGGTTGACAAGGGCGTGGAGGTCAGAGAGCTTAGTCTTGAGAGTTGCCTCGTCAGCATCCGCGCCATCTCCGTAGAGCCACTCGCTGGTCTCTTCGAGCTTGGACTGAAGTTCGGCGCGTTGGGCCTCGGTGGAGGCGGAAGTGAAGCCTTCATCGGAGAGAAGGTCGCGAGCGCGGTATGTAAAGGCCTCGAGAGCGTTAAGCGCAGCCTCACGGTTGAAGCGAGCGCGGTCGGAGGCATCAAAAGCGGAGAGCCTGAAAAGATCAATGAGACACTGCCGTAATTTATACATCAGACAAGGCGAACAAGACTTACCTGTCCTTCATGCGCTTCATCTCTGCCTTGGGAACGGTTTCATAACCCTCGCGATTGACGGTGAAACCGACAAATCCGGTGACGGTCTTCTTGCTCGGCTTTGCGTCCTCAGCCTTCTCAGTGCTCGCGCTCTCCGATGCCGAAGAAGTCGCAGAGGAAGCACTCGAAGCCTTGGATTCAACAGTCTCGGTGCTTTCCTCAGCCGCATTTTCGCCGTCCTTCAGAGGCTCCTGGTCACCGCCCTTCTTGGAACCGAAGCCGAAAAGGTTCTTGACACCCTCGGCAACGCCACCCTTCTTGTCACCCTCAACCTCGCAGCTCACCTCCGCCTTCGTAACCTCCGGCAGACCAAAGATCGGGTCCAATTTGATGGAGAGCTTGGTGCTGACATCGTCGCGGTTGCAGCCTTCCTTCTCAACTAGGTCCGAAACTGCTTGCGTCAGGTTGCTCGTCTTAACGGCGAAGAGGGGCTGGTCAACGCCCTCTTCGGTAGTCTGGTACATAGAAAAATCAAAGTCCGAGAGCATCTTGAAAGGCACCTCCTTCACAGTTCCGACCTTGGAAGTAGGGCCAAAGAGCTTCTGGTTGTGCTCCTTGCCGTTGGCGGCCGAGTAGTGAAGTCCGACGGGGTAGCCGGCGGCATCTGAGGCACGAATTTCCTTGACGCGGAAGCTAGGAGACAAACCGGCGCCCTTGAAAGCCGCACCAAAGACAGCCGCCTCATCGGCGTTTACGTTGCTCCGGAGCTTGGCGGGGTCACCGACCAGGGCTTCAAGCTTCTTCTGAACGAAGGGAGTGCGCACAGCACCGCCGTGCATGATGACCGAGTCAAGGTCGGCGAAGGTCAGGCCGGCCGCAGACAGTGCCTGCTGAATGGGTCCAGCAACACGCTCGGCGTGTTCAGCAGCCATCGTCTCGAACTCGGCGCGCGTAATCTTGTACTTGAAGTCAATGTCCTGGTACAGGCTTTCGAAGCCGGTGCCAGTGGCCTGGTTTGCGCTAAGCACCTGGCGGACCTTCTCCGCATCCTTCCAGAGCCTGGCCGTGGTACGACCATGTTTCTTCACATCCGCCGCCTTGACATTGCCACTCTTCGCCTCAGAGCTGTCCGCAAACTGTTCGATAATGTGGTTCATGACAAGACCGTTCAGCGCGTCACCACCCAAGCTCTTATCCCAGCCCGTGCCCAAAACCGTAACCTCTTGAATGGTCTTGTTGAACCGTCCGACATCCTTTACAGTCCGGCCCTGGAAGCGAATGATGGTGGCCGTCGTCGACCCAGCGCCCATATCGAAAACCATGTGGTGCTCCGGCTTTCCGCCTTCGTTGATGCTGGGGAACGTCCTGCTAGTCGCGTAGTTGAGACCGACAGCCAAACCATCACTGACAAGAGCAAGCACGTTCAAGCCCGCAAGCTCTGCCGCGAGCTCGACCGCACGCTTCTCGGCTCCGGTGAAGAAAGCCGGAACCGTGATAACGGCCTCAGAGATCCGAGTTCCCTTGCCTGCCAGCGATTCAGCGTTCTCGCGCAGGTTTTGCAGCTCCATGGCCAGCAATTCCTCGATGCTGAACGCCGGCGCGTCCTTCTCGAAGCTCGGGCTCTTGAAGCCCACGGTGCCACGGCCCTCGACCGAAACTGCCTCCAACGCCGGGTGCCATTGGCTGTATTCCTCCGCCGCGTTTCCGTCCAGGCGCTGGCCCAGCAGCGGCTTCAGGTTCGGGTAGACATCGGCGGGAAAGCGGGCAGCGAGCGCGAGGGCGTCTCCGCCATACGCGCGCTCGGGGAAGGAGGATCCTGAAGCAGAAAAGGGGGTGCGAGGAGATTTGAACGCGACAGCGGCTGTCTCCTTGCGCTTCGAGTCCTTTGAAAGGACAATTTCCAATGGGATTCCGGGCTTCACGAGTGCGCCTTTGAGGTAAGACGTTCCAAGATCGACGCCCAGAACGGCGGAGGCGGCTGAGGCGGTACTGGCGAAAAGAACAAACAGTCCCAATAAGACGGGCAGAATCGCGCCGCGCCTGCGGCCGGGAGGTGCCATGATGTGTTAAGTGATGGATGTGTAGATGTGGGGAGAGCTGTAGGCAGCTCCAAGAGCTGGTTGCGGGGGTCGATTAAGCCTCTGTTAGGGAGAGAAGGAAAAGTATTTGATGGAACAAGGAACAAGGCAGCGAGAGAGAAGTAAAGGCGACGAAGCTGGAGCTTTTTGAGCTTTTGTGCCAAGGGACAGGTTGTCCAGTTCCACCTCGAGCCCGTTTCAAGAAGGCGGTCAGACGCACGACTCAGGCAGTGAGCTTCTAGAATGCAACATGACGCAATGCTGCTTCTCGAGTACAACGATAACGTCCGTCACTAGGTACTGTCAACCAAGATTCACTGTCTGTCGAGACAGGAAAGAACACAAGCGGTCCCCATGGAATACTCCTTGTCTGGCTGCAAGCCCAAGTCCTGGATACGAGTGGAGAGGTCTTAAAGCGCACGTATACTATACATATCTTAACTGTATTTCTTCTTCTACTCTATACAAGCGTCGTTATCTCGCAAGACGGTGAATGTCGCTTGATGGAGGCTAAGCTGGTTGCAACGTATGAGCTGGTCAGCGTCTTCCAACTTGTCTCAACCGTCGAACCAGTCATGACTGCAAGTCTATTCCCGTCCCAAATCCCGCCCGCCCAACGCCGTGTGAATGCCGCGAATAAACCAAACCCAGTCATTAAATGCCGCGGTTGAACTCAATCATTCCGGTCTTGCCGCCCTTGTCCCAAAACTCCTTCTCGAGCTTCTTGGCGCTAACGGCCTCGCGCTGCGGGAAGACGGCCAGGGCCAGCGGCAGCGCAAACAGCGACGTCGTCAGGATCAGGCCCAGGTTCACCGGCGTCACCATGCGCGGCCTCTGCTTCAGCCACTCCATCCTCTGCATCCTCACCAGGAGGAGCGGCGGGAGGACCATGATGGGCGTGGCGTTTATCACACGGCTCAGCGCCGTCTCACCAACCGCCAGCTTCGCCGCCGTCTTGCTCTTGCCCAGGCTCTTGGGGGTGCTGTCCTCGCCGGCTTGTTCCAGCTTTGCCTTCTCCTCCTCGCTCAGGACCGGGTAGACGTCAATGCCACGGCGGATTTCCTCGCCGCGCATCAGGAAGACGTTGAGCACACCGGCCGAGACGACGGCCGCGAAGGGTACCAGACGCGACAGAGTGGTACGGGTGGCGGGCGAAATGCGCTTCAGGCGGGGAACAATGGAGTTGAGGCCGACGGCAACACCGCACGAGGCGCCCACGGCCAGGAAGTAGGACTGCACGATTTGGCTCGTGGAAAGAGGAGTGGACTTGTTAGCATTGGCGTTGTTGATGGCAACGTTGAGGGACTGGTTAGCCCACTGCCAGCCTATGGTGCCTACCGTCTGCAAGAAGCGGCGCGTTAGTTCTAAGCGGCATTGGACTGGTGTTGTGCGGAAAAACATACCCCCAGGCCAGGCGCCAACATGCCCGCTGTGACGACTAGGTTGGACAAGACGTAGCACGACATACGGAAGGGCAGAAAGACCGGTTCGCCGGTGTCTGCATAATAACGTCAGCCTCATTGGCCCGTCGCCGGGCTTCGTTTAGCGACACATACCAGGGTGCAGCGTAGAGTCAATGACCTTCTTCGCCGTCCACAGATCAGGCGTCATCTGCGAGAATTTGCCCTGCTTGTAGGCGGCGACCAGGCCCTTTGCGTTCTCCAAGCCATGGGAGCTCGTAAAGAGGGTCCTGCAAGAGCGCACGATCAGCGCACGATCCTTTGACAGCGTCGAAGCGGAGAGATACAGGCAGTGGCACTCACCACTCCGTACTTCCAGGCGCAATTCTCACCTAGGGTCTGAGAGGTCGGCGGCATGTCTCACGCGGCCCCAGTAGGTGCTGAGATCATACTGAGAGGCGGGGAGATCGCGGCTACCGGGCAGCGAGGCGGACATGGCGAGCGAATTGTGCGGGGTGAATGGCCGCAAGGCGGAGAATGTCGATGATTTTTCTTTGGCAAGGGTCCAGCCGCTTGTGCCGATTTCGGCCCAAGCTCCGCACGTGGCGGCCTTTGTTTGTCACCGCCAATTGCACCGCTTACCGCCGGCCCCGCCTAGATTTTAAGCTTTGCGTGCCTGCAGCTCGTACAACTCCAAGCCTAGAACCTCTCTTAGCTTCCCATGGATCCCCACTGGGAAAACAAGCATTAATTGTTTTTACGCTCACTGGCGTCTATACACAGCTATGCCGCCTTTGATCCAATCCCATGCAAGCTATAACGCCTCAACCAAATGCACCCCCAGGTATAGATGACTACCAAATGAAAACTCTGCACATGCCCTTTCCCCCTTTTTCCCAAGCCCTAAGATGCCAGCTTCGACTTCTCCCTCTTCTTGCCTTTTTGTGGCGGCGGCTGCGCGCCAATAATGTCGTCGAAAGTGGCCGTGCCGCTACTGCTCGTCGGCCTGGGAATCTCTCCGGTCGGCGCCACGCCAGCTGGCAACGGCAGTGCCTCCAGACCCAGCATCATGACACTTTCGCGAGCCGCGCTCATGCGGCTAGAGCTGCTGCTGGTGCGCGAGCCGGGTCTCGGTCTCCGCATGCCCGGCGCAGGGAGGGGTTCGTTTAGGTCTTCCTCAACTGCAGCCGCCATGACACCGCCCTGGTCCGCCGTCCACTGCTCCGCCCTACGCCAGCAGTGAGACCGACGGTAGACACCTTCGACACCGTGTTCAATGAGGTCCGAGGGCAGCGAGACAACTCCTGCGCCGCCTGCAATGCCGTACCATGAGCGGGCAGTGCCCCTATCCTCGCGCGCCCAAGGCACACCAGAGCGGGGCGGCTCGCACAGGAAGTACTCGACACCCTGGGACCACTTGACACCAGGAGCGTCGATGACAAGCATGGGCAGTGACTGCAAGACCGCGTACATTAAGAGCCACTGGCCGATTCGCAGCTCAGTTATCTCGTCGATGTTCTTGCGGTGCGCCGCGTGCTTCTCGAGGTTCCGCACAGAGTCCAAGAACGGGTTGGAAATATCCGCGTCAGCGTTGTGAGATTGCTTCATGATAGTGGCAATCTCATCGTCCTTGAGCGTCTTCTTGCGAGCTTTAGTATCCTTCTTTTCGTCATTGCCGTAGTCCGCTCTGGAGTGAGAGAGCGAGGGTATGATCGGCACGTCGAACGGAGCGGGAGGCTGCACAGGTGGGATGCTACGGTCGTACTCGCTCAGCACATGGCGAAGGGCACGGGTAATGGGATCCACGCTAAGTGCCGCCTCGTCCTCGGTCGATCCAGAGTCCAAAGTACGCGTGGTGAGGTTCTCGCGATCAACAAGCAGGTCGTACCAACAAGAAAAGTCGGTGTAAAGGTCTTGCAGCACCAACCTGTTAAGACCGCTCGTCTCCAGGGTGTTTTTCTTGGAGCTCGCCTTCGGTGGCCACGCTCCATACTTGTTCTTGTAGTAGCTGATGACGTTTTTGCGGGTTGCCTCGTACGCCTTCCTCCAAGCCTCGAAGCGAACATGCTTGCGCTCCTCGGTGGTTTTGCTGTTCATGATACCGGAGAAAATAGCGGGGAAGTTGAAGTCTGCTATTCTACCGTTGATGCTTCGCTGCCGTATGTCGAGATCCATGGACGCTCTTTCCAGACGGTTCTGCGTAATTTGGCTAATGAGCTGGAACTTGGGACTCTTGAGGGCAGTGATCTGCTCATATTTGCCGGCAGCGTGCACGAAAGCCTCGTTGAAGAGCATAACGGAGCGCATCTTCTCACCAAGGATAATTCCTTCGATGGTCTTCTCGCGGCTGGTCCGGACATCTCCAAGGTGCAATTCTTCCACGTAATTGTCGAAGCTGGTGGCTGCCACTTCACCAAAGGTGGAGCCATCGATGTTTGAAAACTCGTAGCTTTGCAGATGCTCCGCAATTCCCATGAAAATAGCAAAGATGGACGGGCGCTTGTTTGTGGCCACCAATGACTGTCCCACCAGGAAGGAAAACATGTTGCGGATGCCTACCAAGGCCTCAACGTCGTCAGGGGATGCCTTGGATTCCGCCGAGCCATCCGTGCCGAGCGACAAAGGAATGTAAAGATGGATTTCCGCCTTGGGCAGTTCCAGAGAGTCGCTCATCGCCCGCGAACCCTTGGAACTGTCTTCCGAGCTGTCTATTTCCGAAGGCCTGGGCGTGGCACGGGCGGCTGGTGACTCTGGCGGCGTTTCCTGAGACTGGACGTTCATATCTTGCATCTGCGTCTCCAGGTTCAGGGTCTTCCGGTTCTCCGACCCCGCCGCGGGGTTGCTGTAGATGCCGCCATACGCGAGTTTTGTCAAAACAGACGCCGAGGAATAGATGGTAGAATCAACACGGAAAGACGGTCCCTTTCCAGAAGAACGGGGGAACAAGTGGATGTAGGTATCACCGTTTTCATCCCACAGCTCGGGGACCTTCTCTGCGGTCAACAGCAGCGACAAGTTGTACTCGGGCTTTCCCTGATGCCCGCAGACCCAGGCCAACGGGCCGGCCATGCTCGCGGTGTCCGAAGCCTTGCTGTGCCTGTTGCCAAAAATGCTTTTCCTCTTGAGCTTGGCGCTCGTTGGAGTGCTCGGCGTGAGCAAGCCATCGCTAGTAACGTCAAGGAACGAGGAGTTTGGGCGGGTCGAGGAGCGGCTTCCGGGACGAGAGGCGCCGATTGGGGACGAGGAGCGCGAGGCCGAATCGACGCGGACGGGAGGCGGGGGGAGAAGGTCAGAGTCGTTGTCGGTGTTGATGGTCAGGACGGTGGATTTGCGGCTCAGGTTGTCGGGAATCGGGGGAACGGGAGGCTCGGGGTAGGCGACATCTTGCTGGGCGGAAGAAGACCTGTCGCGGCTGACGGAAGCCCTGCTGGCGCGCCTCTTGCTCAGGCTGGCCGAGATGGAGGCTCTGCGGCCCCTGGTGGTCGAGGCAGTGTCGGAGTCGGCGGTCGACTGCTTGTCGGCGTCGGCGAGGTTGCTGGAGGAGAGGGAGAAGATGGAGGTGATGCGCTTCGCCCGGGACGACATTGTGGCCGTCGTCACTTTTGGGAGGGAAGGAGGGGTTGAGGAGGGGAAGGAAAGAAGAACTTTGGAAAGCAACCAGACAGACTGACAGCGGAAGGCACGGAAAAGCGAACACGTAATAAATTTCCAGGGACCTCCAGGGCTGCGGCGAGCGGGCGATCCGGTTTCGTCGCCGGGGCTTAGACAGCGTGGGATGACTTCAGGCCCCCATTGGGCCCGTTGGTGTATATAGCGATCCGCCAAGACCCAGCTGCTCCTGAAGAGCTGACGGGTGGCGGAGCGAATTTGGGCGGTACGAGCGCACTGACGGCGCCGTTATTGCGTAGGTAGCATTGCAATATTTATTTTAGGCGAGCGAGCGCTGTACATTATTTGACTCTCTGCCCGCTATGCATGGGTTATCGATAAGTTCGGCGTGTAGTGTTATTCTTAGGCCGGCCGCCGCGGGTCGCACCAGCGTGTCGTCAGCTTCCTTCCCACTGACTGCAGGCGCCACCATCACCACCACCACCAGCATCCCAGGAAACAACTCATCGGTACCTGCCTAACCACCGCTTCCGTTCCGCCTGCTCCGCCCACCGCCATCCCAATCCCATCCCGCCTCGTAGATCGCCATCTGACCATAGTCCTTATACCCTCCACCCCTTGCGGTAGATTACACGTGGGGCCGGGGTTTTACTGCGCAATGGCGCCGCCTGCAGACGTGATGCCTGCCAAGCCACTCATCAATCTCCTCCGCGGCTGGCCCAGCGCCACGCTGCTGCCCGTTGCCCTCCTTCGCCGCGCTGCCGAACGTGCCTTTGACACTCCCGAACTGGCCTGCCCGGGCCTGTCCTATGGCCCCGACGCCGGCCACCCCAATCTCCGCAAATCCATCGCATCATGGCTATCCGATTTCTACGGGACCCGGCAGCCGATTCATATGGACAGAATCACCATAACGGGCGGAGCTTCGCAGAACCTGGCCTGCTTACTGCAGGTCTTTACCGACCCCCTTTTCACCCGGAACATTTGGATCTCTTCTCCGGCCTACATGCTGGCCTTTCGGATCTTCGATGACTCCGGCTTCCATGGAAAGCTCCGGTCCGTGCCCGAGACCGCCGCAGGCATCGACGTGGACTTTTTGCGCCGCGAAATTTCCAAAAGCGAACAGACTGCGGCTGCCGAAGCCAACTTAAAGCCGGTATGATCCTCGGACATCAACGTCGACTCCTGTTAACGCCGGTCAAAGACAATCAAGCCCCAACGGCCATGGGCCAAAGTGTACCGTCATGTCATCTACGTTGTACCTTCCTTTTCAAACCCCTCGTCAGTGACGATGCCGCTGGATCAGCGCACCGAATTAGTTAAACTTGCCAGGGAACACGACGCTTTGATCATCTGTGACGACGTCTACGACTTTCTGCAGTGGCCCGCCTCAGCGGACGCTCAGCAATCGAGCCTGCGCAAAGCCACTTGCCCGCGCCTCGTCGACGTTGACCGCTATTTAGACGGCGGCGCCGAAAGGAAGGGCGCAGATGGCTTTGGCAACGTGGTGAGTAATGGTAGCTTTAGTAAAATAAGCGGTCCGGGAATCCGCACGGGCTGGGTCGAAGGCACGCCGCAGCTCGCACACGGCGTCTCACAGACCGGGTCGACGAGGAGCGGGGGCGCGCCATCGCAGCTTACGGCGACGTACATGTCGCTGCTTCTGGAGTCTGGGGAACTTCAAGAGCATATATATGGCACGCTACAGCCTGCGTATGCTGCGCGTCATCGCACCATGGTGGCGGCCATCACGAAGCACCTCGTCCCACTTGGGGTCCGGATGCCACTGGCCGAGCGACAGGTGGACGGAGGATTCTTTGTGTGGTTGACGCTGCCGGATCCGCTGAGGGCTGCATCAGTCGCACGGAGGGCCCAGGAAGAGGAGAATTTGGTAGTGGCGGAGGGTGAGATGTTCGAGGTGCCCGGTGACTCGGCAGCGATCAGGCACGCGTGTGACGTGCGGCTGTGCTTCAGTTGGGAGGGCGAGGAACAGCTGGTCGAGGGCGTGGAGCGGCTGGGGAGGGTCATCGGGCGAGAACAACAGCAGGGAAGGGGCCAGGCCGTGGCCGAGGCGGTGACGGGCGCGAACAGCTACTGGTGAAAAAAGAGACAAAAAGGACGAAAAGAGGTAGGTAGTTTTCTAGATTTTCTAGATTTTTATAAAGGCCATCCCAGTCGGGCTGCCATGTGCGGCGGCGAACGAGGATTTGCGCGGCCCGCGTGGCCTATGAGTGGGCGCGAGTCGACGCGGCTGAGACGGCGCTTGGCTGTTTGTGGCTACGGGCCTTCCCGCTCTTGGTCTGCCGACGTCCAACTTCGTGGAATGTTTCATCGTCTTCCAGGGAGCGCCCGCTGATTTGCGTTTGCGCCCCTCCTTGCCTGTCCCACATGTCGCCTTCAAACGCCGTGCCTGGTGACTATGCCGCGAACCACGAGGCCGGCCTGGCTGACCCTGACCCGCCCGCGAATCACATAGCTCCAAAGCTGCGATGCGCAACCGCTATAAACCAGCATGGCAACGCGATGCTTTTGCAGGCCCACTTTGGAGCCAGATCAGGAGCGGCAAACCGTGTAAGCGTTTCATGTTTCGCGCGCTCCCCTTTGTCCTGCTTGCGACGCGTCGATATATAACAATCACCCCTCGCCCTTCTCGGTACCTGCCTCCCCACACAGGTGCTGCATTCTGTCCCCAGCCCCAGCAGCTGTGCTGCCTCTTTCACTGCCCCCCGTCCTTCATTCACATTCCTTTCACCGTGCGCCACCACCCCCAGCGCATTCCACTTCATTCGCGTCCTCCAACTGAACCAACTGAAATAGGTCAACAAAAGTGCTGGCCACTGATTGACTCCTTTTCCACCTCCAGTCCTTCGACTTTTACTCCACTCCCTCAATCCCACGAAGCAGGCTCTTCTTCATCATGGTCGCGTTCAACAGCATCGCCATTTTCGTGGCGCTTCGTTTCCTCCTCCTCCTGGGCGCCTCATCTCCTGCAGCCGCCGTCCCGGTTCCTGCCGCCGACGCCGCTGCCGCCGCCGGCTCGTCCTACTGGCTTGCCGAGATTGAGCGTAACGGCAAGGTCGCTTTCGGGTCCTCCGACTATACCATCTTCCGCAATGTCAAGGATTACGGTGCCAAGGGCGATGGCTCCTCTGACGACACCGAGGCCATCAACAAGGCCATCAGCTCTCAGAGCCGCTGCGGAAAGAACTGTGACTCGACCACCGTCACTCCCGCTCTCGTCTACTTCCCGCCCGGGTGAGTCGCAATCTGCCCCTGTACACGGTGCTTTGGCTAACATTTTCGTAGCACCTACGTCGTGAGCAAGCCGATTGTTCAGTACTACTACACCCAGCTCGTCGGTGATGCGGTTGAGCTCCCCGTCATCAAGGCCGCCGCTGGCTTCAGTGGCATGGCTGTCATTGATGCCGACCCTTACGAGGATGACGGTGCCAATTGGTTCACCAACCAAAACAACTTCTTCCGCCAGATTCGTAACTTTGTCATTGACCTCACTGCCATGCCCGCTTCGTCTGGCGCTGGTATCCACTGGCAGGTCGCTCAGGCCACGAGTCTGCAGAACATCCGTTTCGAGATGGTTCAGGGTGGCGACAACAATGCCCAGGAGGGTATCTTCATGGACAATGGCTCCGGTGGTTTTATGGCCGACCTGACCTTCAACGGTGGCAAGTACGGCGCTTTCCTCGGCAGCCAGCAGTTCACCAGCAGGAACTTGACCTTCAACAACTGCGGCACTGCCATCTTCATGAACTGGAACTGGGCCTGGACGTTCAGTTCGATCAACATCAACAACTGCAACGTCGGTCTCGACATGGCCAACAGCCCTTCTAACCAGACGGTCGGTTCCGTTCTGCTCATGGACAGCACCATCTCCAACACGCCCATTGGTGTCAACAGCTCCTTCGCTACTGACAGCGTTCCTACCACCGGTGGTACCCTCATCTTGGACAACGTTGAGTTCAAGAACAGCGAGACGGCCGTCATGTCCCGCGGTTCCAGTGTCCTTGCGGGCAACCAGGTCGTCAAGTCGTGGGCTCAGGGTCGCTCGTACACTGGTAACACTGGTACTCGTGTCCAGGATTCTATCACTGCGCCTTCGAAGCCCTCCAGTCTTCTCGATGCGTCTGGCAAGATCTTCGAGCGCTCCAAGCCCCAATACGAGGGTTACCCTGTCAGCTCGTTCGTCAGCATCAAGTCTGCGGGTGCCAAGGGTGACGGTTCCACCGACGACACTCAAGCCATCCAGAAGGCTCTCGACTCTCTGACCGACGACCAGATCCTGTACTTTGACCACGGCGCGTACATTGTCACCGACACCGTCAAGGTCCCTGGTACCAAGAACATCAAGATGACTGGTGAGATCTGGCCGCTCATCATGGCCAAGGGCGCCAAGTTTGCCGACCAGAACAACCCCAAGCCTGTGTTCCAGGTTGGTACTGCTGGTGACACTGGTGGCGTCGAGATGAGCGACCTGATCTTCGAGACTGCCGGCCCTGCTCCCGGTGCCATCCTTGTCGAGTGGAACCTTGCTTCCAAGGTCGCCGGCGCTGGTGGCATGTGGGATGTGCACTTCCGCATTGGCGGCTCTGCTGGCACCCAGCTGCAGTCCGACACCTGCTCCAAGAACCCCAACTCCACCCACAGCGCCAACGAGGAGTGCGAGGGCGCCTTCCTGCTCTTCCATGCTACCAAGTCTGCCAGCGTGTACATTGAGAACTCTTGGTTCTGGGTTGCCGATCACGAGCTTGACCTTTCGGACCACAACCAGATCGACCTCTACAACGGCCGCGGTGTCCTGATCGAGTCCCAATACCCCACTTGGCTCTGGGGCACCAGCTCCGAGCACAGCGTTCTCTACGAGTACCAGCTCAACAACGCTAAGAACGTCTTCATGGGCCTCATCCAGACCGAGACGCCGTACATGCAGGGCAACCCCGACGCCACCACTCCCTTCACGGTGCAGGCCGCTTACGGCGACCCGGACTTCAGCACCATCACTGGCACTCGTGCCAAGAAGGCGTGGGGTCTCCGCATCAAGGACTCTCAGGACGTGCTCATCTACGGAGCCGGTCTGTACAGCTTCTTCGACAACTACAACCAGGAGTGTCTTGCGACGGCCGACTGCCAGCTCCACATGGTGGCCATTGACGGCACCAACTCCAACATTGACATTCTCGGCCTCACCACCAAGGCGGCGGCCAACATGGTCACGGTTGAGGGCAAGGGCGTCGTCACGGCCGACGACAACAAGTCCGTCTACGGCGACACCATTGCCAGGTGGACGGCGTCGTAAGGGCGCTACTACTAGGAGCAGCATAGCTTTGGGGGACTCTTGATGTGTGGTGTGTGCATATTTGGTTATTGGCAATTGCGTTCTCTTAGTCTATATTTTCAATGAGCCGGCTCCTTGTTAATTTTTTTTTTCGATTCTTCACCCACCCCCAGATAACAGTAGTATACCCGGGGGGTATGATTTATGAAGCAAACCACAATCGGGGGGTTTAGCGAAACCGATCCTTTTTTTGACTTTTTACTTTTTTCACATTCCGTTCGTCGTTGCATACCTACCTAGACATTCTATGTGTGGATCGCGTTCTTCTCTCCCGGCCTCGATCAGCCAGCCAACCAACGATTGGTGGTGCACGCACTGCACTGCACTGCACGCTGCGAACGGGGGAGGCGGGAGTGTACACAAGCGCCCGTGCCACGTAGTATACTATAGCATGGATGATGATGACGATGATGATGATTGGGGGAGATGGGGACGCGGGAAGCGGGATATAGCATGAAGCAGCATACATAGACAATACAACGGGAACAGCCAATGGCAGAGCAGAGCAGCGCCCAGGGTTGTACGTGCGCGCGAAGGCACTTCATTTCGCTAATTAGAGGAGGGAGCTGGAGGGGGCGAGGGGGCGGATGGGCGGGAGCGCCCAATGCGTGCGGCCGGGTGTGTGTGGGTTGTGTGTATGTGTGTGTCTCATGGTTAAGCTAAGTTAAATGAATCGGGGTCGGGGTTATGTGCGTTATGCTGGTTTTGTTTAATGTTTCGATCATCCGTTGCCGCGGAGGGAGGGAGGGATGCCTGCGTTTGGACGGGAGTCTTTTGCTGCCCGGGATGGGGATGGGAAGCGAGATTCTGCCGCCTGCTGGGGGAGGGATCGGCGGGGACGGGGCCGGGGCCGGGGCGTGCGGGGACGGCAGGACGGAGGACGGGGGTTCGGAGGTGACGAAGCGAAGGTCGGAGGCGAGGAATTGGGATGGGGATGGTCGGACTCTCTATGATCGGTTAGGTAAGTTAGGTTATGCATAGGACATTAGTGTCCTAGCTCGTGGCTACATGGTAGATAAGAAGCCATTTCTGGGGATGAGGATGTTCGTTCGTCTGCAGATGTCAAGGTGGCGTTGGCGCTCTACCTATCGGACGCCCGAGCTTGTGGCTGCATGGGAAGCGATCTGTGGCGAGTATTGAGGTGTATGGCTTACGGATATTAGGCCATGTACCTATATTGCTAGCTATATGACGCTGCTCAATGGCCGGACTTGGAAGGTGCTGGGGAGAGTCGTGGGCGAGATGATGATGATGATGATGTAAAACGGGCTCGGAAATAAAACAATTCCACCAGCAGGTGGCGTCAAAGTGCCCTCCTATTGATTATCTCGATAGACAGGGAATCTCTCTTGACGGCGGTGGTGATGTGATGGACATTAATTGCTATGGACGTCGGTTAAGCGTGCTGCGCGGGCCCTTGATCCGGCAGCTTCCTTGCGATCCAGAAGCTGGGGCGGTACGTGTTGGTGAGCATGCTCCGCGGATCGCTAATGTACCCCGTCTGCAGCGATTGGGATTCCCTCCTCTCGAGCGTAAACCCGAGGCGCTGGACGAGCAGGACGACCTCGTCGTCGGTCAATTCGAAGCTGCCGCTTTCGGCAATGCCCAGGTTTGCGGTGCCACCGGTGGCGGGCCCGTCCTTGTTGCTCCCCGGGGCTTCGTTCTCAAAGTGCCACAGCAGCGGGCCCAGGTTGATCCACACGCCGCCGGGCTTGAGGCAGTGGCGGATGGTCTCGATGTAGGCGATGAGGTTGGGGGCCGTGTCGATGAAGAAGACGGTGGTGACGGCGTCGAAGGCGGCCGCGTTGGCCGGCTCCTTGTAGTAGACGCAGAAGTCGGCGGCGGCCATGCTCATGCGCTCAAAGGCGTGGACGTTCTTGTCGGCCGACGAGGCCTCGAGGGCGGCGGCCGGGTGCACGTCGGGGATCATGACGCGCTGCAGCTGGTGGGCGCGCGAGGCGTGGTTGCTGAACTTGTCGGCCCACGGGTACAGGGCGAACTGGCGGGCGTGGGCCGTGTGGTTCAGAATAAAGGCCGACGCCATGAGCTGGTGGTAGCTGATCTCGTTGCCCTCGACGCTGAAGCCGCGCAGGCACGTCTCGAGCACCAGCCGGCCCAGGCCCGCGCCGGGAACCAGGACGCGGACGCCTTCGCGCGCTGAGGCGGGTACGCTGGCGAACTCGGCCTCCAGCGCTGCCAGCACCGGCGCGTAGCTCGCCTCTCGCTCCGCCGCGCCCTCGGCGCTCCAGTCCCGGTACATCTGGCGAAGCGTGCTCTGCGCCTTGGTCATGTCGCCGGGCGTCGCTCTGCCGCACCATGGCCCCTCTTGGCCGCCCATGGACTGGAGATTGCTGAGGAAAATGGCCTCGGCGACGTCGGCATTGGCGTCTATGGCGTCGTCGACGGCGTCCAGCGAGGCCAGCAGGGAAAAGGGCGCCTCTGCCAGCAGGGACCAGTGGGCCGACGGCAGCGAGTAGAAGGACTGGCGCCGGGTGTGGGTGACGTTGTAGTGGGCGGCGCGCCGGTACGTCCTTGCTGCATGTTCAACATGATGTTTTTTCTTCCTCCCTTTTTTCCTTTGTTCACGCTTACTGGTACGAGTCCAGGCAGGCGTGGATGACTCTCTGCTCCTCTGGATCGGTCTGCGGGTCAAACTGCCCGGGCGCGTTCCATTCCTCTTCACTAGACATGCCGTTGATTGTTTAGGGTGTTTGTTTGCCCCGACGGCCCTCAGCCCTAAGCTAGCTACCTAGTTTACCCCGCGTACATGTCAGCACGCCACATCCCACATCCCACTTCACCACCTCTCCACTCACCATGGCCGCCACCACCACCACCGCGACCCAACCCATCCAGCTCTCCTTCCCCCTCCCCCACGCCGCCCAAACCCGCATCCAGATCCACCTGACCCAGCACAAGACCGCCCTCCTGCTATTCATAACCTCGACAACGCCAGACACGGACTCGGGCGCCGCGCCCATGGGCAGCTTCGTGTACGCGATACCCAACGTACGTCTGCCCATGCTTCTTCCCTCTTCCGCATCCCCGCATCGCAGGTTGCAAGCACAAACGCAAGCTAACCCACCCAGCGCGCCACGCCCACCGCCCAGCCCCTCAGCACCGCCCTCTACACGCAAACGCCCACCCTGGACGTCGCGACCCGGCTAGCCAAGATCCTGGCAAAACGCACCGCCATGCCGACGTACGTCGGCAACTCTGTTTCGTTTGCGAGCGCCGGCGCGGGCGGCTCCGTCGAGGAGGAGATGGAGGGCGTGCGGCGCGTCGTTGAGGTTGTCATGGGCGTGGTGGGGAAGAACAATGGTAATATGCCTTGAGGGAGGTTCTGGAGGGGGGGATATTTGTTGTGCGCGTGGGGGTTGGGAGGTTGGTTGCTGGCTGGATGGCTGGATGGATGAGGCAGCAGAGTGTGCGCGGGGGAAGCGCTGTTGGCTGAGGCTGTGCCTGCTTGCTGGGGGGGCTAGGCTGGCGATTGACGGAAAGATGCGCGCGCGGATACCTCAATGGATTGCGCTATGTGTGCCTGGCCTCCTCGGACACCGGGCCACCACTACACTACCGCAGGGCAGAGGACAGGCAGCCAAAGGCAGCGGCGCGAGGCCTGGTCACGTTGGTCGTGTCCTGCCCACAGTCATGGGCATGCGCTGACATACAGTAGAGTAGATGCCAAGCGCGGACCAGAAGAAGAGAAGAACCCAAGTGGTGACGATACAAACGCCTATCAAATAAAAAGTATATTGATCAACTCTACTACAACCTGCTCACCTGACTACACTTACCTTGTGGAAGCAAGACTATCTTGGATCTAAAGGCCCACGGACTATGTACGTGCATATCTATAAAAGTGTCTCAGCCACCTTACAATCAATCGCAAACTCTCCAAACAACCCTCTTTAAGCATAGACACAGGGCCCACGCTCGCAGTATTTAGTCTCTCTTCTGCATCCATACAGAGTAAGCCGTGTTCTCCGTGGAAGCGAACGTGTGTTGGGTCTGGTTGAGCTTAGACGGCATGGATGCTGTGGTTATATTCATGTACCGCTGTAGGTGGACTAGAACGCTCTTTGTGAATTACTTCTTGAGTAGATTTAGAGCTTGCGGGGGTGGCGGGTAGGAGTGTGTAGATATAGATGTAGCACCTCTGCAACGCTGCCCCCAAGTCACTTCTTAGGTAGATGTAGAGACTACAGCTCACGGTGCATGTAAATTATAACATCTCCTCATCTCACGACCCACAGCTCACACTCACTCACTGCCCGACACCCCAAGCTACTCCTGCTCATAACTCAGAAAAGTTATCTTTATGTGTACGTGTGCTAGCCTGCCTGCTGATGAATGATAAAAACAACGATGATGTGAAAGCCCATGCGTGTGTCTCACTCTTCGAGAGCTTCTCTTCTTCTCTCATGCCCGTCGCCTCGCCAAATCATGCTAACATAAAAAGGCCTGCCTCCCAGCTTACCGCCCTGCCGCAGTACTCCGTAAAGACATTTCGACAAAGAGGAAAAATATATGAGAAAATCGTCGGTTCTAGAAGAAGTCGACGACCAGCGTTCTCCTTTATAAAGAGAAAAGAAGGAATGCTCCTTTATATCATCCAGCCAGTCCAATCCGGTAGGACTTCTTGCTCCAAATAAAAGAAAAAGCAAACAAAAAAAAAAAAAAAAAAAAAAAAAAAAACCCATTTCCGATGACCGATTCCTTTCGTGTTTCTGCCCCTATAAAGGTCTAGCGAGCGTGACTTGAAAGTTAAAGCGTCGAACCATATCTCGTGTCAATTCTACTTCGTGGGCTGCACATGGTAAATCGCAGGCCTAATCCCGTTGTCGTGCGCTTATTCCGCCTCAGCGTCGGCGTCAGCGTCGGCGTTGGCGTTGGCATCCCCGTCCGCGTCCGCGTCCGCGGCAGGCGGGGGACTGAGCTCGCCCTTGTCTTGCGCCGTCGAAGAAGGGCTTCCGACCGCATCCAAAGGTGCCGCGTGCAACGCTGGCTTCTTGCTCAGACCCAGCGTGCCGTTCTTCCGTCTCTCGATCGCGTCTATGACCCACTGAGCGACTTCTGGGTCGGAGGGCGCCTCGGCGCCCGTGTAGTCCATGTGGGGGGCGCTGAACGCGGATGCAGATGCGTCGTCGCTTTCCTCGTCCTCTTCGGTGATGGTGGGTGGCTTGAGCAATGGCGACAACCAAGCGTGCTCTAGAAGCATGGCGTAGGTTGGGCGTAGGTTTGGGATTTTGTTGAGACAACCGCTGACAAAGTTGCGCGCCAACTCCGAGTAGCCTTCCGTCGGGAGATCGGGTGGATCGCCATCGACAATGGCCTGTCTTTGTGTTAGTTCGTGACCTCGAGGAAGATTGCAGAACACTCACGCTCAGTTGGCTGAAGATGTTGTTGTAGGTCTCCGGGGGGTAAGGGTAGCGGCCCATCGCGCATTCGATGATGGTCAAACCCAAACTCCAAATGTCGCTCTGGACACTGTAAGTCCCGCCGCCGGGGTTGGCGCCAGCCTGTGCAATGCCACCACTTGATATCCGCTCGGGAGCCATGTAGCTCTGACAGCCAATGTTCGTCTTAGCAATCGAAGCCACCAGATTTCCGCTGACGCCGAAATCGCAAATCTTGACCTGTCCACGTGTATTCACAAGGATGTTTGTGGGCTTGACGTCGCGATGAATGATGTTATGTCCGTCCTTTAAAGATTTAAGGCCCATGGTCGTCGCAAGAGTGATTTTCCGTAAGATGTTTTCAGGAATACCGTCGCCGTATATCTTGTCGATGGAACCGCCGTCCATGAATTCCATGCAAATGTACACCGCACCTTCCTGGAAAAACGCGCCGTAAAAGTCGATGATGTAAGGAGAAATGCAACGATGCAGGATGTCAAGTTCCATGATGATGGTCGCGAACTTGGCATCGTCAAGTTCTAACCGCATCTCTTTCATGGCCATAATGATGCCGGTGCCAGATTTCGCGGCGACCGGGCTCGAGTCGGCATCGCTGCGGGCCGTAGCAGGCGAATGAGGCACGGCAGGTGAGGACTGGACCTTGTTGCCTGCCAGGCCCAGACCGGGCCTCCTCATCGTCGGCCGGCTATGCCTCACCTTGTAGACGGTGCCATAGTTTCCCTTGCCCAGCTCGTCCAGCGTATCGACCTCGTCCAAAGATATTTTAAAACTCGAGCCGCTCTCGAACTCAACACCTTTGTTGGTGAGCACCGCCTTCCCCTTGAAGCGGAGCGCACCCGTCTCCTTGTCCAGAAACTCGGCGTATTTGTCCATCATCGAGCCGCCGGTGGGGGCTGGGGCTCCGCTCGATGCAGCGTCGCCCTCTCCGGGCGCAGGGCCGGTGATGTCGGATAGCTTCAGGCCAGGCTTCTTCTTCTTACCGGCCGCAGCGCCGGGTGCCGGCGAGCCATTTACCGGCGAACCAGTCAAACCGCCAAGGTTCAACCCACGCTTCTCTGCCAGCGAGGGACCGCCCATTTTCCTGCCCGGCACTGCAGGTGCAGAGGGGAAGTGTGGCAGGACCGGCTTGCCGCCTGGCGGAGAAAGCCATTGCTTTCCGGCGATGCCGCCGACGGGCGACTGGCCAGGCACCGGGCTTGCAGCCGCGGGCGCGGTGGGCCCTTGCTGCATGGGGTTCGGGGGCGGAGCACCCTGCCTTGAGAGAGTGACAGCCTTCATGCGAGCCATGATGTCGGCAGGCATGTTCAGACCACCACCTCTGCTTGACATAGAGGGAGCTTTGGGCGGGGGACGGCGGGCAGCATTGAGAGCGCCCAACGGGGTTGAAGACGCAGTCATGCCCGACGTCGTGGGAGCGGCGGAAACGGTGCGACCCAGCGGCGGCGAATTGCGCGAAGGTTCGAGCGACGCGTGGGCCAGCGGCGACGACGGCGAAGGAATGTCGGGGGTCGTGGGCGACTCGAGAGGTGAGGAAATGTCGGACAGGTCCTCGTCGGGGGACGTGGCAGCCATGGTGGGCAGCGGTAGGCGGCGGATTGATCGACAGCGGGGGGTGGAGAGAGGGGGGAAGCGGGGGTGAAAGGGGGGTTAGAGAGGAAAAGAAAAAGTCGCGATGAAGGGTTGAGGGTCAGAACATGCGGCCAGAAAACCGAGGGATGATGAAGGACAAGAGGGTTTGTGTTTGTGGCGGTGCGAGGGTTTGGAAGAGCTGGACGACGTGGGAGCGAGGGGAGACGCTAGGACTGGAGTGACGTATGGCCGGCGGGCGCGACGCGGCGGGCAGCAGCAGCCCAGCAGCAGCAGGAGATGGAAGAGGCAGGAAAGGAACCAGGCAAGAGGAAGCGAGTGGCAGGCGCATGCGAGAAACCACACATCATCATATGCATGCGACGACGACTTGACATGTACCCCAGACAAAGATCTGCTCCTACCTAGGAGTAGTGGTAGGTAGTTGCTTTTTTTTTTCTCTACTCTCTTTCTTCGTTTAACTAGGTATGTAGGAGTATTAAAATATATCATCACCACCAAGGTTGTACCATGTTGGAAAAAAATTAAAAAAAAAAAAAGGAAAAAAAAGGAAAAAGAAAAAAACCTCCACCACGTCGACAAACGACGATGACAACGACGACACGATTGCGCTTCGGCTTGCACTCCGACGCCCGCTAGAAAGATGGCGTGCAGCCGCTGTGTGGTCGATCGGTGCCCAGGCGACCGCTTCCAAGGCCCGAGCGGCGGCTGTGTGGGCTGTGTGGGCTATGTGGGCGGCGTGTGTGGGCGTGTGGGCGTGTGGGCGGGCCTTGGACGAACTCAAACTTCACCTTGTCATCACGTGATGCGCATGACGTTGGCGAGCCAAGCGTGGCGATGCGCGGCTTCCGCTCTTGGCTCTTTCTCTACAAAGCGCGCCCACCCGCCCCAGCTGTGGCTCCCTTCACTTAGATCGTTACTACTACTGTTATCCGCTCCACTTAAGACCCTCCATCCCTTGGATCTGCCCTGACGCCAGCAATCTTCACGATGCTGTTCGTCCCTCATCGCCTGCAGCTTTCCCATGCTGCGTCTCCCGCTCCGTTAGTCTCCATGGCCGACCCTTCGCAGCTCACAATGGCCGGCGCCCACGCCTCGCATCCGGATTTCGGCCACCTCACCCTCCTTGTTTTCGAGGCCGTCATGGAGGTCGTCTGCGTCAGCTTGCCCGGTTACATTGTCGCTCGCCAGGGCATGTTCGACGCAAACGCTCAGAAATTCGTTGCAAACCTAAACGTGCAGCTTTTCACGCCCTGTCTCAGTCCGTTCCCTCCAATCCTCTCGCTACGTGCCATTGTTGACCCGCCGCAGTTTTCACAAAGCTTGCTTCGCAGCTCACGGCTGACAAACTTGCCGATCTTGCTATCATTCCAGCCATTTTCGTTGTACAAACCTTGATATCATGGCTTGGCTCTCTTGTCGTGGCCCGACTGTTCGGGTTCAAGAAGAAGCGGCCTCAGAACTTCATTACCGCCATGGCTGTAAGCGCTTCACCTTCCGCCGCTTTTTTCCTGGCTGACGTCCGCAGGTCTTCGGAAACTCAAACTCCCTCCCCATCTCACTGGTCCTTTCACTTTCCAAGACAATCTCGGGCCTACACTGGAGTCAGGTTCCTGGTGACAACGACGAGGAGGTCGGAGCTCGTGGCATTCTGTATCTCCTGATCTTCCAGCAGCTCGGCCAGCTTGTCCGGTGGAGCTGGGGCTACCAGGTCCTGCTGAAACCAGCGAGCGAGTATCCAGATGAGGACGCTGGCAGGGCTGCCAGCCTTGAACAGGGCGACATCGACGACGCCAGCTCCTTTGAGCGGGAGAGACTCATCGAGGAGCGCGACTCGGAAGATGTGTCCCGCCCTGGACCGCAAGATTCGGATTTCGAGTCAGGCACCATGACGCCGATCAACGGTGAGCAGCGTGTCGATTCCATTGCTTCCTCGTCCTCGAGCACCACTCACAGGAATGCCAACGGCAAAGTCATGCCTACTCCTGCCAATGGCAACGTCGTCGGAAATGGCCCGGGGAACATGGCAGGCCACACCACTGCGGACGAGCCTCAGCCTGAGGATATTCCCAGCGGTTACAAGGGTTGGTGGAAGCGTTTCAGAGCCTGGGTAAGCCGCATAGCGGCGTCTGCCTGGAGTGGTGTCTCGAGTGCGTCTCAGAAGGCTTTCCACACTCTCCCTTCTCCTGTGCAAAAGGTACTATCTACGATTGAAGCCGGCATCGCCAAGTTCCTTCATGGCCTGTGGGAGTTCATGAACCCACCTCTCTGGGCCATGCTTGCTGCTCTCATCGTCGCCTCCGTTCCGCCCCTTCAGGAACTCTTCTTCAACGAAGGCACCTTTGTCAACAACTCCGTCACCCGCGCTGTCAGCCAGTCTGGCAACGTCGCCGTGCCCCTCATCTTGGTTGTTCTGGGCGCCAACCTTGCCCGCAACACTCTGCCCAGGGAGTCGGCGCAGGACATCGAGGACTCCAAGGACGAGAAGAAGCTGCTTTACGCCGCCCTCATCAGCCGCATGGTGATCCCGACGGTCATCATGGCGCCGATGCTGGCTCTCCTGGGCAAGTTTGCGCCTGTCAGCATTATTGGCGATCCTATCTTTATGATTGTTTGCTTCTTGCTGAGCGGCGCCCCAAGCGCGCTGCAGCTGGCCCAGATCTGTCAGCTCAACAACGTCTACATGGGCGCGATGAGCACGCTTCTCTTCCAGAGCTACGTTGTCTGGATCCTGCCCTCGACGCTTGTTCTCGTTATGATGGCCCTTGAAGTGGTGGAGTGGTCTACGGCTGCCGTCTAAAGGCAGCCCTCCTTGAGGCTCTCCCTCTAGGCCTCAATTTTGCACCAAACCCATGTATAGTCGCAGGCTGGACCTATTGACTTGAAAAGTGGATTAATGTGCGACGGTGAAACGACACCTGTTTCGTGGATTTTGCATGCATCACGGTTTCGGGTTTCAGTTTTTGGTGTAGCATTAGCATGGTGTTCAGGCTTGGCGTTACAGTAATGCGACCCGCGATCCCGCGTTCTCCCGGTGGCCGCGTACGAGTACATATTGGCAGGCGGATGTGTGGTTTTGAGGACATTCTTGGTCTTTGCTTGGCAGTGGTACATTACACAGCGGCATGTGAAAATGAGGCAGGTAGGCCAGCAGGCAGCGACGAAAAGGCAAGACAGGGGCGGACGCGTCTCCGCAGGTCAGGTTCGCCCTGCCGCCTGCCTGTGCCGCGTGGTCTGCGCTGCTTGGACATGCAGCATTTTGCCGTCTTGGATTCCTGTCATTGGTCCCCTCGCTGTTTGCGTGTCCATTCTTATTGGTCGAGGCCCTCGTTGATATCTATTGCACTCCTACATATGCATGCTTGCGTGCTTCCATGGGTGCATGGGGTTGCTTGCTTCCCCGACTCCGCCGACTGTCGTTCAACGCAGCCTCATTGCTCACTCCTAGTCGTCTTATGTCTTACCTGCGCGTCACAGAAAGGCTATTCTTCGTACATACAGTGGGGGTCGTACATATTTACCTTAACACACTACGTATGACCTTGTAACGTCTGTCGCCGCGAACCGAGATCCACCCTCTAGCCAGACGGGGGACGTTACAAGCAGTCCCTACGGATTGCTCCTTGTCTAGCTACTAGCCCAGACTTACCCTAACAACCAAAGACGTCGCGACATGATGCGATATCTGTCACTGCGAACCGAGAGCTACCGTGTAGTAAGACGGGTGACGATACAAGCAGTCCCTACAGATTACTCTTTGCTTAGCCACAAGCCCAAGCCTGCACTAACGACCGAAGCCGTTGCGATATAATGCGACGTCTCTTGCCGCGAACCGAGATCTATAGTCTAGCGAGACGGAAGACGATATAAGTAGTCCCTACGAATTACTCCTTACCTAGCTCTAAGCCCGAACTTACTCTAACGACTAAAGACGTTACGATATAATATAACGTCTATTACTGCGAACCGAGCTCTATTATCTAGCGAGACGGGGGACGATACGAATAGTCCCTATAGAGTACTTCTTACTTAGCTACATGCCTAGGTGCTAAATACAAACGAGTGGATCTTAGGGTATATACGCCCATTACCTAATATCTCTTACTACTGCCGTTTAGCTAGATAGGGGACGATACAAGCAGTCCTTACAGAGTGCTTCTTGCCTAGCTCCTAGCCCGAGCTCCGGGTATGGATAAAGAGGTCTTGGAGCACACACAGAGTCTACTATCTTAACTGGATCTCTTCTTCTCCTTCCGTACAAGCATTGCCATCTCGTAAGACGGTGAATCTCGCTTCACGGTGACGGGTGTTACAGTGGAGGCATTTGTAGTACATAACTAAGCACACCTAAGACCTCGTGTACTCCTAAAACCCGCCACGATCTGGCGGCGGGCAGGGCGTACGGCGTATGAGTAGAGTAAGCCGTGAGCGCAGTGGCGGCGGGCGCAGCCGGTTCCTGCACCTCACTTCGCGTATACCAAACACGCTGTACCTATGCCGAGGCCCTCGCTCAGGTGGACGTCCTGCGTACGACCCTGGGGATCTTGGCGCTTGGCAGTGTGGCACTGGCGGGGATGGCGGACGAGTGAGCGGACGGGCGGGCGGGCTGCCAAGCTGCCGTGGCTGCGGGCTCCGGGCTGCGGGATGCGAGCTGCGAGGCAAGTGTGGGTGTGTGGGAGAGGTGGGGGCAATGGGGCTGCGGGCAAGGATTGAGGCGCGGTTGCGCCTGCCGTGCCAATGCCAGTGCCAGTGCCGCTGCCCGGCGGCGGTGCGTGGGGTGAGGTGGGGTGCAGCTGCAAGTTGGGACAAGGGTCAAGGATGCTGAGCCACCTTGACCTTTTTTTGTCGTCGCCACGGGGTGTGTGGGGTGCGATGTGGATGTGGGAGTGGGTTGCGACGCGCGTGTGGGTGGGCAGGTGGTGTGGTTTTTGCGTAGGGATTGCTGGGTGGCCTGGTGAGTTCTTGTTTTTTGAGATGATAATGATGTTGTTGATGATGGCAGGTTTTGGGGGCATCGCATGAGATGCAGATGCAATGATGATACTCTGTATGGTTGTCTCTCGTCTTGATTGATGATGGTGGCGCAGGTGGTGTGTGGTGATGGTTTCGCACAGCCACCTGTACGGATGAGAAAATTCAGGACGCAGGACGCAACACGCAATCACATGGAATCTAAAATGACATGTGGTTTCAGAGGTCGGTGTCGTGCGTTGTTCAACGGCAAAATGCCAAAAATAAAATGAAAGGCAAAAAACATACAACAGCTGGGATTCGCTAATGGTCACCCACTTAACTACTAATCAGCCGGTTCACAGCTTAAAGATGGCAGAGCGAACGGGATGCCTTGTTTTCTGTGACCTATGGTCGTATGTGCTTGAAGAAATTATTGAAATGGACTATATAGTTATGGCGATGATAGGTTTAAGGCGTTGAAGTTATTTTATGTTCGATTGCTACTAGCGTTACGACTATATTTGAATGGCTTTGTAGGTTATAGATTTACGTGTAGTTGACTTTGTTACTAGCTATGTACATTACTTATTGCGTAGTTTATAGGCAATTGAGTTTAATGTTTAGTTCCGTTTCAATGTGTACAGCAATGGCTTAACACTATAAAACCCCATTGCGGTGGGTAAAGCCGCACTATCTTTATCGGTTCCGAAAAATTAGCTCGCCTAGTACGGTACTGCATCGATAGGTAGATGTTGCTATAATATACATGCCCATCGTAAGCAACAAGTCCAAATACAAGCGCAGCCTCTAGATCTACCTACGGAGTGACTGGTAGGGAGTGTTCTAAAGAAACTGTAAGTATACCTGTCTGATCCTACAATTCAGGTGGTATACAAACTGTAATTCCCCTAATTATGTCCATCTACGAGCGCGGCCTCCATGTCCACTTATGAAATGACTTATAGGGAGCGTCCTAAAGGCACTGCAAGTATACCTGCATGCTCCTACAGTTCAAGTAGTATACAACTTACATATCTCTCGTAACCAATGCATCTGACTACGAGTACGGCCTCTGGATGTACCTACGAAGTGGCCTGTAGGGAGCGTCTCGAGGGCACTGCAAGCATACCTACATGCTCCTATAAGTAACCTGATATTTCGATCCAGAGCGACTTGACCTGCATCCGCTCCTACAGAGCACCACTCACCATGGGGACATTAATAAAGTGTCTCACCCTCAACCGTAGCACTGATATATTCGACAAGAAAGTAAAACCTCCACGGAAAGCAATGGGAAAGCGAAGGGATGAATGTAGATATCCGAGAACCCGGCAGCCAACAACAAAACCCTAAAAGTACAACAACTAATAGGAGTAATAGCGAGTGAGATACGAAGCCAGCACAGCACGCACACAGCACAAAAAACGAGGGTATATATCAGTAGGTATCTATCTAAACACAACGCTGCCTACACTCGCAAGTAACACACATTCGCACGCACGCACGCAATATGTTAACAGAAGAAAAAGGGCAGATAAAGGGGTAGGTAGGAAGGAAGGGAGAGGAAGGAAGAAGTACGACCGAGCAGCAGCCGCCGGCCATTGTTGCGGTCGTGATAGCCGCCGCCAGTGTTGAAAAGGCAGGATGGATCTGGGTAGGGGAATGGGGGAAAAGCAGAAACATGATCAAACGCCAAGGGGACTCGTCAATACTGTACCGGCCCAACTGCACAACCTCACGCACGCACGCGCGGCTCCTCCCTGCGCCAAAGCGCTATCATTGTCCGCCTTCGCCTCTTCCAACACCAACATCACCCCCCACCATCTCAGGACGTCGGGAACACCGGTGCCTTCACCAGCACGCTCCGGCCCCAAATCCGGACGCTCACACCCGCCGCAATACGCACCCTCGGGGGCTGCTCTTCCTTCGCCGGCCCGCCCGCACTGCCCGGCGTCGAGAGGCTGACCTGGCTGCCGCCAGCGCCGCCCGCTTTCCCTCCACCAAGCTGCTGCTGCAGCGGCACCGTCGCCGCCTTCGGCTTCCCGCCCATCAAGCCCGAGAACATGTTCCGGCCAGTCGAGCGCTTCGTCTCCTGCTGGGGCGCGCTCTGCGACTGCATCGATTGCGGCGAGTCGGCCTCGATGTCCATCTCGCCGACCTTGTTGGCGCCGTTGCCACCGTCACCACCAAAACTCGTCGCGCTGGCCACGCTTGCCGCATCGTCTTTGCCAGGTCCACCAAATAGGCCTTCGGCTAGTGGCGCTACTAGCGCTGGCACCCCGCTTTCGATCTTCATCTGCTCGCCCATGATGCCATGGCCTGGTGGGTAGTACTCGATGCATACGTCGCGGCTCTCGAGCGGGAGGTGCGCCGCGATGTTGATGGCGAGTTCGATGATCATCGGCACGTTGCTCTGCAGGTCTGGAGGTGCGGGCTCCTTAAGGTACATCTGCAGGGTGCCTATCAACTTCTCGTTGAGTATGGCGATGAGGCTCTCGCGGTTCGTGTGTGCCTGCGGGGCGCGCAGGTGTTCACCCAGCCCGTCAAGGGTTGCTAGGCGCCAGTTGACGACCTTTGCCGTGAGAGCTTCCTCCTCATCACTCGTCTGAGCCAGTGGCGCGGATTTCCGAATGTTGGTGTTGATTATCTTCAACTGCATGGACAGGTTGGTCTCGAGATCCGGGTGGAAGTATTTGTTAAAAATCTCGTCCACGAGCCAATTGCTGATGAAGGCACGGCCGACGGCGGTCATTTCCTGCTTGCCAATGGTCACGGCATCGCGGTTGACGGCCCGATGCAGCCATTCGGGAATGCTCTTCCAATCCTTGCGAATTACGAATGCGAGTTGCGATATCAAACCATCCAATCGATTGAAGCGAGACGAATACTCGCTGTCGTCGAGGGAGGTGCGGGATTGAGAAAGACGTTGATGAGCAATTGTGTTTTGAAGCTGATGGACCTGTGATTGCTGGTCAAAGAAGTAGCGCTTGACCTTTTGATATTTTTCGCCTGATTCATGTGATCAGTGTCAGATTCAACGAGAGGTGCACATCAGCCACTTACGCAAAATATCATGTTCTTTGCGCAACTGCAATATCTCTTCTTCCGTCATCTCACCGGCGGCGCTTGAGGGAGGAGGCGTTCCCCTTCCTGATTCATTATCCTGCTGCTTACCACCGCGGAACGGCTGACCCTGAGATCCTGAAGGTACAACATTGGCGCCAAAGGTTTGATGACCAGTCGTAGAGGCATTTTGCCCTTGACCCTGCTGTTGCGAGTTGGAAGATTCCTTCGGTGGCATGTTCTGTCTAGTTGAGTCGGTGGACCGTTTACCGTGCTGAGCCGCGGGTGGCATCTGGTTGGTAGGCGTCGGCGGAGGGTGCTCTGACAAAGGAGTGATACTCAGCTCCTGCTTCAGCTGTGGAGTCAGGGATTGTTGCTGCTGCGGTGAAGTCAAAGGACTTTGTTGCAGCTGTTGGGTTTGCGGCGCTATAGCGCGGACAGGCTGAGGGCTGAGGATTTCTGGTTGTTGCACCTGCGGAGGATGAATGAACTGCAAGTCTTGGTCTTGTTGCTGCCGCAAAGCAGGCACGCCAGGTCGGCCTTGTTGGGGTTGTTGCTGGTGATGTTGCTGGGGCTGTTGTGGGTGCTGTTGCTGGTTGTGCAAATCTTGTTGAGCGACCGGGTCTGGCTGCTGTGAATGAAACCCAGCAGCCGGATTTTCGATTGACTTTGGGGTGAAAGCCTGGTAGTGCTGGTCTTGGGAGTAGTTTTGTTGCTGCTGGGAGCTCAAGCCACTGTGTCCCTCACGTAGGTGGGGGCTGGAACGCCCACTCGGATTATGGGAGCGAAATGTCTGGTCGGTCTGCACGCGGGCCAAAGAGGGTCGGCTATAACGATTCGGTTCGGGACCATGCGCAAGCGTCTGATTATAGTAGTCGTCCTTGGGGGGCACAGACGGCGAGGGCTGATCCGTGTGGGCTCGCAGAAACGAGTCCAAGTTCGACTCTTCTTCCACTTCGTGCGAGGGCGGCAGTTGTGGGTTGGAGCCTTGCTTCGAGGACCAGTAATGTTTTTGCTCGTCTGCAGTGCCTCTGCCTCGCGGAGCTGGGACTTCCTTCTTCCTGACAGAGACCTTTCTGCCTAGACCGCTTTTGCTGCTGGATGACTCGACGCTGTCGCGTGAAGAGTGACCTAAACCAAGTTTGCTGCGAAACGATCTCTTTTCTTTTCCTGCTCCCACGCTGTTGGGCGTCTGAGGAATGTATTGGGCATACGGGTCGGTGGGCGGGTCGATGGGCGTCGAGGCCTCGGCTGCGACGGGGTTTGTCGGAAGGCGGTCGATGGAGAGTATCGAGGGCGGACGCTGGCCTGTCGCGTGGGCAGTAAAAGTCTGCGGGTGTTGCAGTGGTTGATGGTGTTCGTCCGGGGCTCTCTCTGAGCTGCGCGTCAGCCGTGGGGCGCTTGGCGACGGAGCGACAAAGGACGTACGTGAAGACTGCGAGTCTGAGCGATCGGTAACACTGCCGACTGAAGCTTGAGACTTGTTCGACTTGGACCAGGGGAGTCTCGCTGGCATGACAGGCCTTTGACTCTCTCCAAGCAACTGTGGGAGCACTGAGAAGACGTGAGAGGGCGCCTAGTGTGGGGCTGAGAGATCAGCGGAGTCGCTGGATGCTAAATATAATCCTGGCGCGTGCATGCGCGTGGTCGCCAGCAAAAGAGAGGCTGCCGGCAGCAGGCCGCAGGAGCCCTTCAACCGCCCTCGCCAGGCCATGTCGTGAGAGCATGGTGGAGAACAAGAGGGGTGAGGTCTGAGAGGTGAGTGTGTGGGAGTAGTATCTCAGGTCTCCAGCGTCGCCAGCTTTAGAATGCCGCGCGCGCGAAGCTCCGATCACTGAGGCTCTATTTATAGGGCAGGCAATGCGACGTGACTGTCATCCGCCTAGCCGGAGAGCATCTGCGACTGCAACCCACCGCGACCTCTGCCGACCTTTTGGGAAGAAACAGTTCTTGCAACGATCAGGCCTCCACCCACCTCTCCTCTCGTTCCTCCTCTTGGCGCACGGACGTAGAGAGTGCAATTTGGCAATTTGTCCGGCCTATACATGTTACCAGTATACGGCTTTCTGTTTTACTCATTAACATTCATACCCGCGTACTCTTATGGGGTACATTCGTGTTCATGTATATCTTTATCTTCGTGTCCTTTTAAATACCCTCGTATCCTTGTCTATTTTTTATTTTGTGCCTTCGTAGACTGCTCTCGTCCTCCAAGGACCTAGATACCTAGATATTTGCAAGTATTATTGTATCCGCGTGTCTTTTTATTTTCGTAGGTACCAAGCGACAACCGATCGTCGTATTATAGCTCATCATGACTGTTTAGTGAGTACTCTGAGTGTTTAGCCGGTTCTGTTTAATCACGGTCGAGGAGTGAGCTAAACAGTCAGAAATATGGGAAACCCATCCGCTCCCTTTCCAGTATCAGATCCTCTCAACTTCATGCGAAAGACTGGATAGACAATTTGCAGTTCATTGGACTCGAGCCGGTAATTGTCGCGCCTATAAAGTAACATAAAAGCTATGAAATTGGCAAACGCAATCCTATTGGCATCCTTTGCTCTTGATTTTTCTTTGTCCTCTAAGCGTCGACTCGCTGGATGCATCCAAGCAAAATCCCATCATAGTACGGCCAGGTTTACCATTTGAAATTCAAAGCGAGGCGGACAGCTTTTAAATCGGCAGATGTCAAAACCGTTTGATAGCGGGCGTTGCTCCGAGTCCCGACGCGTGCCAAGCGCGCCCCGCTAAGTAGTCAGGGCTCACCCTTATCCCTGTCGCGAATGACGCCTGCCGTCGCGCTGGGAGCCCAACCCAAACAAACCACCTATCACCACCATGGACAAATTCGCAAGCATCGCGAAGGGTGGTTGGCACCCCGAGAAAAACAGTAGCAGCAGTAGCAGCTCTGGCGAGAAGCAGGGACTCCGTGATCGAGCTGTAAGCACTCAGCAGCCCTCCGCATTGCTCATGCTGACCCACTCCGCAAGAAAGGGTTTATGGGCAAAGGCAACGATTCGTATGAGTCGGCGAGCAACCATCAGTCCAGACCTCTTTCATCCTTAAGGGACCCTGCTTCATTTGGGCCTCCGCCGAAACATCAAGGTTATCACGGAGGTGGGCAAGCGCGTTCGCCCGGTAGTCCAGCCACGGCCGGGGGTTTTTCACAAAGACAAATACAAGCAAGTGAAGAGCACGAAGAAGAAGCCAACAGGCCGCCACCTGGGCCGTACTCGGTAAACACGACTGGACTTTCTACAGCCCATCTACCTAAGCCACCTGCCAGGCGACCCGGCCAGGGCTTACCAGCAGCCACGTCCCCAGCACCTGCATCGCCAGGTCCACCACGGTTACCTCCGAGACTTCCGCCGCGACAGAACTCTCATCCAGATGCATACGCGCCGCCACCCCCTCCTACTTATCAGGAGAGTGTGCACTCGCCGCCGGCAAACGATGCAATGCTGAACCAGGGCGCGTTAGGCAGACTTGGCCAAGCCGGGGTTTCTGTGCCGGGCTTCAACATTGGGCGAACAGCTTCGCCCCCGGTTCCTCCACGGAATACCTCTCAGACCCCGCCGTTGCCGCCGCGCACTGGACAGACTCCGCCCACGCAGTCTCCGGCGACCACGGGACACGGCGGGCAACTTTCCCAGCTGCAGTCAAGATTCTCTAGGATGTCCACGCCCTCTCAAGGTGCGGAGACGCCGCAGCAGGGAACAACATTTGCACAAAAGCAGTCAGCGTTCAAGACGGCAAACGCTCTGCGGACCAACCCTTCATCCGTGTCGTTCAGCGATATGCGCAGTGCGGCTTCGACTGCGAACAACTTCCGCGAGAGGCACGGAGAGCAGGTTGCGACGGGGGTGCACACAGCAAATGGACTCAACCAGAAATACGGTGTAATGAACCGGGTCAACGGGCTGGCAGCAGGGAGCGGGACAGCAGGGCCCAGCATTGCAAGCCCCGTGGGGAAGAAGCCGCCTCCGCCTCCCCCGAAGAGGAAGGACTTGACCGGAGACACGGGAGGCCCGCCGCCAGTCCCATTCAGCAGCAAGCCGAGGCAGTGATCAAATGATGCAAGGGTATCTCGGCCGTAGGTACGAGATAGCCAATCAGAGGCGCTACTGGAAGTATTTTAGCGGGTCTCACATTAACGCCTTTACCTTTACCTTGCAGCAAATAACAGGAAATGTTCAGTTTGACGTCCGTCACCGTGAAGCGAGATGGTGATACGTGTACGGAGTAGAGAAGAGACCCAGTTAGGATATGTAGAGCCTCTGTGTGCTCTAGACCTTTTCACCCATACCTGGGACTCGGGATAGGAGCTAGGCAAGGAGTACTCTGTAGGGACTGCTTGTATCGTCCCCTGTCTCGCTATACGGTGGATCTCGGTTCGCGGTGACGGATATTGGTCGATATCGGCTGTAATTAAACTCAACATCAAGTTCAGTCAATATACTAACGTCCGTCACTATGAAGCGAGATTCACCGTTTACGATATAGTAATACTTATACGGGGTAGAAGATACCCAGTTAGGATATGTAAAGTCTGTGTATGCTCTAAGACCTTTTTACGGGGCTCGGGCTAGGAGCTAGACGAGTAATCCGTAGGGACTGTATCTCGCTAGGCGGTGGATCTCGGTTCGCAGTGACGGGCATTTTAGTCAATACGGAGTGTTGAGAGGGTCAGGAGAGGTTCTTTTGGCGGTTGGGCGAAGAGCCTCCAATCGGTTTGCGTGGAGTTGCCGAGGCCGGAGGAAACGGCGCTTGGCGGGGCAGACGCGGCAGGGTGGCGGACGCGACGGACGCGACGGGCGAGCAGAGGCGGCTTATGTAGTAAACCTTTGGCCGGTTAGCTAGTCCGCCAGCGAGCAAGAAAAATAGTAAATGTCAGCAGCAGCAACGGCGCAGCCGCAGCAACGTGGCAAGCAGGCAGATGGGCGGGGGTTGTTGTGAGATGGAGGCTCTGCAGGGCGCGTAAAATCGACTTGGCCTGGCTGGGATTCATGAGGGCGGTTAGGCCGAAAGCGGCCGGCCTCCGAAGTGTTGAGCTCGGCTGCGGCAAACGTCATGGCCGTCTTTTTTCCCATCCTCGCAACCACTCAAAACAGGACCCAACGCGTGCATGTCGCTCTGTTGAGCTATCCTTTCCCGTCCTCTTCGCAAATCACCTGCGCATGCACTAGACACCATGGGTCCCTCTCTGTACCTGGAGCTCCCTCCGTCGAGCCTGTTCAAGTTCCCTCCAGACTGGGCCCCGCCAGCTCTTGCGCCGCCCCCCGCCACCGGCACTCTCAGAGCTCCCTTCAACCTTGACGCCGGCATCTACAACAAGGTCCTCACCCCCGCCGTGCCTCTGACCATCGCCGCCGTCTACGCGACCACCGTCTCACTGCTCAATGCCTACAACCGCAGTCACGGCAACAAGCCATGGCGCATCAGCAAGACGCGGGCCTTTTACGCCTTTGTCATCGCCCACAACATCTTCCTCGCCGTCTATTCGGCCATCACCAACGTTGCTATGGGAAGGGCTCTGTACCGCATCACCCCCGGCTTCTCCCAGCACGGCCTGGTTGACAATGTGGATGCTTTCTGCAAGATGAACGGTCCGCGTGGTCTTGGTGACGCCACGACCTTCAACGGTACCACTTCTTCTTGGGAGGTCAAGAACAGCCTCATCCACCTTGGTCCCGAGGGTACCCCCGACCCCACGGATGTTGGCAGGCTTTGGAACGAGGGCCTGGCTTTCTGGGGCTGGTGGTTCTACCTGTCCAAGTTCTACGAGGTCTTGGACACAGCCATCATCCTTGCTAAGGGCAAGCGCAGCTCTACTCTCCAGACCTACCACCACGCCGGCGCCATGATGTGCATGTGGGCGGGTATCCGCTTCATGTCTGCCCCGATTTGGATGTTTGTCTTCATCAACTCTGGTATTCACGCGCTGATGGTGAGACTCGCAAACAATCTACCTATCACCCCGTCTTTGTCTGGACTAACTCTGGCTACTAGTACACCTACTACACCGTGTCTGCTTTGGGCTTCAAGGTTCCGCAGGGGATCAAGCGCACCCTGACGACCATGCAGATCATGCAATTCGTGGTTGGTGCCAGCTTCGCGACCCTGCACCTGTTCGTCGCGTATACCGTCCCGGTCTCGACTCCGTACACTTTGGTCCATACAATCACCTCTGCCGTCGAGTCGGCGGCTACAGCGGCCTCGTCTTCTCTGAACTCGGCTGCCACGGCCGTGGCGACTGCTGGCCTTGGTGCATACCTCAGGAAGTTGGCCTATCGCGCTGCGGGTGAAGAGGGTCTTGCAGAGAATGTGCGCGATGAGCAGGGCCATATTTTCGGCCCCGAAGCCTCGCACCATGTCGAGACTCGCGAGGAGGTTAGATGGAGAAACGAGTACGTGAAGGTTCACTGCCTCGACACTACCGGACAGGCGTTTGCTGTCTGGCTGAACGTGATTTACCTTATGCCCTTGACGTAAGTATTTCTTCCCTTGGTTTGAGAGAATACCTGATATTTAAAAGCTACATTAGCGCCCTTTTTGTCCGCTTCTTTATCCGCTCCTACACGAAGCGCAGCTCCGTTGGCACCAAGAAGCAGGCCGCGACTAAAGCTGTGACCGATGCTGCGCACGGTGTAGACCGTGAGGTCGAGGCTTTCGGCAAGGAAATTGAGAATCTTGAGTGGAAAGCCATCACCAACACGGATCTCCGCAATGGGATCAGCAACGTGTCCGAGTTGATCCAAAAGAATGCCTCGAAGGAGCAGATCGAAACCGCCGTCAAGCAGACCGAGAAGCAGCTGAAGCAGACTAGTGGCAAGGCTGCTGAAGTGGGCAGAAAGGCACTCGATAATCTTAAGGTAAAGGCGGACCAAACGAAGGAGAACGGTGCGGCAGCGGCCAACAAGGTGAAGCAAGAGGTAGACCAAAGCCAGGAGGCGTTGCAAAAGAGGATTGAGGCGAAGATCCAGGAGTCCCTCAAGGAAAAGGAAAAGGAAGACAAGGGAAAGTACAACGGTGAGGTGAAGAAGGAGGAATCCGAAGGTGACGAGGAACCGGAGCCGGAAGGTCTCAGTACCACGGATCCGAACAAGACGGACACGTCATATGCGGAGATGATCAAGCAGTGAGCGTCCGATATGAAAGGCTTCCTTAGCTTTCCTCTTTATGGATAGCCTCGCTCCGCCCCTGTCCTGCAGGATGAGCGGCTGCATCGAGAGCCTCCTCTCAGCGGGACCTCAGCACCACTTCACCAACCGCTGTCCCGCCTTCCCATTCAGAAAAGCGAACATGCCCCCAAAAGTTATCAAACTGTCTTAAGCCAGTTTCCACACCACTTAGATACCACAGATCGACTTCTTTTCTTACTTAGCTGTGTCCTTTGCTGCGTTTTGAGACCCACTTCTTTTAGTCTGGCTATTCCGGAGTGAGGAGAGGATCAAAGGGATGCATCGATAGTGGAGCTGCGGTGCTGCTAGTTGGATTATTTAAGCAGGCGCTTGATTTCAAAGTTTGAAGAATCAAGCTCCTTGTTTTACTTGCTTTGGCTTGTGCGATCGGCTCGTCGGATCGTACATGCTTTTTTCTTTTTTTCTTCTTTTTCGTCTGCGTTTTTGCGGCTGGGATTGGGTGAGGGGAGCAGGCGATGGAGTGAGCGACGGTGGTGGTGGTGTACGTTAAGAGTAGATTTACGAGCTTATTGAATGAAGGTCATGCCCCTATCGGTTGTTTGCTGGTTGTGTGTGAACTCGTTTGGGTGAAGGGCTGAAGGCCGTTGCTGTTTAAACAAAAACATGATATTTTTTCTTTCAATCTACTGCCTTATAACCTCTAAGGTTAGGTACTTCGTAGGTCCGTCTCTGTCTACTAACGTCCATCGCCGTCAACCGATAATTACACTGTCTAGCGAGATAGGGAAGGATATAAGCAGCCCCTATAGAATACTCTTTATCTAGCTATAAGCCTAAGTCTTAGATAGAAGTAAAAGGGTCTTAAAGTATACGCATACTATAAACAGCTTAATTGGATTTCTTCTTCCTAACCGCATAAGTGAATCTCGCTTGATGGTGACGGCATAAAGGAATCAATCAACCAATCACTTAATTGATTAATTGTAACGAGGCCTCTTCAGCCTAGGCGTTGGAATTGCCTAGCGGGTGAATAGGTTCGAAG